AGGCTTGGATCGACTGCTAATCTGGGTTGCACTGTGTTTAAAGCTTGGCACTCCTCTGTGTTCTTCATGCCAATGAATGCCTGTACTTATGCACATGTTGAGTGTGTTTCCACTGTTCATTCGTGGTTAAACTCTGGTTCCAACACCAACAAGTCGACCAAGCCTGGATCACAAGCACGCAATATGTGATCTCTAAAAATGACAATATCATTTCATGACAAATTACTATGAGTTTCACATACTTTATATTTACAAACCAGCCACATTACACTATTTACAATATAAATCCTCCTTTAAGCAGAACAATCCTAGTTTTCTGCATTTTTCTTTGTGTGTACCAATGTCTTTTCTTCTCCTCAAGAGACCTGCAGTCCACCTGCTTGAACATGCTCTCACTCAGTGTACTGTTGCAAGAAGCCCAAGTTTTGGACTTTCCCATTCTCGTTGTCATGTCCCTGCAGCCACAGCCAAGAAAATCCAAGAGCGTTTTAACATCTCAAGTTGGTTATAGTACAGTGATCCCATAAGCGGTGAGTGTGTAAACTAGCTCATGCTGCGCCAGCCATAACAAACCATTGTTCTCCAGCCAGTGGGAATAACTGCACCTGACAGTTCACTATACGCATAATCACAATGAATAAGCGGTGAACTGATGAACTCAGTAGAGACAGATATTCGTCGGTTTCAAACACTACCCACTTTATAGTCATGCCTTTCCTCTGTCCTTGCAGTATAATGTGATGAAAACGGACTGTTGTTGTATTCATTCTCTGGTTCCAACATTTTGTCCCGGACCAGGCAAAGGTGAACACTTTGTACTTGTGCATGTTGTTGAGAATCTGTCGTGTGATTTTTGGTGAATTTCATGCTCGCAGTTTGATGTCCTCAAATGGCCGGGAACAAGACAATGATGCTCCGTTGTCTCCAGGGAGCTGCTGCGTAGCTGACCGCAACCTCTGACCTTCTGAAAGGACAGAAAGAGACAACAGAAAAAACTGTTTACTTCTATGAATCAATGAATCATTATATTGTTCTGATTTTACTCTTTATCTTTTTAAATCCATTAAAAAAAACATTAATTTACAGTATTTATCATGTGAAGACAGAATGATAAAATGAAAATATTAAATTGCACATTTTATTATAAATGTATTACTTTTGAATTGTATCATTTAAAAGCAAATTTAATCAATGCCTCTCTTTATAAATGGTTTTATAAATAAATCAATAAAATAGTTGATTAGATTTAACCACTGAGAAGGTCTATGATTACTGAAAGAATCCAGGGTTTCACAGAAAATAGTCTGGCCTTTATTAAATAAAAAATATTATTTTAGAATCAGCAATGGCATGTAACCATTTCAGAAAGTCACAAACTCTTCATATTATAACTCATTTATATTTTATTCTCTGTAATATGGAACTATTTCTACACCACATTTTTTTCTTCCCAGCTCATTATTTTCAGTGACTCACAGGAAGATTTCAACACCAAAAATTGAAAATCACCACAGCTTCAGTTTTCCTCAGTAACCCTGAATTCTTCAGATTAAAACAATATCTATTTTTATGATCCAGTCATATTGGATGGTTATCATCCATCTTTATCCATGCAGACAGTTGCTAAAGCTTCTTGTATGGATTAAGTAGCTAATCACTCTGATCAAGGATCCTGTTTTAATGAGACCCCATAGGAGACAACGCTGTACCCCATCCACAGTGGAGGAGAAAACATTTAAATGATGCATGTTTTCCACCTTATTGCCACGTTTTTCCATCATCCACCTTTTCCTACACTTTGTTTCATCTTGTTTCAGCTGCCAGGGACCAAGCACATTTATATGCAGGTTATCATGTTCTCTTATTTTCTGCAACTAAAGAAACTTATAAGATCAAAAGGTAAAGAAAAATTCAGCCCTTTACTCCAAGACTTGCAATGTATGAAAGAGCATGTGCTGTGTGGCATTTTAGTAGAACAATTAATACTCTTGTTAGATGATTTTATGAAAGAATTACCATATTAAATTGAGACTGTGTGAGAGAAGAAATAAAATTCAACTCTCATGAAGAAATACAAGTCGCCTTCTTTGTATCTACAGATTTAAGTGGAAACAGAAAGGAAAAGAATAATTTAGCTGTCCACCATCTTTAAACTAATTGCACCCTTAAGCAAAGCGAACAGAATAAAAGACAGTGGAGGCAGACTAGGCTGGATAATCACTGCCAGATGGTTGTCAGGTTCTTTGTACATTAGTAAGCATGGACTGTACACCAGGCTCCTGAAGCGTCTCACAAATGTCAACAGAAGATAACCATGAAACAAATAGGATTAGAGTTCAGGAGAAATTCTGCTCTTTGTTCTGGGGACTTGGACATGACACAGTCAAAAAGTTAATGATGGTGCAAGTGTGGGTTCAGCTGTGGTTATTTTTTATTTTTGTAAAGGTGGTTTTTCTCTTACAGTATGCAGTGCAAAGTCATAACGCACTGTATGTACCATGGTGGAGAGGAGTAAGACCTGCAGCGAATGTTACAACCAGCCAGATGAACCATCCATTGTTGTTCTATTTGATGCACCACTGAGTTGTTTTGACTTAAAACATGCATGGTAACACAAGGGGTGTCCGGTGTGCAGCCTTGTGTCCCCTCTCCCTCCTGGCCCCAACTGTGTCTTTATGAACTGAAAATTACTCTTGTGGTCCCTCAGAATAGCTTTTTGAGCTCTGTTTAATCTGGTGCTGGTGGCAGGCGGCCACTCCGTCGGACAAACATGAACCAGCCAGGCGCTGGTGTCTGGTGACATGTAAAGTGTTTACCGTCACTCCTGAACAGAATGTTGTTGGACAGCAGAGTGGTCCTGTTATCCAGAGGCCACATCAGCACAGTCATGTAATTGTTTAGCCACATGCAGTGGGACACTTTCATGGAACAGGCAATAAGACAGTGGAGAACTGAGTGCATTTTAATTTCATGCAGAAGAACACACTGGCGCTGCAACACAGGTTGTATTAATTGTTCTTGATTCTTGTCTTGAATATTCATGTCTCACAAAAAGTCTGAACAGGCATTGATTTAGTAACTCTAATCTGTGCGCGTCTTTACATTCATGCACATCCTGTGTAATGTAAAGTACAGTCATGTATCATTCAATGATCAAAGTGAAGGTAATTGTCAAATTGAAGGTCAAGAATGACCAGGAGTGACAACGATTCACAATTCAACAACAACTCTACAACAGTTTACTTGGTTATTGGTTTCCAACAGAATAAGAAATATCTTCTTACTTTCAAAACAAATGAAACAAAAATCTGTTTTGTCTGAGATATATTGTGAAAAACTGAATCAAGCAACTTTGTAAAGATCACAATCTCAATGGAATTAGAGACAAATGTGCAATTTGCTAAAACTTTTAGAGAGATGTGAGATGGAAAAAAGTTAATCTTTCCAGTGCAGACCCCAAAAATGTACATGCATTGTGCATTGCTGTAAGCATCACTGCACGTGGCCTGCTGTCTTTGCCCAGCTGAGTTCTGAGTCTAAGTTTGATGGATGAAAGCAGCAAGTGCAAATGAAGCAATGATAAGTTCACATCTATCCATCCATTTTCTAAGCAGCTTATCTTGTTCAGGGTCACGGAGGGCTGAAGCCTATTCCAGCACACATTGGGTGAGAGACAAGATACACCAAGGATCTGTCACAGGGCTAACACAAATACAGACACATATCTGCATTCACACTCACCTGCAGAAATTCGTTTTAGAAAGAAGAAAGAGGAAGAGGATGCATGGAGACTTGGGGAGACAAGACTGATAGAGTGTTACAGTTCGTAGTCTGAAAACCCAAAAGTATTTCAGCGCATTACCCTGCTGGTTCCCTGTTCATTTCAAACAGAAACTTGCCCTGTTTTCATATTTTACTATAAGACATTAATTATACCACTTACATCACCTTCACTATCAAAGAATTTAGAATCTGTAGATTTGTGGCTTTTAGATGCAAAGGTCCTCATGTAATCATAAATAACTTATCAAAGATCATATTGAATAATATAATATAATATGATATAATCCTCTCAACTATGTACCATCTCCTGCTGTGAATATTCAAGTTACAATACAGATGATACACATACTGTATGTTGCAAACACACAGTGGGCAGGATACAGGAACCCAAAACCGCCTGGTTGTAGGGCACAGAGGACAACAACCTTTGTCCCCAAGGCAGTTCAGCTCCTCAACTCACAACCATCCCTGTCCTCTGCTCACCCCGCAAGCCCCCCTCCCCCGACTCTGACACACACTCAGACTTGGGTCACGCACTGAACACTTCTGCTGCACATACACAGATACAGTGACTTTCACATTGACTTTGCTATACCCGATGTAACACAGTTTTTTTTTATTGCACTAAAAATACCTTTTCATGTTGTTCATTTTTACCATGATGTGTACAGCTTTTTATTTGCACTAGTGATGCCATTCTGTCATGCCATTCTCATTATCATAGTATCACAGGTTATTGTTTTTTGCATGTCATGTCACTGTCCTTGTTTTAATGTGTACAGTTCTGGTTATGTTTTTATGGGTGTTTTTGTGTGTTTCTATGTCATTGCCTTTATAATGTGTAGAATCCTTGTAGTATACTTCTCTATGTGCTTTTCAAATTCCCCCCATGGGAAAAATATTAATTTTGAATAATAATTATGATGATGGATATAACCTTAGTAGTAGAGGTAAAAGTAGTTTTAGTCCAAAGGTAGAACCAGTAGTAATTTAATATTTTCTTACAACCTTCTTGAGCCAGACAGTAATTGAAAAGCTGTGCAATGCACTGATGAGGCTGTGAGGTGTCGCTGGCCCTTTAAGAGATGTTTTGACGCCGCACGTGCTTGCCTTATATGGGAGCAGCAACAAACGGTGACCGATAGTTACCTCTGCTGCTCTCTCTGCTCTGCTCCGCATCGAGCAGCACTATAAAAGCCTGCTGGAGGAAAAAAAAACAGTTTTGTCAGACACTGAGACAGAGCACCGGAGGAACGTGGAGGAGGAGTACAGTTTTTTCACCATTTATAAAGTTATGTTCTGGATGACGGATTTTAATTTATGAAAAGAGAAAGGAGTGGATATTCACACCGTTCAGGATCAAGGTCGGTGAGTGTGGAGTTTTATGTTGAGTTTTTCTGTGCGGGATTTGTGAGTTTCTTTGTTGGAGCAACAAAGAGATGTATGCCACCGTGTGATAGCTAAAACATATTTTTGTATCACTTTATGCTAACTTAGTATTCTGTGTGTGGTTTTGAGTAATTTCATGTCAAAAAGAAAAATATTTTTGGTCTTGAATGCAAATTACATCCCGATAATTATTAGCAGAGTTTTGTGATTTTCCTCGTTTTAACGTCACAAAGTTAAATGAGAACTGCAGTGTGCTGAATGGACATTACACGTTTGAAGCAATGTTGTTGTTTTGGTAAAATGACAAGTGTTTTCCTTGCTGGTTTTTGCTATTTTATCATGCATGTCAGTATCCTCTTCGTCCGTCTTTGAGTAGTAACGTCAAGGTAGTTAGCCTATAGTCTACGCGTGGCTTCCGGTGAGGTATCCCAAAAAATAAAAGCCTCTTTGTTGCAACGTCGTTGTATGACACAGATTATCAACCCAGAAGAAAAAAGAGGTGGAAAGGATATATATTGTGTTTCTCTCTCTTGTTTGTCTTAAAATTAAACATTTTTAAAGGTAACAGGAGATCGCATAACTACCTGCTGACAGGTAGTTTCAAGTCACATTTGTTGCAGCTTTAATTCTGAAGGCTCATTCTCCTGACTTGTAGATACATATGGCTAACTTGACGCTGCTGGAGCTCAGCATCGCGACGCTGAATGACCGACAGTAACCTCAGTTCAACGGAACAATTAAAACACAAGCATATAAGTCAGTCAGTCAGTCAGTCAGTCAGACGATGAAGTTTGACTGTCTTTCATAGTGTTGACATTTGGTCACAGTGCAAAAGCAAAGATAGCCCTTTGTGACTGTTAACTGTTGCCTGTTTTTCTTTTCATTTGTTTTGTTTTGTTCTTTTTTTCGAAGATGTGCGCGGGGACAGCGTAGTAATGTGTTGTTTTTAGTGGGGGTTTTTTTTGTTTTTTTATATCAATGTGCATGTCTGCAGTTGAGCTGCGACGTCGACGAAAAGCATCTGCTTTCTGTTTTCATTCGAACTGTCTCTTTCATGCAAAAGCATCGACGGAGTTACATCGTCTTTTTCGTCATGACAAAAGTGAATTGTTTTTTTGTTGACCAGCTTTCCATTTTTAAATGACCTGTCATGTGTGTTGAGAAAACAAGGGAGACAATGGAGTTGAGAAAAAAAATCCTGTATGAGTGTGATATAACACGTGAGCGAGGATTGATGGTAAACAAGTCGAAAAATGAGAAATAGAGTGTGGACCACTAGAGGCGCCCTGGCTCTGCACCATTTGGGCTGCTCAACACTCAGCAGATAAAAACCCCCTCACTTCTGCATGCGATGTATTACCATCAGTGTTTACCAGAATCATATGGAGGAGAACTCTTAGTATCTGCTCAGATACAAAAATGAACGATGACAATCAGGTCCTAAAATCCGAAATTAACATGTACACATGGTGTTTTGTTGCGATATCAAACCAAAAATAAGGATAGCCTATAATTATGAGGGAAGAAAAAATAAAATCAATTAAATGTACGTCAAACGTGGCAAAGGTGTAAATTGTATACACTGATATCCACCCACACAAGCAGCAATTTCGCAGACGACAGAATGGGAATGTAATTGGTATTTTGTTGTTTTTTCTCCTCATTCATTTCATAGGATTTGTATAGTAGTGTAGTGGAATACACTCAGGAAAAATCAATCAACTGTATAAATAAAGAAGATGTTGATTTTTGACCAAAGCTTGTGCAAATAACCTGATCTGCTTTTGCAGTTATTTATTCAGTGGAATTGAAAGAATTGTGCTGTTGGTGATTGTTTCTTTGGATTATATGTCTATCAGTAAGCCCACAGCAGGTATTTTACATTGTCTCACAATGAAACAGTTGCTGTGAGTGCTCACATGAAATAGAGTGACTCATAGAGAAAACAGATGTACCAGAACAGCAGATAGTGTAGGTCACTGTGGTGTTTGTTGATCTCAAAGTTCCTGTTGGTTTTTTATTGCAACATATTATACATTCCAGTGGATTTATTTAATGCAGCCAACTGCATGTCACAGTGGAAAATCTGTGTGCTGCAGCTGAGTTACTGGTATTAAAAATTAAAGGTTAACATCTGTAATTATATTTTATTTTGTATTGATTCCTACTGTGACGTCCTTTTGGCCATCCCCATTGGTAGAGGGGGGAATTATTTAATGCTAGAGGACATAAAGTCTGGCAGTGAATTTATAAGTGAGTTTCACCTTGTAAGTAAGTGGATACTGCTGGAGAAATGGTTGGATGTGATTACAGTATCATTATGACTGCATTAGAAAAAAAAGTGGTGTAAAAACCATAGAAAACTGGATTAAATGTTTCATTAGGGAAGATCTTTTTTCATCCCACAAGCAAATTATCAGTGCAGAACATCATGTTTGAACATAACTGTGTCCTTGACATGGTTGTGCTGTTATTCCACTCTCTACCAATCAGTTTTATTCTGTATAAAGGACATGCAACATAACAAGCAGGATGGCCTTGGCCCTTTGTCTAAAGATTTCCAACTTCAGCTCCAAGTTTCCCAACAAACTTGAAGTAACAGACTCAAAAATTTGTCATTAGTTTTTGTATAGAGTTGTATGAAATTTAGGGATAGACATGTAGTATTTAAGTTAATTACCTCTTTATAAATATAAGAAGGGGGAGATACATTTCACAACTACATTATATACATTACATAAATATTCTCCTCATGTGCTGCAAACCACGATGACCTTAACAAGGAGCTAAGGGTCTCAGTCTTTACTGTGTTACCTGATTTATCTCTTGACGGCCAGTTGTCTGTTTCAGAAAACAGGATTACAAAATTAGCTGGAGAACTCCATGTTCTGATTTGTGGGGCTTTCAGGTTTTATTTACTATTCAGTTAAGAAAGGAATTTATTTTCTGTACAAAAAGAAACACAAAATGACAAAATTACAATAAGTCTCCTTACTGGCATTTGTTGTCTGAAGGATGGGCTTGATGCAGGTCCTATCAGAGCGTGTTGCATAAAACGAATCGGAATACAAATCCAAGGACTTTTGAATCTGCAAATAGAATAAACCCATGAAAAAAAGTGTGTGCCCGACACAGGCTGTCGTACTGGATGAATCACATGTCATTTAATAATGCTGACAAAGCCTAAAGTCTATCAAAGAAAAAGGTGTAGAAGTGTTTGTCACAGTGCTTTGAGTAAACCCACCGGTGCTGTTTAATCAGCGGGTTGTTTTGTTTAGATTGAACAATAGAGATGGGAGTTTGAAGTGATATTGAGCTGTGAACATGAGGAAATTTTGTGATGATGAAAGGATTGCCAACGACTTTCACCACTTGAAAACTGCCCACCTCCCACTCATCCTCCCGGCTGGACTGCAGCTTGACCTTTGAACAGATGACTCTACATCAAGTGGACCTCAGTCTGCAGTGGTTAGCAGCCTTCCTCAGTTATCATTCGACTTCATGTGCTGAGTGTTGCTGCACTTTAGGCTGGTCCGCATTTCAGAGTGAAACGGTTTTCTTCAATAGGTGAATCTGTTGTCATAATAATTTTCTGTCAGCAATGATTCTTTGTTTGTTGTTGTTTAAATTTTTTTTTTTTTTTTTAAAGAATAACATGATAACCAGCTAGGTAATGCTTGTTGTGTTCCTGTTTGCCTCTTTTCCTTGATGATTGTCGTCACAGTATTTCGATTTTGAAAAGTTCTGCTTTTGACTTGATTGCTTTACTTGCCCTGTTGTGGCATGATCACCTGGACGTTACAGCCATACTTTGTGCTCTTTAATGTTGGGTGCAACAATTTTCTGTTCTGTTCTCACATTATTTTTGTGCTTCATTGTACATGGGTAAACCACATCTTTCTCCATAGGAACAAAGCTTTCACAGTTTGGAAAGTGGTATTTTCTGAGTGCTAGTTTTGCCTGTTGGGCATGTACACGTTTGCAGTTATTGACCCTCTGCCCCTGTCTTTTTGGGTTCTCAGTGAGGAGCTGGAGCGTGCTCAGCGAGGTTAGGAAGACGGCAAAATGGCAGTCTCCACTCAACTGGGTTTACTGCTTTGGAAGAACTTCACCTACCGACGGAGACAGACTGTAAGTATGAGTGTTTCAAAATGACTGACTCACAAGAACAATGGACTGGATGAGTGCACAGTAAATTATGTACCTGGTTGTTTGTTTTATGGGTTTACTTCTTTTATTCCACTTTTTCGAAAATAATATTTCATCATCAGAGGTTTTCACTTTTCAACGCTGTGTTCAGTATCACATATTCACGTAATGTATTACAGCAGCTTTTTAGGTCTGTCAAAAAGAAAAAAAAAAGACTTTCAAAAATCAAAATGGAGGGTTTCTATTTTCAGTTCTCTTGTATGACTTCCCATAAATGGGTTGTCTCAGTCACATTTTCAGGGAGTCGACTTTGAATCAGACATAATTTTTCCAGTATCACATGACTTCGTCATAAAGGCAATACAAAGGCCTTCTACATGTTTATGCTTTTCCTCATTAATATGCATGGGTCCAATGCGTATGCAGCCCGCAACAATGGAAATGATGTAATTCTGCTGCAGGCCACTTGGACTGAAAAGAGTTACAGTTTACAGTTCACTGTGAGTCAGTCAAAGATATGACAATGCCACATTTACATGTCAAAACATTATCCAGTTACCATTTTGTCTTGGTTGATGCCCACACACTCAAAGTCATGTGAATCAAATTCAGTTCCAAGCTGCAGCATAGTACTTCTTTATATGTGAGGAGGCTCATCTGCATACAATTAAGCCAGTTGTTCATCAAGCAGAAACCTTTCCTCAAAGTGACGGCTGTGGCTGCTTGACTTTCGGTCCAATTATTTTCAACAAAGGGCTACAGTGCCTTTTCTAAGACAGTGTGTTTGTTCTTTATCCCCATGCTGCATGTCTGCCATGCTGGTTAAGGCTGAGACTCAGGCAGCTGAAGTGGAGGGGCCATATGGAGCAGATGGACAAACACATAGTCCTCTAAACCCTGCAGACCTCTTTCTCTCTGTCTCCCCTAATTAACCCATATACTTTACCTAGACCCATGGTGGGATTACTGTTTATAAAGTACAACAGCTGACAGACCCCTCCAAACACACACACACACACGCGTGCGCATGCAACTCATGATGATGTTTTTTTTCCTTCTCTTCTTCTAAAGCAGTAAAGATGACCTTAGTTGAACTGATTGACTCATCTTTTACACAACATATACCATGAGGGTACATGTCTTTAATTTGCTTGATTAACATCCTTTTTGTCTTCCTCTCTTAGATCCAGCTGCTGATTGAGATCATCTGGCCCCTGTTCATCTTCTTCATCCTGATCTCGGTCCGAATACATTATCCGCCCTACGAGCAACATGAATGTAAGCAGACCTGAAGGGAGGGAGGGAGGGAGAGAGACACGACATTAAAAGTGATTTCATCTCAGAAGAATATTTTTTACATGCAAATTTTAATACTACTGATGATACTTATTCTGTTATTCTATTGTTATAATACATTGTCAGTTTGTAGATAAAGTGTTTGCCTCTTGGTTCTTGGTAAGCTCAGCATGTTAGTCATCCAAGGTTTCCATGTTATTGTCACAGAAGTCACAGAAGGATCTGTTGGATTTGTCAATATTTGTTTGCACTGTGTGAACATGTGATAGACCCTCAGCTCCTGGAAAAGAATTACAGTATCATTCGTTGCCAGAGCTGATTTCACAACTATGACCACGTTTCAACTCAATAAGATTATCACTGGTCGAAAGCACACACACACACACACACAAAAGAAAAAAATCCTATCAGCTCTTCAAAATTTTTTTTTTTTTACTTTTGGAAAGGCAAACAGTCACTCAGAGTTTCCCAAGAGACATTTCTTCCATTGCTATTCATTCACTTAAGTTCTTACAGGTATTTTGTAGTAAACTCGTTCAGATAAGTTTCATTTTGTACACGTGATTTCCTTGATTTGATCGATCTGTTGACCACCAAACCAGTTCCCGTATTTGGAACAAAATCATTGGTACTATATCCCAGTGTATCACAAATCAGTCCAAACCTAGTTTAACCCAGTGAACTCCAAAGAAGTATGTCAACTTCCTGACCCACTTGTCACTTTGAATGCTTATCTTTTCTATAGCTAGTTAACCTCCGTAAATTGCAGCAGTAGCAGTAAAATCAGCTGATTAGAGCCCATACAATCGAGCCCAAAATTAAAGTCAGCACTTTTTAAAGCTGATTCCAAAGGCAGTGGTGGCCGCGGTCTGTGTGTTAGCTTACATAGGTTATAATTTGCTGGAAATCTTATTTTTGCAATGTGACAACTCTTTTGAACTGTTCCCAGATCTGTGGAAATGTTCTGCACATGTAATTTCAGCTCCGTAGCAAATACAGTGTCTAGTGTTGGTGTTTGCACTGATAACCTAACGATCTCTTGACTGTCGTTATAACAGCAGACCAGATTATTTACGGACAGTGGAGTAGTTTTTAGTGGGTGAATATTTTTTTTAAGAGTAAAGTGCAAGAACTTGTTACTGAGACAACACTCTTGGGAGCATTCAGTTGATTTGCAAGAATGACAAATATCCAAATATTCTTCTCCACTTAGGTCTAACGATGTATGTAAATGTGGACCTCCCCTCTTTGTTACTTCCATTTAATTCCAAACTTAAAACTTATCATACTTCTATGCTTATTTTTCCAGGCCATTTCCCGAACAAGGCCATGCCCTCAGCGGGTACTCTCCCCTGGGTACAAGGCATCATCTGTAACGCCAACAACCCCTGCTTCCGCAATCCTACCCCTGGAGAGAGTCCTGGGGTGGTGGGAAACTTCAATGATTCTATGTGAGTAACATGACCTTCATACTTATTCATAGTTAAACCGATACACTGCTCTGATGGATTCAAAGTATTCACTCAGTGCAAAGGAAAAAACAGTTTTGTCTGACTTTGTAGTAATATTATTTTTTTAATCTTTTATCAACATTATATAATTCAACACCAAATTCATTCTTTTACAAAAATGAGAGGACATCCTCTCAGGCTTTTAAATTATCCAGTGATGTGAAACAGTGTGTCTATCTGTGTCTCTTTCTTCTCTCTCTGCGGACATGATCAGAATCTCACGTTTGTTCAATGATGCCAAGAAGATCCTGCTGTACACTCAGAACGATAAGAGCTATGAGGGCTACAGGGGACTACTGAGGGCCCTCAGAAAACTGCAGAAGAACACTGCCGGTAAGGAACACACATTTGACTATTAGCTTGTTTTGTGTTTTATTAAGTTGTTGAATGACCAGCTGATTGATCAGTGAACAAAAAGCTGAGTAGTAACTTACTCAAACAAGATAAAGTTCACTTCTGCAGTGTAGCAGCTTAGTAAGCTGATGTTCGCTCTGAGTCCTCAGGGGGGCTGTTGAGGGTGTAACGTATCCCTTTCTTATCACTGCCTGCCAGCACTGGTGGGCCCATCTCCTAAAAGCTCTTGTGACGTGTTAATGGTGGTTGTCCAAGCCAGAAAAAAACAGAAAGTTGTGCACCACCCTGACAGCCGAGTGCAATCACAGCACAGATCTGTTAGTAAATTGCCAAGTTGTCCTGACTGCAATATTGCTGCTTCCTGTGTACGAGGACAGACCACAGAAGTTTTCTACCACTGATAAAGTGCATGCTAGTCCACGGACTCTGTTATCAATTATACCGACACATTCAAATGTTATCTTAAATATTAGTGCTAAGGTTTCTGTTTCATCATCATGGCTGCGGCTGTTGCGGAGCAGAGAAAGATCGTCTTTCTAAAATAACATCTTGTTGATGCCCCCACTGTGCTGACTCAGTCAAAGCAAACTGAAAATAGGAAAGAGGGCTGCATTGAACTCTGCACCTACTTTACTTCACTTGAAGAGAGGTCACACAAACACATTAACTTTGCTCAGAAAAGATTCTGCTCAGGAAAAAGATTTTCATTTAAATTCAGTACCCATTGCTCTGATGTGGGAGGCATGCTGGGAGCAGTCTCTGTTTTCCAGTCAACAATGTTTACAAAGAAAACCAGGACAAAAAGAAAAAGGAAAACATGTTACGAAAAAGCCTTAATACTGTATAAAATGGAGGATAATAAGACAAGGAAGGGCATTACCGGACAGGGTGCAGGAACAGTAAACAGCAGTGACGTAACCACTGACCTTAGTTAATTGCTAAAGTGAAATGAGGGAGTCTAATTAGACTGTGGTGTTTTTTTGTTTGTTCCATTAATGTTGCATTGCTCTAGCAATATTTCTCTCATACTCATGTGATAATCAGTCCATTTGCTTTCTATAAATAGAAGGGTATTAGCTCGCTTTCACATCAGACCCTAATGTAAGAGTATATTGAGCAGAGTCTAACATCAGAAATTATGCAACAAAGCAGAATAATCAAGGTTCTTGTTGTTTTGGCTTCCGTCTGCTCTGTTAGCCATGAGCTACAGTTTGTTTTCCATTGCTCCCTACAAAGAATAGCATGGCCTAAAAAAACAGCGACATTACACGATTTTGCTGTCATTCTGCTCCATCTTGTTTGCAGTATCCATTACAGGCCAGTAACAGCCAGTGATAGATCTTCTTATCTGCTATTAATGGGTCATTACATTTAAACTGCACTGAGCAGAGCCAGGGTTCTGCCTTTTTTTTTTTTTCATAATTAATTTTTTATTTAAAATTTTTTATTCAGGATCTTTTATTATTTTAACGAGGCTTCGGTGCATCTGTGCACTCCATCACAATTGATTTCTAAATGCACAGCGGTCTAAAAATACTCAATCCCATATGCACATTCCACTCAGTATTTGTCTGTAATCCACGTGAGGGAATGCACTGATGTAGCATGGGGACGGTCATGATGCAGGAGACCGCAGTCAGAGCTGCCGCTGCAGCTGCAGAGTGATGCTATGGGAATAACAGCATGGATCAAAGAGCCCCTCACGTGTCTGTTAATAATTCAGCAACTGACAGGGTCAGCAAATGAGATTTACATTGACATGGAAGTGGGGGCTGGGAAAGGTCAGGGAGAGATATGAGTTTTTCGCCTATAGCATAACTAAATCTGTTTCTGTTTTTTGATCAGGTCTAATGCATTTCTGCTGTATGAGACGGTACACACAACGAACATCAACAAAAAGAAACAAAAACAAAACATTTTGAGAACCACGTCATGCAACATTTTTTTTTTTTGGGGGGGGGGGTTTCTTACTACCAAAATCATATCATATCAGATGAGAGAAAAAATATGCTCATACACCACAGGTTTTTTTTTGTTTTATCTTCCCATCTAAAAGTGAAGCTGAGAGTGGAATTGCATAATAGAGAAGAATATCTTATATTTTTAGCCTTTCACCACCTTCATATTTTATCTGGCTGACTGCCTTAAAAGACTCCATTTGATTCAGAGGCTTGACATGTCTGAGTCTGATCTTTTAAAATGGAGACTGCTGAATTTCCCTGTGCTGCCTTTTTTCTTGATTTTTATAAATCGAGTTTTCACAGACACACAAAAACACACACAGATCCTTGTATCTCTATCTCCATAAGGAACCTCAAGGACTACATTCATCCCTTATCAGTATAACCATAAATAGCCCAACACGTCTACCTGAACCGTGTCTTTAACCTCAGCCTAATGTCTGTAACCTAAAAATAGCATCACATCTCAGACACGTACTGATTTAGAAGGTCTGAAACGCAAATGAGCTCTCACGGACAGCTCACTCCCACTCAGACATACAATCCAACAAGTTATTTTCCCTCCCAGCCTCTACATCAAAACAGCTCACCCATCACACAGCCATTTTGTGAATTGATATCTCTGCTGTCAGAATTCATGCAGCAGCCATCTTTTGTTGATCTGACTGCCAAGCCATTCAGGAATGCTACTACTACTATTAAATGTTGTGTTAAATTTTGGAATATGCACTTTATGTCTACAGGAATTACAAGCTGTCTGTGGGCGAGGTTTGCCACTGATGACACTGGTTGTTAAGGCGTGTGATGTCAGTGCTATTTAATTTAAAACAGGATCGGCACAACCTTAAGCGTGTGCAGACTTGTACGTGTTAATTTAGGACTTACCTTTGTATCCAGCTGGCTCCAACATAGGAAAAACACACACACACACAAACAAACACAGATAAGGTTTGTAACTTCTTACGTTGTCTTGCTTCAACAGACGTTTCTGTCCCTGATAAGTCTGGGGATTTAGACCACTTATGCAGTGCAGCTAACGACAAACACACACAGATAAGATAAAACAAGGAAATTAAATACACACATAGACACACAAAAGCACCTTTGCTGACTACACAAATAATGCTTGACTTTCCATTTTAACAAGGTTGCACCATCTCGTCTGGTGTATCCTCAAGGGCTGTTGGATGCAGTGCACCATGGGAGCTTTGACTTCCTACTGGGACATTGATTAGACCTTATTAGCACTCTCCGGTTGGTCACCCCTGAGAGTTGAGGTCACATGCATGCACACACAGGCACAGGTGCACAGTTACACACACACACACACACACACACACACACACACACACACACACACAGAGGCCAATGGAGAGTCGAAACGATAGGGATGTCTGCATAACACACGCTCATACCTCAAACACAAATGGCACGCGCTGTGGTGCACGACCATGGAAGCAGTAAGGGAGAGCAACACTACACATGATGCACTCCCCCGGCTCACAGAAACACACTGTTCTCTTTCACTTCCTCCCAAAGGATGCTCAGTTCAGTCAAACCAAAGTGTTTCCTGTTTGTCTGTCTGTGTGTGTGTGTGTGTGTGTGGTTGTCATCTGATAGCTATAAAAGATAGAAAGTAGAAAAAGACTTACGGGAGATTAAGGGAAGGGGAGGTTAAAGGAAGACAAGAGGGAGGGGGGTGGGAGGGTGGGAGGACATTTTAAAACAAGAAATCAAAATTCAACTCAGCATATATTAAGTTGTCAACAGCCTGAAGGAGAGCAGAGTTGAACAGAGCAGAAAATAGGTGAAAGGTAGAGAAGGAGAAATTTAGGGAGGAGGAGAGACAGGAAGAGGAAGGCTGGTTGGCAGTATCTGTGCCAAAGTGGAATGCCCTCTAGTAACCCCTGAGTGAGTTCACTGAGTTTAGGAGAAGACAGCTGTGTGCGTGTGTGTGTGTGTGCGTGCGTGTGTGTGTGTTGTTCGCATGCAACCACACAGCTGACTCAGGCAAGTTTCAGAAATGGTTTGACTTCTCTGGAATGCAGCAGAAGTACAAAAAATTCCCAGAGCACAGTGAAGACAGTCTGAGTCGGTTTATAAATTTAAATATATAATTTTATTTGGGATCAATCATTTAATCCAGTGACATGTTTTTTTTATGTTCTCAGATTGTGTCCATTTGTTATTGGTTATCACTCATCATTAAATCATACATTCTTTCACTGGGGTTTCCACTGGTTGTGAAGAATTTATGGAATATTAAGGACTAAAATCCAGACAATAAAGTCTGTGAATTTGATAAATACTGGTATGCTGGTTTATATGCCAAGATACATTTTGTAACTTGTTTTGCTCAGTCATTGCATGTGGAAGTGGTTTGCAGCCCAAATTTAAAGTGAAACAGTAATGAAATTTTACTGTCCCTCCCGCTGGGACCCCTGCTGATTGTCCTGGTATCAGTATCAGCGACAAAATAAATACGCCTTATTTTTTCTGGGTCTTGTTTCTCATTGTTTTTTGACTTAATATGTTTTTTTTCTCTAGGTTTCAAGCTGAAGGACTTTTTGCAAGACAATGAGACTCTCTCCCACTTCCTGCATCACAATGCCTCACTTCCTCGTCACGCACTGAAGCAGATAGTGGAGGCTGACGTCAATCTTGAGAAGGTAAACTGTTACAATTAATACGTTTTTTTTTAATAAACCCTTATGTATATTTTTTGATTTTAGAACTGTAATACACTCTTTATTTTCACATATGCCAAAGTTTAATTATAAACCCTCCTCTCATATCCCTCAGCATTCCCCCCTCAGTAAATTATAGAAGTCACTGATTGATTTGAAATTTCTAACACAAGAAATAGAGAATTGCTGTAAATTAAATGATTAATCCACATGGATTAACCGGTATCAGATGCTCATACTGCCTCAGTCCCAAAGCAAAAAAAAAAAGTACACCATTATACTCTATACAGCCTCTTTGTTGTGTGCTTTTCACATATGAGATAATCATGCTCCCCTGGCCACAGTGCTCGTGCATAAATCCAGTGACCTTGGCTCGACAGTGTCTGTTGGGCCACAGGACTCTGCTGTGGCACAGCTAAGCCCTTAATACCCAGCAGAAAAATCACTGTGGGTGGGGGGATAGATGGTTGCAGACGCCGTGGGGCACCTAACGCCCCCCCCCCATCTTTCTCTTCCTCTTCGTTTTTTTTTTTTTACTTGAAAAGAAAATCTAATTTTCTTTTGGATATATATATATATTTATTTTCCTTTCATCTCTGTAACCTGCCTGTAACCTGATTCATTTTTCTCATCTCTTCCTATTTTCATTTTTCTGGTTTCCATATTTCTCACTCAGTCTCCTCTTTCCGTTATTGTTATCATCTCTGCTCTTAATTTCATTCCTCTCTTCCTGCACACCTTTTTTTTTTCTAACAAAAATGAAATGATGATCTGTTTCACAGCAACACCATACACGTGTTGTCACACATACACACAGACCTCCTCCTCCTCTTCCAATATTATTTGTATAAGCCCATATCACATACATTTACTCTTTCGGCTACCCAGGTCCACCCCAACAACAGCTCCCAACCCAGCCCATCACATCATCCCTGCTTTGCAGTTGGAGGGCTGGGGTCACATGACTGCTCCTCTTCCCCCCTCCCTTTTCCCCGATTTCTCCTCACGTGGAGGGATAGAGACTAAGAGACAAATTCACGTTCCGCGATATGAGTCTGTGCAACCCACCCCCCACCCCCCCATCCCCCTTCCTGCCAGACATCTATTGATCAAAGAGAGTATAGTACAGACTATAGGGCAGAGTTTCTGTTAGTCTAGAATCATCAATAGGAACAATATATGAGGAGAGGAGTGAAAATTAAGAGAATCTTACTATTACGTTGCCCCCTGCTATATGGAGTGAAATACATTTTGTCAATTGTTTGACAATTATTGCAGCAATGAGATGCAAAACCCTTATTTATATTTGGAGTTTTTAGAACTGTAATAGCCTCTTAATATTCACATAATCCCTCCTCTCCCATCCTTCAGCATTTTCTCTTCAGTGAATGATCAAAATCACTGATTGATTTGAAATTGTGAATTGTTGTAAATTAAATGATTAAGCCACATGGATTAACCGGTATCAGATGCTCATACTGCCTCAGTCCCAAAGCAGACAAAAGGACAGCAATATACTCTATACAGCCATAGACAGACATAAGGAAAATATGTTTTGAATTCTCTGCATTGGATGATGAGTATGATTCCCAATCCTGCCTGCTGTAAGCCCTAATGTCTTTCCAATGGAAAGATTACCAGCTGTGCCTATGTGATAGACATGATGGCATAACACAGACTGGTCAGGGACATTTAGAAGATAAGTCGTGTGCTTCTTTTCTCTCTCTTTCTCTCTCTCTCTCTCTCTCTCTCTCTCTCTCTCTCACACACACACACACACACACACACACACACACACACACACACACACATATACGAACATCTTGACTCTGTCAGAGAAAACAAAGCCTCTGTCCAGTCCTTGATGTCCCAGAAAAAGGACATTTGTTACTCAGCCCACATGGGCTGAGCTGTTTGCTCTTCCAAATAACCCGTTTTTTAAAAGGAGGGCAGAGAACCAGTTTTAAATGACAATTTTATCAGAAAAAGAAAAAACAATATGGCCTTTTTTTATCATCAGACGAGTCTCTTGGAGTGGAGCTTTATTTGGATTACAAATTGTCAGAAAGCTTTAGTGAAGATATCCTTGGTATGCTCCAGCATTGACATTCATAACAGTGCTTCCCCTTGTAGTTGCTCTGGTTAATATCTTTCTCTGAGCGTCATTGTTTAATTCTCATGGTCAGGTTTTAGGAATGTAACTGATACATAACGATCTTTAGAGTCAAGAACAACCACCAAAGGAACTCTGTGTTGAAACACCAATAGTCTTGCTCAACACGCATTTACGCAACGGCACTTGTAAAGGCATTTTGACTCAAGTTAAAATATTCTTCTCTATAAATCTTTGCATTTGCTTTATTAAGTTTAGTTAGGTCATTTTTATGCTCGTGAAGCGGACATAGAAATGATTGACTGGCTCATCTCTAAATATTCATTGGCAGGATGCTGGACTTCTTTGTTGTTTGTGGTATATTTCAGTGTATGAAGAATGAACATACAATAAATTCAACTTGAAGAGCAGCCCCTTGTGCCACTATGTTGTCAAGTTAAAATTTGAACAAAAACTAGATCAGGATATTTATATCTCCTGCTGTGTCCTTTCACAGTCTCTAACACATGCCGTGCTCTTTTTTTTCTCTTTGTCCAGGTGCTGACTAAAGGCTTTGGCTTCCATCTCAGAGACCTCTGTAACACCACGCCGCTGGAGGAGTTTGTCCACATTGCTGACCACAATGTGTCCCGTATGACTCAAGAAATTATCTGCAAGTCCTCCAGTGACTGGCTTGACAAGGCCCAGAGCCACTTCCTGTCCAACTTGGACTTCCTCAAACCCATTCGGGTGAGTTCATCTGATGAGGCACACATGTAGGCCCATTGGTGAGTGTGATGGTCACATGTTTAGTAACTGCCAGGGTTTGATTTTTCTATGAAAGTGTAAATCCTTTAGATTTATAACAAAAAAATGAGAAGCATCATGAGCAATCAGACCAAACCTAGATCTCACTAGGACATGGTATCCTGTCCAAACAAGGACGACACTCCCTTCCCATTTTAACTGGAAAATGCATTGTTTCATCACTGACCCGTGTTGCTTCACCACTACATAATTGGGTTTCCTCCAGCATAAGTAAAAATTAGGGCGTCTTTGCCAGGAAGTCAATATTAGATATCCTAAGAAAATGCAATACTTCTCAGTCAACTGGGAGTCTTATTATTACTTGGAAACAACGGCGTGTCTCTTCTGTCTTAACAAGTCAAGGCATTGCTATTTTATTTGCTCTAAGCACTGTTTTCCTATCAGCAAGATGGGTGTTTACAGAATATGAGCTGGGAGATGATGAACAAGGGCACACACACAAAGATACACAAGAGAAAAGGCAAACACACATCCGGATGGTAGATGGTTGTTCCTACACTTCAGAGACTGGTTGTAATAGCCTTTTGAGATCATTGTACTGTGACTGCTAAAGTGGAGCCAATGACTGTGACACTAATATGATGTGACAGGAGGAATCACTGTTTGTATAACTCTGGCAGCTCTATTCATCCATTTAAAGTAAATCCCCTGATCCCTTGTCTTTTCTGGTTACTACAAAACTTGTTGTTTTCCGTATCCACTTGTTTTCTGTTCTCGTTTTCACTCCTCCTCCCGTCCTCTTTCCTCCCTTTACTCTCCGTTGTCACCTCTCCTCTGCCCGTATCTTCCACAACAGCCTGCCCCCTTCCCATAAAACCCATGACCTACATGTGAGTCACGATGGTGAGCAGGATGGCAAGAGGTGAAAAAAGAAACACTATGTTCTGTAGCACTGATCTTTAGAGGGAGAAACAGACAAAGGAAGAGACACGGAGAATGTCTTTGAAAAATGATCACAAAGTCAGCAGAGCTTAATAACGCAGATCCTTGCTGTGCTGTTAAAGAGATTAGAAAGGCTTTACTACCGTCTCTTGGTATGAGAATGAAATCAGTTTCTGGCTCATTGTGGATCTGATTCACCCGCAAAAATCACATCTTGTTCTTCTTCTGTGACCAAACTTTGATGCAAGAATGGAAATTCCTTTCTAGAAGTATCAAAATCAAGAAAATAGTGAGGTCAGGAACTCTTGCATAATTCAGCTTTCTCCCATTAGTTACACTCTGTATGGGTGTATGTAAACCGAACAGCCACAACATTAAAACCAGTAACCAGTGAACAAATGAGAGAGAAGATACTACAGAACAAGCTACAGTATCTTTCTCTCTGCCTAGACGGCTGCTCTGTCTTCAGCGACGCCTGTGCTTTATCAAGTGTCAGACGTTCCAGCAGCTGACAGCTTAGTGTGATAGATGAGAAAACACACACACACACACACACACACACACACACACACACACACACACACACACAGACACACAGCAGTTTGACAGACAGGAACACAGGAGGTCAAAGCCACACTGACCTGTTGTTCTTTCTCGCCTCCCCTCTTCCCTGACCTGCGACCCAAATGTTGTTCCTCTGCTTTCTCTCCCACCTCTCCTTTACCCCACCCCCCTCTAAGATAATAAGAAATTAGCTGAATGGCTAGCATATTATATGACTTTTTAATGGATAATAAATCTAAAAAAAAAAGAAAGTTAAAGATGAAGACAAAAGGCACATAACGAAAAGTAAAAGTTTACACAAAACACATGAATTTCAACACAAGTTACATTTATATTTTTGTGAATTTGAGATTTGATTTGTCTTAATTGTGTTTTCTCTCCAACAGAAGGATGTGAGGTCAGACCCCAAAGTCGTTCAGGAGGTTTCAGCTGCAACCGACAATCTTCTGGAGAGCCTGGGAGCTCTGGCCGTGGAGGTAGATAAACCACACACACACACACACACACACACACATACACACACACACACACACACACACAGATCACACTACCCACACATGTTATAACACATAAAAAACAGGACTACTGAAGTATTTGTTTCCAAAGTTCAATCTTCAGTAGTAATGTTTGTGAATAAAATCAATTCTTACCAAGAATCAGCTCATGGTGAAGTCGTTTCATTTATTGTAGACACAGGTCATTATGTAGTAATGCAAGTTGTGGGAGTTAGGGTCATGGCCATATTGACAATATTATAATAAAATAGTTTTTAATATTGTCAAAAAAGAAATGAAAAGGAAGATCCCTAGCAAGTCAAGGCACACTGCTTCATGGTAATAGAAAAAGAGATGTTTAGCCAAGTTTTTATGAACATTGTCGCATGACTTAAAACATGACTGACGCACAACGCTCAACTCCCCACTGGTCCTCCTTAAGGTCAGCCAGCTGATTCGTGTCGATATTGGTCTTGTTTGTCGACATTCAGGCACATTAAGGCCTTTTAACTTTCTTCTACCACAGTGACAGAGTGCTTTGATTTTCTATGTATGCCACCCCCCTTTTTGAAGCCGGCTTCCACCTCAGATTACTTTTCTAACACAAAGATGACAGATAAGAAATTACAGTTCTGCAAAAAAAAAAAAACTTTTCTCAAGGTCAGAAAAGAACAAACAGGCTGTGTGAAATGCTCCTGTAGATAGTGGCACAAAAGCCTTACTGAGCCAACAACTAGGTGCACTGTCTTAACTGTCTCACACACACATAAACACACACAGGACATAGGATCTCATGCAGGCACATTCTCCTACACACACACACACCCATGCCTGGCCAAAGCTAATGTAACCCAGTCTGAGCTGAAGGAATGTAGTGGGAGAAAAGCAGCAGTTGGTGGTGCACACAAACTCTCTCTCACACACACACACACACACACACACACACACACACACACACACACACACACACATAGCCCCCTTCTTCTCTCAGGCTCCTGTTCTGCTGAGTTAGCAAAACATAAAATCCCAGCTGGGTGTGTGTGTGTGTGTGTGTGTGTGTGTGTGTGTGTGTGTGTGTGTGTGTGTGTGTGTGTGAGAGAATGTTTGCAGCTTTGATAGCATTTCTTGTCTAAGTTGGTGTAAGAAAACCAGTGAGCTGATCCTTTCTTATGTCTTCACCCACTAATGTTGCAGCCTACATCAGTCCTACTTATCCTCTTTCCACTATATCACATTCCTTTTTGCTTGGCTCTGTGTGAGCGGCCAATGATTTACAAAGATGAACTCGGGATATACAAAAGACAGAAGTGGAAGAATGTTAATGCAATGTCATCCTTGCATAACATTCTGAGTTTCGACATGTTTTTTGTTTGTTTCTGAACCAACTCTTATTGATCTTTTATACTCCTGTGGAGACTTTGTGCTTATTTTAGGCCAGTGGCACATCAGGTATGACATGTCAACACACTGTGACATAGTCTCCAGTGTGTATTAGTGTGTTTGAAGCGGATTATGTGTGTTTGCTTGTGTGTTTGGTGTACGAGTTATGAGGCTGGCAGAATGGAGAAATGGACTCATGTAAACTCTTAATTCGTAATCATCTGCCTGTGTTTCAATCCAGGGCTTATCACCGTTGAAAGGCCAAAAGAACTGCGGCCATAATGTATTTTCAAAATGTCTTTTCAGGAGGGAAGAAAAAGCTCGTTTTCACATTGTAGGCCATGTGACAAACCACATGAATATTCTGCCAGTGGAATGAACATGTAGAAATAAATCTTGGTTTCTCTGCATTTAAACTTGTTTCAAGAATTTCCCTGAATATCTTGAAAAGAGTCTGAAACAAGTTTAATTGCACTTGAAAAAGTGACAAATTTTCTCCCTTGTTCTAAGAAAATATATAGAAATATATAAGAAGAATATACTCAATACTGAATAACACAGTGACTATGGATGTTGCAGCACCATATTTTAACTGAAGGGAAAAATTGTGCTGCAAAAAATGCAGCAAAATCTTAGTCACTGTTATCAGGCAAAGTTTACAGCCATCCATTCTGCATACTGTTTACCCCAAGGTTTGCAAGCTGATAAGAAGAAGGTGCGAGCCTGGCACTGTGTAGAAATGAACGTGAGTGCCACATGGAAAATGATTTAAATCTTACAAATTTACATAATCTTCATAACCAGAATAAATTGTGACCAATAGAATATCCTTCACTAATTTCTCAATTAAAGCCCATCAATAGCGTTCAACCTGGATCCTCTAAATTTACTGTTGTTAAATCCTAATTAGTTGCAGTATTCCTCCTAACCTTTTTCTCTGTTTGTAAGCAGATTATTCTGTTTCGCTCAGGAGGCCGGCGGTGCAGAGATTTGAACTCTAATAATCTGCACTCACTCCCACTCATTCTCAACCTATTACAGCACCTTATACCAAAGACTTTCATTATGTTGGGTGATAATTAAGGAAAAAGAGGTCATTAATTTCCTCTCCAGGCAAGCCTGGCAAATGCTTACTTTTTTGAATAATTTATTGTGATTTTAATCAACATGCTTCTCGAAAACATTAGTGACATTTATCTTCTTTGTATTGTTTGCCTTAAGTAGCTTAAGTGGTTGCTTAGCAAAGCAGTAGGGAGTGAATAAACTCAAGTAACCTCTACGTTCCAAAGCCTGATCGCTGTCATCATGGAGAAATCTACAACCTGATATCTGGATGGAAGATTGATCAGAGAGTCTCTAAATTCAACTCAACCTCTTACTGTTTAGAGTTTACAAGAACGTGCTGCAAAAATATGTTAGTTTTAACCTCATTGATTTATCTTCATATGATTCATTCTAAAGATTTACATTGTCAGAGGGAGCAGGAGTGACCTCTAGTAACCTCAAGACAAACTAATTCCACTGTAAAACCTAATAATATTCAGGTCACAAGCTAGTTTGGATGTGGTTAAAATCTTTTATTTCATGTTAATCAATTTATGATTGGTCCCTGAGCTGCTCTGGTCTAAAGAACTGTGTGCAGGAGTGGAAATTTGAACTATAGTAACCTCATACAGGCTCCACATCGAGGTTACTCTGGGACAATCCTCTTCTGCTGCCTGCCTGCCTTGTGTGTGTGTGTGTGTATTACTCACCTAGTCACCCAAGTTAACATGGCCATCTTCCCTCGAGGGAAATGACACATATATTCAGTCACACAAAAGTGTTCTCAGCACAGGCAAGTGCATGCACGCGTAAGAAGTTTTGGATGGCAGAGTCATAAATTTGGTCGGATATTGGTCTCTGCATGTGTGAGCGTTTGACACTGGAAAAGGAGCAAAGGAGGAAGAGGCTGAGGTTTCTGTCAGTCATTGCTGTGTTTTTGCAGCTACTGTAGCCTCTGGGAACGAACAGATGAAGGCACATATTTACAAGTACACATGTAACACACATATGCGCACATGCACCACCCGTGACCTTTTTAATGCATAAATACACACAGACAGCCAACCACATAAGAATACCACCTACACACAGACCCAGATATGCACCAAGTCCAACACACACACACACACACACACACACACACACACACACACACACACACACACACACACGCACATCTTTATCACACCCGTTTTTTTTGTGTGTGAACAAGCAGAAAAGCATGTGACAGTTTGATGTGGCTGAAGGCTCAGCTGCAAAGCAACCACATACAGAACGATCTGTGTGTGCGTGTGTGATCTGAGACGCAGCAGTTCTCTGTCTCACTTTCTCTTTGTTGGAGTGTTGAATATCGTGTTGACAGGCAGAATAGGAATTACATGCTGTGGACTGAACAACAGGTGCTGTGAAGTAACGCAGAGTCGACAGAGAAAAGTGTTATTTGTTATGAAACAGCCACGCATTGTGTGTCAGGATGTTCCGTCCGTTTGTGCCTCATCCCACCCGTTTGTGTGTTGGTGTGTGCATGTGTGTTTGTATAGCAGTGAGTGTGTAGTCAGTAACAATTGTCAGTGTAACAGCGCTCTACTTGAGGAGCCTGCGGAGGTGCCTATAAGGAGAATGACCGTCAGTAACCTCTCTTTGTTCTCACACCTTCCACTCCTGCCGTCTGCACTCACCCCCCCCTCTCCACTCTTCTTTCTTTGTTTGTTTCTTTCTTTGTTTCTGTCTTTGTTTCTTTGTTTCTTTGTTCCTTTCTTCCTTTTTTCTCTCTCTCATTTTTTGTCACCTGTCTTTGCCCTTCTCACATTTTCACCTCAGGAAAAGTCTGATTTGGTCAGCCTCCATCCTTCACACACAGAGCCCGAGCTTACCATAAGCCCAAGTACCCTCCTCTGGTTCACGCGCAGGAAACAAAAGCTCCCCTCTTCTTCTGCCCTTTCTTTGTTTTTCTTGCACGAAAAACATAAACCCCCTCCTTTCATTCCTTCCCTATCACGGGTTGGTGACATAATTGCGTGTGCAGTTGACCAGTTTGTAGACCTAAACGGGGAATTTGTGATGACTTGTATCCTGTGGTGACCTGTAGTAACCTCTGTGTGAACCAAAATGAACTTGCTGCTCCCTTCAGAATGATGTAACACTGCATATGACTGTTGATATGATATCAAAAATTCTCTGGGGGACAAGAGGAATGTGACAGAGCAATTTTGTTGTTTATTTATGACAATCAAAGGCAGCAGAGTTGTATGTTTAGGTTTGTGCTTCCAGGTATTATGCAGTTTCCCCAAACACTTTGAGCTCTGTTTCCTTCACTTGATATAAACTTCATAAGGGAAATGTGAACAGATGGGAAAAAAACAGGAGAAAAATATGTGTGTGTCTCTGTAATGACAAAATTATTTCCTCCAAAAAGTGCATGAACACGTGAGGCAGCACTGAAGACTACTGCTTCTACCACTGTGTGATTAATTCTGCGTGAACCTCGTAACACCAGCAAATACAATCTACTTAAATACTTTAAGAAACTCAATGAACATACGTCATCATAGTTGCTTTAATTATATAAGTAACAGTGCAATAATATGTTGGTAACATGACCTGGTACATGTTATCTGACCTTTCCTCTAGATAGAAATGCAAATCCACATTCACACACACACTCACACACACATGCAGGCGTGCACAGGACTGGGAACAGCAGTCAAATTTATCTTAGTCAGGCAGACAGCTAAGTGCCAACTGTCTCCACCCCATAGTGCGACACTTGACTTCCATGTCTAGAATACCACCACTCATGGCACAGATGATAACCTTTGATAACTACATCTGCACACACACACAGACACACATACATGTACATGTGAGCAGACACATACACGCTGCCTCTGTTGTGACAGATGATAGTCTCTCATGTTGATGCAGACATATTATTTTCACTTCTCACACTGTGAGTTACAGTATATGAGACATGTACAGAGCAGGTTTGAACACAGATGTGGTGACACGAAGGAGATATGGCATACAGTACATTCAGGAAACTCATCAACAGTACTTAGAGTCCTTGTTCTGCTGCTGGAAGCTGATGTCATGTAGAACTAATTTCACAGGCATGGATATAATTCCCAGACTAAAATTATTTTTCTACAGATTTTTCCTGTAGTGTTCATATCCATGTACTTTAAATCACCTTGTAACATGACAATGTAGCATTAAAAAAGCATTACTGTGTGCGTTGGAAGGCGACATCAACATCGACATCTCACATCTGTATGTGAGACGCCGTTAATTTTTTTGTTTTGGTGAAGAGTACCAGTTTTGAATGTTTGTGTGTATGTTTCTGGGTCTGGGAGTTGTGTCTGATCCACTTCTGGCTATCTACCAAACATCTTCATGCCAATATTTCTGTGTGTGTGTGTGTGTGTGTGTGTGTGTCTCCACCATGTGGCCAGTATGAAGAGTTGGAAGGATATGCGAAAGGAGATCCTGTATCTAACTGCAAATGCCACAGGCTCTCCAAACCAGATGTACCAGGCCGTTTCACGTATCGTCTGCGGACACCCTGAAGGAGGTGGCCTCAAAATTAAGTCTCTTAACTGGTATGAAGACAACAACTACAAGGCCCTGTTTGGAAACCATGGCAACGACAGTGACAGTGAACCCCTCTCTGCTTACGACAACTCCTCAAGTAAGTGTCTAGGGCAGATCGACTCTAAGGGACCTTTTCTTTTTTTCACTTTTGTCAGAGTTCTGAGTCCTTAACAAGTCCAAATCAAAAGACTCAAAATGTCTTTGTCTTTGTTTCCCAGCCCCTTATTGTAACAACATGATGCGGAGCCTGGAGTCCAGCCCCATTTCCAGGATGATCTGGAGAGCTCTGAAGCCACTGCTCATGGGGAAGATCCTGTACACCCCAGATACTCCTGCAACGCAGAGGATCATCCACGAGGTACAAGAGGCCCCTCTCATGTCTAAAAGCCTATCAGAACAATCATTTACAATGAATTAAATGACTAAGGATGTGTGTGTGTGTGTGTGTGTGTGTGTGTGTGTGTGTGTGTGTGTGTGTGTGTGTGTGTGTGTGTGTGTGTGTGTGTTCGCTGCAGGTTAATAAGACCTTCCAGGAGCTCGGGGTTCTGAGGGACCTTGGAGGGATGTGGGAGGAGATGAGGCCCAAAGTTTGGAACTTCATGGAGAATAGCGAGGAAATGGACCTGGTTAGGGTGAGTGGGAAGCACTGACATTCTTCACGTACACACATCAGAGCTGTGTTCTCAGCGTTCTTCCTGTTTACATAAAGGGTTTAAGCACAGCAATCTGTGCATTTCTCCGACTAAAGTGTAATTATGTGTCCGATGTGACTTGCAAAGGAAGGACCATTCAAGTTTTCAAGCTTCTGTGGAGGTCTCCACCCCAGAGTTTTAGTTGCGATAGCATTAAGAATAATATCTGACTACCCCTGAATATAACAAAGAGACTTTATGCTTTATTAGCTTCTTCTCAGGCTGATGAAAGTGCTTGTAACCATGCAGGAAGAGGACAGAGGCAAAGAGCGTGAACATGAGAGAGACAAAAATCAATGAATAATACACAGACAGATAATTCAGATGAAAGGGACAAAGAGCTTAGGTCAACCACAAAATTTGATTAGTTGAGATAGATAGCTAGATAGATGTTGTATTAACATGTGGATCTGGCTGCCATCTAAAAACATGAAGCAAAGCAAGGCTCGGCCTCATTTAAATAATTTGTTCTCAATGATCAGATCAAAGCGGGGACAAGCACACAGCGTGTTGGTATTCGTGCTCACAGGACTACTTGTTCTGTCGTGATTAATGGGTGTAAAAATGAAGTCCGTCTTGCAGGATCAGACATTTACTATCATGTGCTTAAGGAAACAGTCCCATATAATTCACACTTCTTCTTCCCTTTTCTCATCTAAATTGCATATGCACCGCTTCCACCTAGTGGTGAAAGGTGATATTTTTGTAGAGTACATATGTGCGTCATATCTTCAAACCAGTAGTTCAAATTTAACATAAAGCACAGTTTCACTTTAATTTGTTCTGATGACAAGTTTTCGAAAATAACAGGGCTTATATAGTGTTTGATTAGAGGAAATAGGTTTCTCTGTCTGGGAAAGAGGGAAATGGCTGCAGTAAAAGAGACAATGATTTTGACAAAAGCCTTGAACTTGGACCTTAGAAATTCAAATGATAGTAAAATAGGTCACAAGCCACACAGAACGGTACACAAAAACACACTCAAGAGAGTGCAGCAGTAATAAGGGTCAGAGAACCAAACGAGCCTTAAGGCATACTTTTTCACTGCTGTTTGACATACATTTTTCAGTGCAGGAGGCAAAGGGTTAAAAAAAAGATGTTAAATTTTTATGACAGCATGAAATTAACTCTTGTAAAATTCAGGTATTTGGGTTTTCTTTATCTCAATGTGTAATAAAACGTAGACTCTCAGACACGAATACATTGTCCATAATAATCAATATAAATCTTTCACATTGTTTTGTTTTTGCAGACTCTGCTCCAGAATAACGCCAGTGCTGCATTCTTAAACACCCAGCTCAGTGGGACTGAGTGGCACGTGTCAGATGTGTTTGAATTCCTGTCCAAGGCCTCAGAGGACCCAAGACCCGCAGGATCCACCTACACCTGGAGAGATGTCTTCAACGAAACCGACCAGGCCATACAGACCATCTCACGCTTCATGGAGGTTAGTGTGTGAGCGAAAGATGAAGGACGCATCACCAAAAAGACAGCATACACAAAATAAATAATAATAACAATAATTATGACAACAATAACAATAATAGTAATAATATACGGTATTATATATGTTGGCCCATATTTGTATGGGTCTTAAGTTGAGTCTGTAAAATTGCTGTTATCAATCCTTCATTTAGGTCAAGATTCAAAGAAAACCTCGTGGAGGTTAAATGCCAATTGTCCATTTAGGTCAGAACATTACAAAATCCTCCAGTATCTTCCATTGTTTCCTAGTGCACTTTGAACTACATTAGGATCTCGGCACAGCTATTAAAAGCCTTGAAATCAAATGTTCTTTTTCTTTCCTTCCCTTGTCGAGCTAAATCATTGCTATGCTGAGTGTGTCACTGCTCCCTGTCGCTGTGTATTGGGTCAGTATGCCAGAGCCGAGCTTTAGCGATAAACAATCACCCCTAAACTCCTGCCAAATGTTGATCAATGTTCATGCCCCAGTGAATGGGTAATGATTGTCTAATTCATCTGTGTCAGAGGATTTCTTCACTCAGATGTCTATAAAATAAACATCATGTACCTCTGATATATATACTAATAATCAGATTGCTTCAATAAATAATGATGTTTTCCACACCATACGCTGATGACGTAGACAACTGATAAGAGACTGATGATCTTCTAAATATAACAGATGATATTTTGTGCGGCCACCTCATGACATTAAACTCACCTCAGTGTCCTCTTCCCTCTTATCACTGTGAATAATGCAATAAATCATTTACAAATAGAGAATGTTAAACCCTAACATTAGGTCAGTTAGGTATCTTTGTCACACAAATATTGAACTCACTGAATTTTCTTTGACCCTGTTTACATCTAGCAACACTGCAAACGACCCACTGACCTACCGACTGTGCCTCCCCTTTTAAGAGGATCATATTATGTGTGTAAACTGACATTTTTCACACCAAAAACTATGTCAAGGCCTCACATGACCATAAAAGACTGTCGCGCCCGTAAGCATTAGGAGTGCTCATGCAGTATTTTCATTACGCCTTCAGAACTCAATGGCTTCTCACACACTCGGAATGAGGGGATGGGGTATAAATCATCTTATGTTAGCTAAATATGTGAGAGGCTAATCTGTAGGAGGTCTCAACAAATCAGCTAAACAAAATGTGCTAAGGTTACTCATTGTCTACCCAAGTCACATGAATTTGTGTATAAAGTTTATAGTTGTTAAGAACTTTTGAGCAATATTTGTGAGGAAAAGGGTGTGATTGTTTGAGGAGGAATTGTCATGACCTGTGCGTAAGCGTTGATTAGTTTGTTTTGGAGGCGTTAAAGAGCTGTCAGTCAAAATGAGCTACAGGCGGATGACTCTGTAAACAACAGCAGCTTCAAAACACCATTAGGACCATTTTACATTAACATTTTAAGTAGTATTATTCTTCTGCAAAACATCCTACCACTTGTCTGTTTTCCTTTTCCATCCTTCTTTAACTAGACATTTACATCTTACAACAGCTAATGCTCTTTTCTTATCAAACTGATCAACACATGGCATAAACCCCCTCTCCCTCCTTCAGTGCGTGAACCTGGACAAGCTGGAGCCGGTAGCTAATGAGGAGCGATTGGTCAACAAGTCCATGGGTCTCCTGGACAACCAGAAATTTTGGGCAGGAATCGTGTTTCCTGACATCGCCCGTAGCAACAGCACTGACCTGCCTCCCAATGTCAACTATAAGATCCGCATGGACATTGATAACGTGGAGAGGACGAACAAGATTAAAGATGGGTAAGGGTCCAATTATTATTTAATCTGTGATCATTTGCAGATTTTCAGAGTTTTATTTCATCATGAGACTTCTAACCTTCATCTTGCATTGTAGGTATTGGGATCCTGGTCCCAGAGCTGACCCCTTCGAGGACCTTCGGTACATTTGGGGTGGATTTTCCTACCTGCAGGACGTCATCGAGCATGGAATCATCAGAGCCATCACTGGCACCAAGGAGAAGACGGGCATCTACATTCAGCAGATGCCTTACCCCTGTTACGTTGATGACATGTAAGTGAACAGTGTGGGTGGAAAAACTAAAAAAATCTTTTCCTCTACAGGTACTTGACGGGATGTGTGGCTCATTTTTTCGTACCTTTTTTTTCACAGCTTCCTTCGGGTGATGAGTCGTTCGATGCCTCTCTTCATGACCTTGGCATGGATGTACTCAGTGGCCATCATCATCAAGGGCGTTGTGTACGAGAAGGAGGCACGGCTCAAGGAGACCATGAGGATCATGGGACTGAACAACGGCACCCTGTGGCTCAGCTGGTTCATCAGCAGTTTAATCCCACTGCTGATCAGCGCGGGCTTGTTGGTGATGTTATTGAAGGTTGGTGTTGGACTTAGACAAGCACACATACATGTGCACAAAGGCATCATCACACAGGAATGTCAACAAATTAGAGGGGGAAAAATTGACATATTCACACTGATCATCGCTGATGTTCATACTCAACATTTAACTTGATGGTCACTCTTGTTTTTCCATGACTACAATTCTTCATTGTCAAGAAATGTCCTCATCTTGTGGAAAACAAGTGATATCATACTGCTGTAACCGGGAAACAATTTAACTCTGCTTTTCTTTCTCCCCCCCCCCCTTCTCAGATGGGAAACCTGCTCCCTTACAGCGACCCGGGTGTTGTGTTTCTATTCCTTGGATCATTCGGCGTAGTAACCATCATGCAGTGTTTCCTCATCAGCACCCTGTTCTCGCGTGCTAACTTGGCAGCTGCCTGCGGTGGGATCATCTACTTCACCCTCTACCTACCCTACGTGCTGTGTGTCGCCTGGCAAGACTACGTTGGCTTTGGAGCAAAAGTTGTTGTGGTGTGTGGAAGGAATTTGATAATACACGTGCGAATACTCAGCATTTTGTGTTGAGTGTTGCTGCTGAGTTGCAAGTCTCTAGTATTTGTTCAGATGGACATACCCAAAAAGTCACATCTGTAAATCTACATGCATTCTGTGGTTATTAAGTTATTATGGAGTTATTTTTTCTCTCCACTAAACTCTGGTTTCTCTGCTCTTCCCTCAGAGTCTGCTGTCTCCTGTTGCGTTTGGGTTTGGCTGTGAGTACTTTGCCCTGTTTGAGGAGCAAGGTGTGGGTATCCAGTGGTCGAACCTGCTGGCCAGCCCTCTGGAGGAAGACAGCTACAACCTGACCACCTCTATCTGCCTCATGCTGTTTGACGCCGTTCTGTATGGAATAATGACCTGGTACATCGAAGCTGTGTTTCCTGGTGAGTCACAGACGAAGTTTACAATTGTGTTTCTAAATCAGTGATGTACGGTTGCTAGTATTATGAGTTCTTGAGGTTTTTTTAGTGGACGGGGCAAAAAGATAAAAATAAAACAATTCTTTCTATTCCAGGTCAGTATGGGATCCCCAGGCCTTGGTATTTCCCTTTCACTAAGACGTACTGGTGTGGGGAGAAAGAGAACAAGAACATCTCCACCCCTCTGTCAAAGAAGGGCAATGCTGAAGGTGCAAATCATAATCATTGTTTTCATGGAAGAATATTCAGATACAAAACCTTTACTGAAACATTGTCACATGTGAAGGGTTAAGTCTTTTCAAACATTTGCTTATGTCGTTGTCTTTACTTTATCCACAGCTGTGTGCATTGAGGAGGAACCGGGCCACATCGACCCAGGTGTCTACATTGAGAATCTAGTGAAGGTCTACAGCCATGGAAACAAGCTCGCTGTAGACGGACTGTCCCTGAGGTTCTATGAAGGACAGATCACCTCCTTCCTCGGACACAATGGAGCTGGCAAGACCACAACTATGTAAGATAATCCACACTTAATCATACAGTACAACTACAACGCTCCAAGAGAGGAGTTAAGGGAATTTGTACTCAGTTGAGATTGTGATTGACTGTTGTGTCTCTTCCTGGTTTTCTAATAGGTCAATCCTGACGGGGTTGTTCCCACCCACCTCTGGTACAGCCTACATCCTCGGCAAGGACATCCGCACTGAACTGAGCACCATCCGACAGAATCTGGGCGTCTGTCCCCAGCACAACGTACTTTTCAGCATGTATGTGTCCAGTATCAGGGACTGAATTCTTAGCATGCGTGTAGCCTCTTTGTGCTCTGGTGATCATGTGGTTTTTTGGCTTGCTGTAATCCAGGCTGACGGTTGAGGAACACATCTGGTTCTACGCCCGTCTGAAGGGGCTGCCGGAGGAGAAGGTGAAGGCTGAGATGGAGCAGATTGTCAACGACGTTGGACTGCCTCACAAGCGACAGTCTCGCACCAGCACCCTGTCCGGTCAGTTTGATTATTTTAAATTTTGTATCTTCATTTCCGTGTAAAGGGCAATTTTGAAAGGTGTGATTCTAACTTTTTGTCCCTGTTGTCTTTGTAGGTGGGATGCAGAGGAAGTTGTCGGTGGCCCTGGCTTTTGTTGGGGGCTCAAAGGTTGTGATCCTGGATGAACCTACTGCTGGCGTTGACCCTTATGCACGCAGGGGAATCTGGGACCTGCTGCTTAAATACAGACAGGGTGAATACTACTATACTTGATATATTTAATTTTTTCATTTTTATGTATCATTATGTCAAAGACCACTCAGAAACTATCAACTTGAGCTGACTGTGTTTTTCCCTCCCGTCAGGCCGCACCATCATCCTGTCCACTCATCACATGGATGAGGCTGACATCCTGGGTGACAGAATCGCCATCATTTCCCACGGCAAGCTGTGCTGTGTAGGCTCCTCGCTCTTCCTGAAGACTCACCTGGGGACGGGCTACTACCTGACCCTGGTCAAGAGAGATTACGACCTGACGCTTCAGTCCTGCAGGAATTCTGCCAGCACCGTCTGCTACAGCAAGAAAACAGAGAAGGTATAAAAGAGATGTAACAAGTCACATTAGAAATTAGTTTTAGAAGGATGAAAAATAAATGGTCTCATTTCCAGTAATGATACTGACATAAAATACAGGAGCTTGTTCTTTTTCTGTCTGATTAATCGCTCGGTTCATCACGTTTCATTCTTTCACATTGTGCCCAAAAGCAAACACGTGCAGTTTGTGACAGACTTTTCTCGCGCCAGACTCGAGAGTTTAATTAGCAAAGAGTTAAAAATAGAAAGGATAATTTATTACCAGAAAGCAATCAAACGTTTAATTTAGTCTTACTAAACTGTTTACCTCTTTTGTCTTTTGTTCAGGAGGACAGCGTATCAGAGAGCAGTTCAGATGCTGGTTTGGGCAGCGAACCGGAAAGTGAAACCACCACTATTGGTAAGAACCTACAATAAACTGGCTACCTTAGCAGAGGACAGGTTTTTTTTCTTTCTCCTGTAGAATTAACTTTACAAGAAATGTAAGATGTCAGTGTTTTTTATTCCCTCTCATCAAGCTCTCGCTCTTTCTGCCCATTCTTGTCCTACAGATGTCTCCCTCATCTCCAACGTGATATTCAAGCATGTCCCAGAGGCTCGCCTGGTGGAGGATCTCGGCCATGAGCTCACCTATGTCTTGCCCTACCAGTCCGCTAAAGATGGAGCTTTTGTGGAGCTTTTCCACGAGCTTGACGACAGACTCACCGACCTGGGAATATCCAGCTATGGAATATCTGATACCACCCTGGAAGAGGTAATGAGCACTTAAGAGCTGACTGACCTTTTTGTCTGGTCTTCCACAGTTGGCCTTCCATTGTTGGCTGTAAATTAAAAGATCAGTCACCATCTGTTTTTAAGTTTAGCCGCTGTTTTAATCTTGTGTCCTCCATCTCTTCAGATTTTCCTCAAAGTGGCCGAGGACAGTGGAGTCGACTCTGTTGAGCTTTCAGGTGAGATTTATGAGATTTTCCAGTCTGCACGATAATATTTATACACCTGAACGACAGGTTGTAGTGGGACATCACCATTAAACAAAACAGAAAACATGAAACTGCAGTGGGTTAAATTAATTCGTCTACTCTCCTGTGGCTGCAGATGGAGTCGTACCAACCAGGACTCGTCGTCGTCATGCCTTTGGAGACCACCAGAGCTGCCTGAAACCGTTCACTGAGGATGACTTCGATTTCAACGACTCTGAAGGTGACCCAGGTAGAACTGCACTACCCAGCATGCAGTGCAATGATAGCAACAGCCTTGTTGCTGCCATTCATATATTGTTTTTTTCTTTTTTTGTTTTTATTTTAGTTTGTTTTTAAACTAGATTTATGTTGTGAAGCGTTAAAATGAGTTGCTTTGTGCCAGTAAAGTTGCCTTTACAGACAGTTATTGTTAGCAATGTGACAAAATCAGGACAGACACTTATCATGTTGCAAGTTTGCTCATGTGTATCGTGGCGTCTGTGTACAGAATCCCGTGAGACCGACTGGCTCAGCGGAACAGATGGCAAAGGTTCGTACCAGGTCAAAGGCTGGAGTCTGAAGAGACAGCAGTTTGTTGCACTACTCTGGAAACGATTTCTCTACGCTCGGCGCTCCAGGAAAGGCTTCTTTGCTCAGGTACGCCGGTGCTATTTTCGTATACGCACACAGCACATATAGAGGAAACCACTGTACGGGTCTCTCTGCCTTGCATCATTCGTGCAAGATTTTCTTAACAACTTCATGTTACAATGAAGCAGTAAATCTAAGGTGTGACAGTTTTCATGTGTGTTCGATGTAATAAATCTTGACGGTGCTGTTTTTCAGATCGTTCTCCCTGCAGTGTTTGTGTGTATTGCCCTGGTGTTCAGCCTGATTGTTCCTCCCTTTGGAAAGTACCCCAGTCTGGCTCTGGATCCCAGCATGTATGGAGAGCAGTTCACCTTCATCAGGTGAGATCTTTTTCTTTCTGTCTTTCCTCCTTTTCACCCACTTATCATTCTAATAATAAAACTATAGCTAACCAGTTATCTGTCAAACCACTCTTTAATCTTCAGTTCACCTCAATCGAGTCTTTCTCGTGTCCTGTCAAGAAAAAGAAATGAACAAGCACATTTTCCCTAAAGAAATGTGTTGTTTGCATCTAAAAAGTGCACAACTGATAAAATATGTAAAAGGTTACCTAACTGTACTTACATTCACACGTTACCTAACTGACAAATTTTAAACTCACTGGCGTAGCAGGAAAAAGTGCTGAAACTGCACTGAATCCTTACAGGGATTCACAATAACAGTTGTGAAGAAACTATGAAACTCAGGATAAACATCTTCTGTGTTATGTAATGGGTTCTCTTGTGTCTTCGTAGTAATGACATACCTGACGATCCTCACACCAATAAACTACTGGGAGCTCTGACAGAAAAACCAGGATTTGGAACACGCTGCATGGAAGGAGAGCCCATACCGTGAGTTTTGTTTTGTTTTTTTTTTTGTTAATGTAAAATAGGAAAAAGTCGAAAATAGAAATATATAGATCTAGAGTAGATCTATATATATAGTAGTAGTAGTAGTGTATCGTACTCTACACACACTCATAAAATGGTAATTTGAAGTTTAATATAAACTTGTCTCAACTCAGGGACACGTCCTGCACTGCAGTAGAGGACGAGTGGTCGATCCCACAAGTTTCTCAAAGTGTGAAGGACATGTTTGAAAAAGGCAACTGGACCATGGAGAATCCGTCTCCCCTGTGTGAGTGCAGCTGCGAAGGGCGCAAGAGGATGCTGCCGGAGTGTCCAGCTGGTGCTGGGGGACTTCCACCACCGCAGGTTGGTGACACCAAACATGTATAAAGTCAAAACCGAAGTGTTAGTACTCCACAAAATTACAAAAGTAAAAATTCAAATAAGTAATATATTCTCTTAAACACACAAAAATGTTAATCAAGTTTTTTGCCTGTTTGTGTGTCCAGATGAAGATCAGTGACAAAGACACTCTTCAGAATTTGACTGGCAGAAACATCTCAGACTATCTGGTTAAAACCTACGCGCAGATTATTGGAAAGAGGTAACGCTGATCTCAAATATTTGTGTTAATTCTGGCTTCATTGTGTCATTTCTCACTCAAGGAATTGTTAACCGTTAAATATTTTTTCTTCTCTTACAGCCTGAAGAACAAGATTTGGGTCAACGAGTTCAGGTACATTATCAGATATCTTCCATCTTCAGTTTACTGGTATATCAATAGTATTGATCTGAGTGCAGCTCAGCTGTGTCCTTCACTGATATTAAAATGATGGTGCTCTCCACAGATACGGTGGATTCTCACTGGGGGCCAGGAATTCTCAGCTTCTGTCCAACAGAGATGAAATTGACGATGCAATCGTGGAGCTAAGGAGACGCTTCCGCCTGGAGAGGGTTAGAGATTTCATTACAGTACTGTTTTACATCCTACACTTAACTGGTCTGTAGCAGCCTGTTACTCAGGAAAAGCAAACTGGTTAAATTTTACTGCTGCAGTTTCAGTCATAGACACTAGCTCTTGTATAAAGGGAATCATTTCAACATTTTTATGTTTTTGCAATTATAGCTGTAGTGAAATTAAATTTGATGGACTCATGTTATTGTAGGTTTGAACAGTGTCAGTTTTCCATGGACTAAAGAAGACTCTCTCTCTCTCTCTCCCACTTGCCTTCTCTCTCTGCCTCACCCATCCTCCAGGGAACTGCAGCAGATCGTTTCTTTCGCAGTCTCTCCAGTTTTATCCAAGGACTGGACACCAAGAATAACGTCAAGGTTAGCACAGACACCCGCACACACACACTAACACACTCACACACTCATACAGGTTATACAACGTCACATGGCTCTGTAGATTACTGTCAAGCCTCCCTGAACAAATCCTTCAGTGATGCCACTGTTACACCCATGTAGACACAAAATGTATCACTCATTCTATTCATATTGTGTAATTTGATTGTATAACAACTAATTTCTTCACTTCGTAGATTAAAAACTTGCATAGCTTTCGGCCCCACAGTGCTGACACATTTCATGCTTTTTGTTTTTTACTCTTTATTCCTCACTTGTGCAACATATATTTCTTTTTTCAATGCTTCAGAATAAGTATATTCCTTTAAATTCCACCTAAAAAACTATAAAAACAAACAATAAAACGATGGATGCCATAGTAACAACCTAAGTACATGTGCAGTATTCCTGTGAATATAGACAAAGCTCATTTAGACCGAACAAAGAAAGGCATAGAAATGGGGCTAAAGGGGGACTCAATCATTTAGTGGGAACAGAGCCACTTTTCAAGAACAAAATCTTCCAATTTTTCCTCTGTTCACCAAGCTAGTAATTTACTTTCAGGCTGCTCTGTTTTTTCCTCTGAGGTTACAGAGACTAAAATGTCACATCTGCTTTTCTTTTCTCCAGATCTGGTTTAACAACAAGGGCTGGCACAGCATCGGCTCTTTCCTCAATGTGATGAACAACGGCATCCTGCGGGCAAGTCTGCCAACAGGGGAAGACCCCACAAAGTTTGGCATCACTGCCTACAATCATCCGCTCAACCTCACCAAGGAGCAGCTGTCACAGGTCGCATTGTGAGTATTAGAACATGGGGGTACATTTGTAAATCTCATTTCTGTCTCATTGCTATGACATTTACCACGTCTCATTCTCATTTCTTCATTCGCTCTCCTCTCTCTCTCACTCAGGATGACGACATCAGTGGACGTGCTGGTGTCCATCTGCGTGATCTTCGCCATGTCCTTTGTCCCGGCCAGTTTTGTGGTTTTCCTCATCCAGGAGAGAGTGAACAAGGCGAAACACATGCAGTTCATCAGTGGGGTGCAGCCTTTCCTCTACTGGCTGGCCAACTTTGTCTGGGATATGGTAAGAAACTCCAGTTCTGCCACTGGTTCCTCTCCAAACTGAATGAGAAATGAAAGAGAAAAGTCAGAATGCATTTTTTTTTTTTTTGGTCTTTTTAAAGCTCACTTGAAGCCTCCTTTTCTTCCTCTCTTGCAGTGCAACTACATCGTCCCGGCCACATTGGTTATCATTATCTTTGTGTGTTTCCAACAAGACGCCTACGTCTCCTCCACCAATCTGCCTGTGCTGGCTCTGCTGCTGCTGCTCTACGGGTGAGTTTGACTCAAGTTCCCTTTGATTTATTTTTCCTTCTTTCATAATTTTCTCTTCTCACCTAAAGTGATCTTTGTGTCTCCTTCCAGATGGTCGATCACCCCTCTGATGTACCCAGCCTCATTTTTCTTTAAGATCCCCAGCACGGCCTATGTGGTTCTGACCAGCGTAAACATATTGATCGGAATCAATGGCAGCGTCTCTACATTTGTACTGGAGCTGTTTGGGAGCAATGTGAGTAATGTCTTAATGGAGCAGTCAATGGATTGATTGTTGATTCAAAAATGTGCAGCATGATTAAACCGGATTGAATATTAACTGTGAATGTTGACGTCACTCCTGTTTCAGGAGATCGGTGGTATCAACGACATACTGAAGAACGTGTTCCTCATCTTCCCGCACTTCTGTCTGGGCAGAGGACTGATTGACATGGTGAAGAATCAGGCAATGGCTGATGCTTTGGAAAGATTCGGTAAGCACAACAGACCTCTATCAACAAGTGCCGTGTATTCTTACTGTAAAAAAATGTACTTGTATTGGTTTTGACAAGATGTTCGAGAGTATTAAGTGCAGAAATGTCGGTTCTGTCGTAGGTGAAAACCGATTCCGTTCCCCTCTGGCCTGGGACATGGTGGGAAAAAACCTGTTTGCAATGGCCATAGAGGGCGTTGTCTTCTTCTGCATCACTGTCCTCATTCAGTACCGCTTCTGCATTAAGGCCAGGTGGGTGATACATGTGCTTTGATATTCATTAAAAGTTCCTTCTCCACGCAACACAGCACCCCTGTCTAAGACCTCAAAACTAAATACTTAAAATGAGGTCTGCCCTGGCGAGTCTGTCTTAAATATGACTTCTCCTCATTCCATTGCCTGTGATCTTCCAGGTCTTCCACCAGTCATCTGAAGCCTATTGGAGAAGAAGATGAGGATGTGGCCAGAGAGCGACAGAGGATCCTGAGTGGAGGAGGACAGTCAGACATCCTTGAGCTCAGGCAGCTTACCAAGATTTACAAGCGCAAACAGAAGCCAGCAGTGGACCGGCTGTGTGTTGGCATCCCCCCCGGAGAGGTACGATACAGATACAGTATCTTACACCTGTTAATACCTGCCACACATGAATCTAGACCAGGCCACCAGGAAAACACAAGGGTTTGAGTGTTGAAACTGTTTTATTTAGAGGATGTCCTGGTTTATTTTCAAATTGGGTTAAAAAGATTACCAGCTAATTCAATGAATTTGTAAGACTGAGTGAAGACATTCCTGTGAAAATTAAAGTCACTTGTGTTGAGGTTAATATTGTCTTTCTTTTCCTGCAGTGCTTCGGTTTGCTGGGAGTGAATGGAGCAGGGAAAACCAGCACCTTTAAAATGCTGACAGGAGACTCTGTGGTCACCAGTGGAGAGGCCTACCTGGCTGGTAAAAGGTGAGGACATGTTATACCACAAAAGAAACAATAGATCTGATCATTTGTTATAGAATATATTTATATATATATATCTCCTATGCGGCCTGTCTGACTGAAGATATAGGAATAATGAGATAATAACAAGCAGATTTTCTTTGATTTGTGAGGGAAAAAAATACAATATATTGACATATTTTTGCTGTCCGTAAAACGTAATCATGCTCTTCTTTGTGTTCATCGCACTCCAGTGTAACTACAGAGATCGATGAAGTGCATCAGAACATGGGCTACTGTCCTCAGTTTGACGCTATCAATGACCTGCTGACCGGCAGAGAGCATCTCGAGTTCTACGCCATCCTGAGAGGAGTGCCTGAGAAGGAAGTCTGCGAGGTCAGCAACAAACAAACACTTACACACATGCATAAACCTACTGTATTATCTATGACTTACTCTGTTAGTCTTATTCTGCTGATCTTTTTATATATATATATATATTAAACGGACAATTCTACTTTTGTTGTCTTGTTTTTCCATTTTCAGTCTATGTTAATGAAAAATATGTGTATTTATATATTATATGGATGACACTGAAATCTTTATCCTGCCCACTAGGTGGCAGAGTGGGGCATCCGGAAGCTGGGGTTGGTCAAATATGTGGACAAGTCGGCTGGCAGCTACAGTGGAGGAAACATGAGGAAACTGTCTACTGCCATCGCTCTCATAGGAGGACCACCTGTTGTGTTTCTGGTTAGTGAAACAAAACAACAACAATTTTTTTTCATAAAGCAGGTCCGCAGTGGTTCCTAAAGACAGCAGGTTGTTTGTTCAACGCTATCCTGTAGCACCAGCTGAGTATCTGTTGTTTCCTGTTCACAGGATGAACCAACGACGGGCATGGACCCTAAAGCACGTCGGGCCTTATGGAACGCCATCCTCAGCATCATCAAAGAGGGACGATCTGTAGTCCTGACCTCTCACAGGTTAGACTCGCCATCTGAACTACATCCATTCAGTTAACCATACATTTATGTCTACCAACACACCATGAACTATTTTTTGTTTCATTTATGTATTTTTCCCAACATTACTAACCTCATTTCTCGTTGTTTACAGTATGGAGGAGTGTGAAGCACTTTGCACCAGGATGGCCATCATGGTCAATGGCAGGTTCCGCTGTCTTGGCAGCGTACAGCACCTCAAAAACAGGTAGGAAGACACGCCAGAGCAATAGCACACACATACACTTTCTTAGTAGAAGAAATTTTAAAATGAGAAATTTTTAATTGGCTAACTGTCTTACAGTATGATAATTTACAACACTGTCATATATAGTAATAATAATTTTAAATACAGAAATATTTTTCAGTTTTTTTTAAGTGCTTTTGTGTTTAAAGCACATAAACATGCAGCAGTTAAAGTATTTATGGAGCCCACAAGAATGATGTGAATAAAGAGAAGAAGGGTGCCACGTGCAAGAGAAAAGATAAATGCCACAATAGACAGACATTGCTCAGACTTATCAAAGATTTACGATGCAAAAACATCACAAGTGAAAGTCAAGCACCAAGAAATGTCCTGAGAAAATGAAAAATAAAAAAAAAGTTATCTTCATTTTCCAGTTTGATGAAATATCCTTCTTTTCTGTATTATCAGGTTTGGTGATGGCTACACCATCATCTTGCGGGTGGCGGGGCCAGACCCAGACCTTCGGCCAGTGATGGAGTTCATTGAGCGGGAGCTGCCAGGCAGCACACTGAAGGAGAAACACCGCAACATGCTGCAGTACCAGCTGCCCTCATCCCTCACCTCCCTCGCCCGCATCTTCTCCCTGCTCTCCAAGAACAAGGAGGCGCTCAGCATAGAGGACTACTCAGTCTCTCAGACCACTCTAGACCAAGTAAGCAAATGTACCCAAGGCTCTGACCATAATTGGGTTTCATCTTCAACTTAAGCAAAGAGTAATTTCCTTTTCCTCCTGTTTTCCCCCCCTGCAGGTGTTTGTAAATTTCGCCAAGGACCAAAGTGACGAGGACCATTTGAAAGACGTCCATCTGAGCAAGCGAGATGCTGTGGTAGTGGACTTTTCCCAGCTAAACTCCTTCCTCACGGACAACAAGACAAGGGAGAGTTGCGTCTGATTCCACAACATACCATCAGTGGGAGTTGCTATGCTTCACCCACCCTCCCCCGACCCCAGAAAATATGGACCACTAACCTGAGGGGGAGATGAACTATGTTCATTTTTTTTTTATTTCTATTTTTTAGTCTTTTTTAATTGTTATCATTTCTCAGTGGACCTGCACTTAAGCGCACAGCCTCTTGAAAAGGCAGAGACTGCAGGTTTCGTGACAGACACTGAAACAATGAAAACTCAATGCAAATCAATGCAAGACATATATAAATATATTTAAGATGAGGAGATATTCCTGTGAAGGTTGGAGACTGGTGCTTCTCCTTCACTGGGTGGACAGAGAGAAAGAAAAAGACTCAGAACACTTGAAGCTACAGCAGGATTATAATGCTGTGTTAGACTGGAAAATGGACAAGGCATCGGGGATGATAGAAGGAAATATCTCTAGTTTTTAATCCCCAATCCTAGAAGTAGTTAGCAGTAGTCAGTGGGGCTGTGTACGTGCTACTCTGTATCGTGAAATCACGGCAGCATAAAACAAACAACCAAGTTTGGATCATTCACTGCCAACTGCTAAAAGATGGACTGGCTGACTACTTTTTTATTCAGGGTCAAACTTCTCTCAATCTCACTTCGTTACCAAGCGCAGTTGTTTTGTAATGGAAGTGATCTTATAAAAGCATTTTCAATCCAAGTGATTTCAGTCAGAAACATGCTATCATGCAAGATATTAATTTTTACTAATTAGATTTTTTTAAGATAACTTAATTCTACTTGACAAATATAACCTCTATGAAGTTTTTTTTTTTCCTTTTTTGGATAACAATTAAGATTGATAACCAAGTTGTCTTTTTTATTTGTTGTTCTTGGTGTCCTTGACATTGTCCAGCACAGTGCCTATACTGTATCATGGTGGAGAGAGGAATCTGAGCACTCCATCAAACACAACAATGTATGTAGGCTGCCAAGGAATGTATAAGACAGATACCAACAGACATCAAAGCACAAAAATGAGCTTTTTGTTGAGATGATGAATGAAAACATGACTGTTTTTTTTTTTTGGAAATCTGTGTCCTTTATTGTCATAAGACAAAACAAAACAAAACAAAACAAAACAAACAAAAATGAACGTGGTTGCTTGATGTCTGTACACGATGTACAGTCTCCTGTACTGGCTTGTTGTTCCTCGCCCTGTCCTCTGTAAGCGGAACTGAGGGCTAATCAAAGCGGACACAAGAAAGCCGAAGATTGCTGAAGAGTTTTCGAAAGTTCATTGGACATGTTGCATGCTTCCCACTGGCGAACACACCTTGACTATCAGCACTTCTATGTGTGTGTGCCAAAGCATGCCGTCAGCTTGTAAAGGACTGAACTCTGCTTCACTGTTGTTGGATTACTGGCGCATATATATACATGTGGAGTCTACATCCAAATCCTGTTGTAAAAAATGTGATATTGATGGAAGATGAAAATGTTCTTGCAGCTAATTCTGTAGATCCCATACAAGGGGAGGGGTCAGTTTCACAGCTACTGTGCTTGTATGGGATCTAAAGTTGGCACCTCTTCCAGTAACATATGCTTTTAGACATATGAGCTGTGTGAGGGCATGATGGGAGTGTTTCAGACCTGAGCCAGTGGCGATGTGGATATTATGTACAGTAGCAATTGTGTGATGTCAAGTAAAAAAAAAAAATGTTACCAGTGGAGTGAACAAAAAGTATCTGTGCCAAAATGGAACTGAATATGTATCTTTAATCAACCAGCATAATCTTGAGGAGGCAACTGTTTTGTGAAGTTTAAGTTGTGCTTTCATTTCATTTCAGTTTTTTTTTTTTTCTATCAGCTCACTTACAATAATCCTCCTCTTTTCATTTTCAGCAGCTCAAAACTTAAAGCACATATTATGTGATACATGTGCTCTGTCATTCAGTCTTCATTAGACTACATGTTGTTTCTGTCTTCTAGTGTTGTTGCCAAATTCTAATCTTTCTGTCAGTTCACATTAATACGCTGCCACAGTGAAGTTAACTGTACTGTCAGTAACTCAGATTTTACACATGAGGTTGAGATACATATTATGTTTCCAGAGCTAGTCAAAAAGCCAGACTACACATAAACAGGGACCACGTCAATTAGAGTTGTGCAAGGCTTTATATTCCAAAAAAAAATCATAATATCCAGGGTTTAAAATGATGATATATTGTTACTACGGGTGCTCCGTGTCATACAAAATCTTGGAAGGGGTTTTCGTTATCTCTGGGATCTAATAACTTGTGTGGCTTCAGGCTTACCCTGATACCAACACTGAGGGTTTGAGCCAAAACCCACCTAACCCTTCTGTTAAATGTGAGCACTTTACAGGCTTAACAGCCTTTTGTTTCAGACATGTAGAGGTAGGGATTTGGGTACATGGCAAGAAGACATTTAAAAAGCAAATCTCTGCACTGGAACACAGACATGATTCAGACAAATCGAAGCTACACCACTGCATTAAAAGATTTGTTTGAAACTGGAAACAGAATAAAGGATTACATGTGATTGAGAGAAACGAGTGAAATGAGTAAAAAGTAGAGACAGTAGTGAGATAAAGAGAGAAATGCAGAACAGTACAAAGGTGGTGATTTCTTTCTCTTTTTGTGGTCTATATTATTATTTGTTTACATTTTTAAGTATTAAACAACAGTTTCAGTCTGTTACCCATTGTGTATAGCTACTCTTTACATTAATAAATAAAAAGATTCATACATTTTGAATGATGACTCCTTATTTGATCATTTTTGTGCCCTAGTAGTTTTGTGTAGTTGAGTGCTAGATACAAAATAAAAGGCTAATGTGGGCTTGTCTAATGGAAGTTTGTAGCTACTGACTGAACAAAGGATATGTTTACGGTATGTTTGGGCGTGTGTGTTAATGTGTGCTGATGACTATGAGTTTCTAGATTGTGCATGCGATTGTGTGTCTATTTTCACCTGCTGCGTTCCCACGTGCGCACACACCCCCCCACACACAGTTATATCGCCAGTGAAAACAGAGACACACTCAGAGGTTCCTGTCACTCTGAGTTATTCATCCACCAACATCATGACTGGAAGAGCTGCTCTCCTGGGACTCCTGCTTATTTGTGTGGCTGCAGGTACCACTCCATTTGAAGTATTTTTGCCTTCTAGTTTGGCTGAAATCTTTTGTCTATCGACAACTTTTGAGCGATTTCTGTTTAGATGCCATAGAATGAAACATACAGAGCTTATAAAAAGTATTCACACCGACAGGAAGTTTTCGTGTTTTATTATCTTACAGCGTTGAACCAAAGTAAACAGATAAAATAGGAATATACATGTTTGCATACTTTGTATAAGCACTGTAAAATTTATTATGTATTGACATTTAGGATTATCTCACATGTAAAACCATATGTCAGTATTTTATAGTAGGCACTCAAATACTCATGTATTTATAGTATATTAATAATAATAGATCAGATATATCGATATCAGGGACTATAAAAGAATATGCCACAGAGACACTCATGTAATTCAAGTCTGCATGTGTGTTGTCAGTTTTGCACACCAGTGATATTTTTCTGTATAAGCTGGGTTGTTTATGAGGTATGAGGTTAATTATTTATACATTTATGGTTTTATAAGTCATGTGCTTTTTTTCACAGATGCAGAGAAGATGTCAGAGGTCATGAGAAAGGTGACAAACATATCTTAGATGAAAAGAACCTGACTTACACAGTGTGTGCATAGCACTGTCTTTTGTCTCACTGTGTGTGTCTGTGTGTGTGTGTGTCTAAGAGAAGAAAAATATGAGAGAATTTCATTTGAACTTCTTTCAGTATTTTGATGTGAATTGTTTTAGTGAAGCTACAGTGCTATGATGATCATTTAAACCTGTTTCAATCAAAAACCCTTCTATCAGAACAGAATATTGTTGTAATATTCAACTGTCTGGCAGCCGTCTTGTCCCAACATGAAGGAGATTGTGGCGTGTCCTCTCAACCTTGCTCCTGTGTGTGGCAGCGATGGGAACACCTATGCCAACGAGTGCACCCTGTGCGCCCAGAGACAGTGAGTACACACAGCTGCTCCTCTCTCATGGCATTCACACAACACCCAAGTTGACTTTGTGGAGGACAAGGTGCTTAAGTCGCCATCTGGTGGTGAAAAAAAATATCTAAAGACTTGAGTCACAGAACTGAACTCTGACAGCAGCTGACTCATATGACTGGAAGATTTCGAAATTGGCCTATTATTCATGTTTTGGTTTATGGGGGATGAATGAGTGGTCATCAGTCTTTACTGGAAATAACAGTCACACCACTGGTGACCAAATAATATTCACACATGACTTGATTTTTGATGAAACACCAGATTTCATGAGATCCTTGTAGAGTGACAAAAATACTGGCAAAACAGTTGAACATACTTTTCAGACAAGAGTCTATAGCTGACTGAATTTTCTTTTGTCAAGTATAGCTCTTGCTGATGTCATGTCAGGGGCTGAACTCTTTTTAAAAGTGTCTTTATCTTTGTCTCTTGATATTCTCTCTTAACCTTCTAACAGTCAACAGTATTAATAAGAGACTACAGCAGTCTGCAGCCATGCTAGCAGCTCTGAGATGATACGAGCACAGAGGTGCTTTGAGCTTAATGCTAATATGAGCATTGCAACATGCTTACAATGACAATATTAACATCCTAATCTTTAAAAGGTGTAGTGTATATCATGTTCAACATCTAAGTTTAGCATTGTAACATGCTAATATCTGGTGTTTGGTCATAAAGTGTAGTATTTGACAAATTCAAATTTGACCTAATCAGTCCTAGATGAAAAGTGAGGGGATTGCAAAAGGTATTACAATTTATCATGAGGGGGACATGAATGTCTGTGTCAAATTTTGCGCCATTACCATCTGACATGGTCTGACATTACCATCCATAAAGTCATGCTGGGAGTGTGGCTAAATAGCATTACTGATGGCTTTTATCTCTTTATCCATCCCTCTACTATCAGTTCCTCGACTTTACCTCAGACACAATGAGCTTGTTTGAGGTGGGATTTCCCAAAAGAGCCTCCTGGCTTCACTTTTTGCACCTACACTGAGCTGAGCTCAACAGAATGAATCACAGCCACGTAATGCTACAATTCTCTCTGCAGAATCACCAAGATGGACATTTTGATCACCAAGGAGGAAAGCTGCTGAGCTGCACAGGCTGTGTTGTCACCACCAAAGTGACCAATCAAGATTGGATCCTTGAAATAACAGCTGGATCATAGCTGTTCTAAATGTTTTTGATTAAATGCCTTGAGTAATAAATGTCAATCAGCTGTAAGCATCATCCTTGTGGTATTGTGGTACTTTTTTCAATCAATAAAACCCAAATCTCAGTAAGTATAACATAAACTGGATCATGTATAAAGAAGAAGTAAAACAGATGCTATATATACAAAAAGATTTTTTTTTAAAAGGCAGGCTAGTAGATTTAATTTTTACAATGAAACTGATACCAGGAGAAAGGAAGAGAAAGGAGAGGTGATGTGGTGATTACTGTAACACAGTCTGAGAGACATTCCTTTGTAAAGTGCAGGCAGGAGGTGAATGATCGGTTGGTTATCTCTATGGGCAAGCTAATTGTTTACACTTCTTATACTGAGTAACACAGTGGTCAATAATGTTTGTGTGTGTGTGTGTGTGTGTGTGTGTGTGTGTGTGTGTGTGTGTGTGTGTGTGTGCGTGTGGTAGTGATATAGACAAACAGAGAGTGTGAGAGCAAATATGTTGGCAAAAGAAGAAAGGGGCAGAAGACACATATGCACACACATGTGAAGAGAGGACATAAAACAGTGTTGTATTCTGAGGTCAAAAGTCATTCGTGTGAGTCACATGGTTGAAACCAGGAAATGGAGAAGAGGTATCAATCCACAGTCCCTTCCTTTATCTTTACAGTAGAGCAGAAACAAGGCTTTTAGGCTTCAGTGAACTGACCAACAAGGATGATCAGAAACCGAGTGGAACATGAGTAAGTACAGACTGTAAATACTCTGCTCACCGCCGCTAACATTATGATGCTGCTCTTTACTTTGTTACTCTCAGCTGTCAGTCGGCTGTGGTATTGTTATGTACAGTTTGGGATTAACAACCTGCTTCCAGCAGTTCTGAGTCAAGACAGAGTAAAAGCAAACCTGAAACTGAAATTATGGCAATGGAAGGATTACATCAATAGAGCATTATGAGCTCATGTTCTTAAATGTTAATGATTTGCAGATTGCATAAACATGCACTTGTCTGTTCTGATGTCCACGTCTGTGCAGTTGTTATCTTTTGTGTAGTTCAGTTTAGTTAAGTTTAGTCTGGTTCAGGTCAGGTCATGATCTTAGTTAGCCAGGGCTCTGTTCCATTCAGGTCCATCTGGTCTATCCCATTCAGTTTCATTTTGTTACCCTCTTTTCTGCTTTGAGTCCTCCCAACATTATCTTACATCATGTTCATATTGTCATTGTTTCTCCAGGGTCTTCACAGTTCAGGACTGTCAAAATGGAATCTCTATAGATCTCTTCCTGCACCTGTCACTCATACCAGCAGTAAGTTGTCCATCCATTTAACCTGCAGTATGAACTTAAAAGATAGAATAAAAAGCCGACTTACTAAAAATGCATTTGTTTTTAAGGTGTAGCCACAGGAAATGTGACTTCTTTCTCTTACAACAGTGAGAACTGGCATTTTGTTATGTTTACCATACACCGAAGTGAACATCAAGGCAAGTTGTTTATCAACCAAAATCACAAGTTTGTCAGTGCGCTTTTCAACCTGTAAAGCAAAGGACATCTATCTGTCTCTCAGTTTAGCTAAGGAAGAACTCCAAAGAAAAGATTTGTAGCAAAGCTGGAAAATTGTGGGTATACAGAACAACAGAATTACTGTATATAACACCAAGAACACCAAGAACTGCAACATAAACTGCAGTAGCAGAATACTACAGTTTGTTTATTATGACAGCAGGTACAGCAGCTTGATCAAGAAAACTTTGATAGGCCACTTACATGACTGTTGATACACACAGACCTTCTTTTTCCTCTTCCTCTGTAACATACAATATATGTCAACTTATTTCTACTGTCACACACAGTTGCAGCAATGCAAACAAAGTATTTTTCCAATAGATTTGTTGATGTGTTGATTTATATATTATGTATTGATTTATTGTTTTCCAGGTGTTGATCGTAGGAGTGCTCTCATTCCTCCAGAAAAGAGTCCAGAGACTGGACATCGACCGTAGACTGCCCTTCTTAGGGGGACGTTTTGCCATTGTGGTGTAAGTATAGTCGGCAACAGCAACAGTAAATATGTCAAGAAGAAGTAGAAGTAACAAACTGCTTTGCAGCCACATCAGCAACATAGCTTTGTTTATGTTTATGACATGTTGTCATTAATGTGCCCCAGGCCTTTGGATACTATAGGCAGCCTCAGTAACCGTTGGTCCTATGGGTTTGCATTTGGTGCCGTGTCCGGCAGCGTCCTGCTGCTCTTCTCTGAACGTTACATCCCCTTCACGGTCCCACCCTGGGCCAGAGGTACTCCTTCCATTTACAAGTGATATCCAAACATCTTTACTGTACAGTAACAGTAAATACATACACTGATGTGATGTTTCCTGACTGTTCTCCCCAGCTATAGTGTACCTGGTCGGAGCTTTAGAAGTGGGCCTGGTGTATTTCCCTTTCTTTGCTTGTCTGTCGACGTCTTTCAGAGCAGCTGGTGCTGTGCTGGGAATACTCTACTCTCTGTCCTGGTAAACATTCATTCTTGTTATATGTTCAGACATACAATACACAAAACAAAATGTGGATTGGTACTGCAGGTGGTCTCTTATATGATAGCACCAGTGGTGCAACATAATAATATCATGTAAACATAAATATTAAAAAAGCGGTTACTTTTACAGAAACTTTTTGGAACCTTGCAGTAATATAAAAACACATCCAAATTAGGCCTATATAAATGACTTGATGCTTGTTTGTAGGATCATCGTTACAGTCTGGGATACATTCACCTGTCCTGATGGTAAGGTAGGTGACCACTAAACCCATGACAGCTAGTGAACATGTAATGTGCCTGTTAAAGTGTGTCTTCCCAAAAAAATAAATGAATGGATGACACTGTGTGTATGATTTTAAAGATTTTGGGTCCACACCAGAAGATAATTGTCCAGTGGCCCTGCATCCTCTCCCTCGTCTTCCTCTTGGGTCGATTTGTGTACATGCTGGTTAAAGCTATTCGAATACGTCTGCAACTGGAACAGGAGGTCAGCCTTGCTAAAGCACAAAATCTCTGAAGTGATTCTTGTTCGATTTTTGGTATTCTTGGCTGGATGTTCACCCTATGGGAAAATATGATGATGTAAAGACTACTTATGATTTTATGTAACATTTACTGATACATTTTGTTTTCTGTTGGATTTTATTCTCCCTTTTTGCTGTAAACGTAAAAGGGCGTATTTTTGTTGTAAACATAGGGTCTGCAGTGATCATATAACTTTATGTCCCCTGAATTTTCTGAACAATAAACTCTGTGTAAAAATGAATCTGCTAAATCTGCTGCCAGGACCCTGAGGAGCTGAATGAGCTACACCAGGTGCAGCATGTTAAGAGACTGCTGAGGAAAACTTCGCACAGGTAGAAGAAACACTCAACCACACACGCACCAATGCTGTTTTTTGTACAACTGGAGATTTACAGTGCTATTGCCTGTTATGACACCCACTACTTTTGCATGTTTTAATCAGTTTACCATTAATTATGAGCATTTTAATGTGAATAATTTTCATAAACTTACCATAAAATAGATTTGTAACAGATTTCAGGCAGACACGATTTGCCATGAATTTCACTATGATGTAAAAAATCTCATTGAACATTGAGATTTTTTGAGTAAGATGAATATTTTCAGAAACTGAATTTGAGAAACACACATTGCATTACTTTACTATTGTGTCGCAAGTCAGTTCAGTGTTTCCTGAAATTGAAATCCAGTGTGGAGTGTGGTGTGTTCAAGTGCTGCTGGAAGGCTTCAGTGTCCAAGTCAGTTTCTCAACTGCATTGATAATGAGGAGTGTCAAGGCTTGAAATTGGTAATGTCACATAGAAGATGCTACTCAAGCAACATTAAAGATTCCAGATGTTACAGAAATGACCAGGATTCAGATAACACTTGAAAGCAGCGATACTCATGGTTGGTGGTTTTGACCTTTCTGTGTTGCAGTAAGCCACTCAGCTGGTTCCAGAGGCGAGTTTATGAGTGGGACCCCTTCTTCAAGTTCCCCAACAGGATCATCGGCACAGTCATTATATCTCTTATAGGCCTATACACAGTAAAGACACAGCAAGACATCTCTTTTAATTCCAAATATCTCAACCATAGGCTTTGTTTCAGAAAATGTTACACAAACAACCTATCTGTGTGTCTGCTTCAGGCACAGTTGTATTCATTTGTCCTTTTGTAATTTCTCTAGATGACTCTAGCAGACTACAGTCTCAGTAATGTGGCTTTTGACCAAATAGACAAGTGGAAGAATACGCTAAAATACCTGGTTACCTCTTGTAACCAGACTGAAGCTCTGGGAGCCATGATACCACAGCTGGAGGAATTCATTGCCGTGGCAAGGAGTGAGTTGGTCTTTAGAATGGTTTACACCAAATCTGTCCTGCTTCCTTGATTTTGAAAATTTCCAATATAATAAATAGCCAAAAATTAAAAACAAATAATGATTGTCAAGATTTCATGAAACACAAATGAAAGGGTCTTATTTTATTTTATTTTTTATTTTTTTGCAGAGTCTTGGCTAACTACCACTATCTTTGCAAGTCTCAACTCTGTTGCCTACACTTTCCATGTATTGGCATGTTACAGGTAAGAGATCCTAAAAAAAATATGAAACATATCAAAATGTATTGATGTTTTAACATTTCAAAAATGTTAATGTAAAATGTTTGGAAGAATAATAAATGTCAGAAAGTAAATAACCTGTTTAGTTTATGTGAATTTGAAGGAATTCTCTACCAGTTATCACATGGTATACTAATGCTATAGGAAACACTTGAAGAGACTGTGGAGAGGACAGAGGGGTTTTATTCCTGAAAAGTTTCACAACCCTAGTTCTGCTGTCAGTGTTGTAAGTAACACACACATACACACACACACACAGACGCACACACAACAAATGGCAGATGATTCCAGAGCAAATCAGATTTCAGCTTGGCACTAAACACTCAAAATCAGCTTTCACAAGTGTGACATTGGCCCCAGTTTAACTGTGCTTGCAGGTCAGGATGGGTGTCACTGTCTATGAAAATTTTGGGGCCACATATTGCAAAGTATACAACCACTGTATCCTACCAGCTCTGCAAAAACACAACATGGTTATCAAAGTTTGGTTCTGGCTCTCAGCCATCTTAACAAAGCTCCCACAGAGGAGAACTGGTTGTGGCTAATTGTCTACACAAAAACAAAACCAGCTCAACCAAACACACATCTGTGAGTGTCCGAACATTTTAAATGAGTGAATGTCCATTTGACTGTTTCAAATATGTAGAGCATAAACTAAAGATACTCTACACATGAGTATTTTTGTGTGCATTTGTGAACGTTTGCATCTCCTTCTATTTGGCCTCTCATATCATTGCATATATTTAATTCATACACACTTCATACCAAAAATACACAAACAATTTTTCTCATTGATTTTCACAGGCTTCCATTGCGAGATACTCGGGATGGCAAATAACGTTTACACTGTGGGGTGAGCTTTTCATCACAAGAACAACTGACATGTACAGTGCGTCTCCAAAACAAAAAAAGTAGCTGATGTAATCTACATCAGGACATCCTCGATTTGTGTTGTGGGACCCAAACTAAAGTGTTTTTTTCATATAGTTCCACAAATGACACCAGCACCAAGATTTAAGTCATGAGAGAAAAGGAGTATTATCTATGCCTTTGACCAAACCCACATAAAGGAAGGAAAACAAAGTAATATCCGTCTGAAAAGACAGTGATTAATTGTAATTTATTGGATTATTTTGTCGTGAAATTTATGAAAAATATACAGTAAATTGGCCTTAAGCATCATACAGGCAGCTTCAGTCCAAAATACTATTATTTGAGGCAAAAGATCTGCAGATTTCTATCATTTAATGTGTAAATTTGAATGCAGTGAAAAGTTTGATTGAATCATTTCATTTATTATGATGTTTTTTAGGATTCAGGGAAACCTCCTAAAATAAATATGCATCATTTTTTTTCTAATTACATAAAATATGATTGTACATTTATTCTTTTTCGCATTTTGCGTGATAAAATGTGAGATGTGTGAAATAATTGCATGACCCTTTTTCTTTTATTTCTAAGGTTATCTGATTGTTCATTTTGTCCACTTCCTGTTTGCCCTGCTCTTGGTCTATGGGCTGGTTCTTCCTGTACAGCATGGAAAAGTACTTAGCATGCTCACTAACCTGGGAATTATCATGTAAGACTGCTGTCCCTGTAGTTGTTGATGTATGATAGCATATGAATGAATGGTTATATTGAAAGATTGACACAGTGACTGATTGATTTGTGCTTTTATCGTGTGTCTCTCAGTCTGACCATCAGTTTAGTGATCGGCCTGGTGATTTTCCAGATAGCTCTGGTTCAGATCTTCTTCCTGCAGGACAAACTATCTCCTACAGATAAACAAAAGCCTCTGGCTCTCAACAACAGGTTGGTATATTTCAGTATATATATTAAGTGTGGGCCATAAAACCATCAGATCAACACTGAACTAAACCCTGATCCTCTATTTGTCAGAAAACACCGAAACTGTTGAAATGGAAGTGGTGGTGACAGAATAGTAGAAAAAATCAACAATATTAGTAAATTATTAGCTGTGTAATGTGGACGTGAGGACATTATGTGATGGTGAAGTTATAAAACTTGCACTTCCTCACTTACTCAATAGTTTACGGTGGCTTCATACTTGCTGGAACAGGCAGATTGTGTGATGGCATTTTACAGTGTGTTTCAGAACAAGTGAATATGATTCAAAGTAAATGTGTGTGGTATAGTAGCCGAAGATCACAGTGTCCCCTCCCTCTCCTCTTCAGGAAGGCGTTCCACTGCTTCAACTACTTCTTCTTTTTCTACAACGTGGTGATGGGGATCAGCAACTGCATCTTGAGGTTGCTCTGCAGCATGGTTGTAGGAACATGGCTGGTATCCCGCATAGACCGGACCATCATGCAGAGAGGATATGAAAACATGGACGCCGGTGAGCCTAAATTCAATCGAAAACATGTGCAAGACAAAATGAAACACCTGATCAGCTGCTTGCATCCAGAACGACTTCCATGTGATGGCAGCATTTCACAAAGCGTCAGCACACTGTGTATCTCAAGACAAGAACAGGAAGTTACTGTGATAACTGTCAAAAAACGACAACTGGAATACTGAGCTCAGAAATATGTCAGAGAAAGTTCACATAAACCAGCAGGTATTTATAAGTGTATCACTGTTGTATTAGTTTCGCACCAGGACTAGTAACCTCTGTCATCGTTGTTGATCTTGAGAAGTAAGCGTGTGAAAAGCTATGGGTTGTAGCATATAATTCATATTCAATATACATCAAAATAAATATAATAAAAATGAAATAAATAAACAAAATTACAATAATATAAGCTATATAAAATGTATATGCTGTAAATGCTGCACTCTTTCTCATATAAGATGAGTGGATCTAACAGTATTTCCCACCTGTTCCAGGCTACAGCACTTGGATTGGCATGATCTTTGCTGACCACTATCATAGCAATCCAGTCATGGTGTGTTTCTGCCAATTGCTGATCTCCAATAAGCTGGAGAGACACACAGCATCTACATACTCCACATTCAGCAACATGCCATCTGGTCGGTAGTGTGTGTGTGTATGTGTGTGTGTGTGTGTGTGTGTCTGTAGTTCTGGCATGTAAAATCTGCTAAATATATAGCCTACTTATTCCACCTGTTTGCTATCTACGACACACTAAGCTTGTGACCAAACTAGTACCATCCCTAAAATTAATTTATTGCATTTATTTAGCTAATTTTCTCCTCTTTTTGCTTCATTTAAAGTTTAATGACTTTTAACTTTTTTGCAGAACCCCTTGTGAAAAGCAAGGCCAGGAGGCGCTGGATGTTGTGTCATACTTTACTGAGAAACCCTCATCTGATTCTGCTCAGAAAGCACCACCTCTCCTCATCTTCTTCATTAGAGACATCATCCTCTCCCCAGTTAGTCATAGCGGTGCAGGCGTGGGCCATGGCCTCACGAACGCAGAGTTGCCAAGCAGCACCACAGTCACTACCAGAGATCATAGTCACACCAGCAGAGGACTGTTAAATAAAACATTTAAATTAATTGTGATCTTGTTAAAAAATATGGTTTTGGAATCCAAAATTGTATATTTGCCCATTAGTGTTGCATCTCCATGTTGTAAAGGGAGTACTGTGCTGTTTTCAATTAGTCTTTGAGGGCAGAGGTTTGGCAAAGAGGTGGCATTCATCATTAGTAATTTTCTTATGTGGGGTTTTAATTCAATGAAACTGTGATACCACCGATTGGTTATATGCAGTTTAAAGGGTTTAATAAGTGTGTTGTCTACAATACCTGAGCTTTTATTTACTCTTGTCTCAAGAGTTCACATGTCAGTTCATGCCCTGCAAGCCTGCCATTGAGTGGTTAGAACCAAAGTGTCTGCTGAAAAACCCTGATTTTAGTCAAATTTAAACTGTTGTTCTGTGTATAGACATAGTCAGAGTTAAATGTGAACCTTTGTACATAATTGCAATAAAGCATGTAACATTTATTCTAGAAATGGGTTTGCACCACAGCTTTCCATTTCTTTTTGTTATAATGTTCATTTTATTAAAATCATGTGAGCTACACTGTACAGCTATTATTATTGTCATTCTAGGTTGTGTTATAAATTCTAACTGGGTATGAACCTTTATGCATAGCTGCTGTATTAAACCATTAAACCATATAGGCCTACTGTATATAGCATTAAACATTTGCTTTATGGTGATCATACAATTTGTAGAGAACAAACTTATGCAAGGTTTTACTTTGCACTTGTAAATATGGCTTTGCTGCACTTACAATACTTTCAATTGTAAATAAAAACTAAATGGCAAAAGTGCCATTGGGCATCAAGGTGATATTAATCAATGTTTTGAAGATATCTCCAGCTTTCTACATTAATATCAACATTCACCTAGCCATATTTGTTCTTGTTCCGTTAACTTGTACGGTCTAAAATTTCTGGTAGTACTTCAGCATACTTAAGCAAATAATAAACAAACAAATAAATAAATAAATCATATACTGTCGAAGTGACCTTTGACCTTGTGGGCGTGAACGTACCCCTGAGTTTGAATTCGGCGAAAGAAGAGTCAGGACAGTTTGGCGAACAACTTAAAATTACAGGTAAACTATGAAAATACCATAATATGTCAAACATTTTCGAGCTAATGTTTTGCCCATCTCGAATGATTGCTGTTGCTTCGTACGAGGACAACTGTTGGTCAAGAATAACAAACTTTATTTTGGCTAACAGCAAACGAACCCGCACGCGCTAACAGTTAGCCGTTAGCCAACGCCACATTGTTCATCGTTAACTTCCATCAAGACAGTTTAGCGGGTAGAAGTCCTCTGTTTAACAGGGCCCGTGGTCTCCAACAGTGGACCTGTGAGGCTTGAGATCAGCTTAACATCACATAGAAGCTAGATCTACAAATCTTAGGCACTTGGATGTAGACACACTTAATCACGTGTCATGTTGTATCGGTCGTTATTGCCTAAACTCATAAATTTATTGTTTGAGAATCTGAAATCTAGGATGAGCCATAGTGACGGGCACAGCTCTGGTTTGTTCCACCGCATTTTGTTAACTTGAGGAGGAGCTCCGTTGTTGCGGGCTACAAAATTTGTCATTAAATACTAGTCGCCATCAAGCAGGATTAAACTAAAATCGCTGGAGTAAATAAATATAAACACGTTTTTCATTATCAGGTATGTCCGTTGCAGGTTTCATCATGTCACAGATACTACTCACTTTCTACATGATTTTAAAATTCCTAAACAATGTTCAGGTCTCATATGTATGTGCTGTACTCTACAAACTGTAAAGCATTACCCCAAATTCTTTATACAATGTGGACTCAAATCTGCTGGTTTTTTGTTATATTGCCGTTGTCTCTTGGTATCTTCAAAAGTCATGAGAAACATAACTCTTATAGGCTGGCCCCAACTTTGACAGAAATACAAGAGAACCCAGTGACAAAACAACACATTTCTATGGAAACCTTTTGTGTAAAAATTATGGCAAACCAGTCACCCACTCAGGGGTTTCTGATGTAATTGTACATTTCTCACCTTGATGATTTTTTTTATATCTGTGTTTCTGTTTCAATGTGTATTTACCAGAATGGCAGACAGTGAGTCTATAAAGAAAATGCTGCGGTCTGTTCTTCAGTCCAGCAAGGCAGGTGTGTCTATTAACAGCCTTCAGTCAGAGTACCGGTCACTGTGCGGAGAGTTCATCCCGTTAAAGAAGCTGGGCTACTCAAAACTGGAGGAGTACCTCAGAAGTATCCCCTCTGTGGTGCGGTTGGAGTACCGGATGGGTGAGGTGAGGGCTGACCTCATATTTTTGCATTCTTATACTACTGCCTTAGGTCAGCTAGCATCAGTACAAATTGGAGAAACTCAAAAGTGCTGTTTGTAGATCAGCTAATTTAGCAAAATCCTAAGCAGTGTTGTCACTTTTTCCAGGCAATGCATGTGTCTATAAGTGTAACGATGAATCTACTCTGCAGTTGAAATGCTTTGCTGCAGTGTGCCAAGAGACGGCCCACATTGCTGAACTGGTGGCCAGGCAGAAGAGCTCCAAGAAATCTGGTCACTCGCAAGTCATCAACTGCAAGATGAGATTCAAACCTTTCAACCCCTACATGCTCAATGGTAGGAGACACTTGTGACAAAACATGGCTTTGTTTCATAAAGCAAGGTTCTATCTCTGCAAATACCATTATATTAAGAGAGTAGCAACAATATTAAAGAGTCTCTGTCCCAGGTGAAATGTAGATTAGGGTCACGAGAAGGAATGAGAGGCAATAGCATGAACCTCCAAATTCCCTCTTGGTGATTCCTCATCATTCATCAACACATTACTCTGTTTTCCAGCTCCCATAATCTAACTTGATTTATTATCCCTCTTTTCACGCATTCAGTGAGGCCAAGGTCTTCTCTCCGTCAGCCCTCAGCTGCTGGTTCCTCTAACCGGCAGGCAAACCGTTCTCGGCCCCACGGTGGCTACAGAGGGTTCAGTGCGTCAGGGGACTACAGGTAGACAGTATCTGTGTTACAGTTTGTGGCCACACTCAAGACTTGGTTGGACAACATTCAAATCCAACAGTGACTGCTCTCTGTAATCAAAATGTCCTTTTATAAAGGGGTATTGAGAATTATGTTTGATTTATTCTTCCCTAATTGCTTTGTCTTAAACCAAAGTATTTGCTTGTGTTCTGCCCAAACACCAGGCAGTTGGACCAAAGGTTCAGCTCCATCACACCAGTCGAACACCGACAACCGGCTTCTCAACCAGTTGTGAAACAATGTCCCATGCCTGACAGGTGAACATACTTGATGCCAAAATGTATTGTAATTTCAGTCTCCCACCCACCACTTGCACAACAGTTCACAGATGAGTCTAAAATATCACTTTGATGGGAGGACAGTTTGGGATATGAGGCTGTTATATCAGGCAGTATTATAAATATTATATTGGAATTCACCTTGAGACAAACCTGTATTGGCTTATTCTTCAACTTTGGATCGCAGTAGGACATTTGTGTTGAATGACAGTGTTGCTATGAAAAGCACAATATGCTTAAAGCACTGCTATGTTGCCAACAGGAAGGAGAAGAGCTTGGCAAACTTCCAGAAGCCTAAAGGTATGACGGACCCTCTTGGTTTGTATCCTTATATATTTTAGAACATTTGTACTTTTGAGTAATTTTAATTAAAACAAGGGTTCCAACAATAACACAATTTCAACAATAAGACTTTATTTTTGGGAAATGTATTCTGAATGGCACATTTTAGAATAATCCCTTTTGACATTAATAAAACCAAAACAATTTAAATGCAACATACTTGACCACTGAATACTTCTGTATGACAGTACTGTATAGACTGCATCTCACTGCAGTGGGGCGTTTTGACACCAGAGTGGCCTGGGATCATAGTAAACAAAGGATCACATATGAATCAGGCTTTTTATAGCCAGTAACAACTGATTTAGAAAAGTCCTCATCTGTCTGGATAATGATATACTAGATAAGCTTAGTTGTCATCTTTGCCAGGCACTGTCTGAACAGATTGTTTTACACATGTCACTGGGAAAGTAATTGCAGAGCACTGTATAATATCAACATTTGACAACACTGCCAAAACATAAATAAGTTGAAGTATGAGAATCAGATTAACTTACAACCAGTGAAATCAATCTGCTGCAGACTCTTCACTGATATCAGAGCTTGTTAGCATTTATTTCTTCCTCTGCAGTATTTTTCACAGAGAAGCCTCCTGTACAAGCCTCCAGACCCAACCAATCGAAGGTACAGAAAAATCTATCTCTGTGCTTTATGTGTCTCGTTTCTACTGGAAATCACTGCATGGCGTTGGGCAGTACCTTAAGGAGCTGCCAGCCAGGAGTTATACTGAATTCAGTCATTACAAATTGGCTTCTTAAGTTAAAAAGAAGACCTAATATGTAAATTGTGTTTTTTTTTGTATATAGCCCCACCCCAATCAGTGATGTCACAGCATTTATTTTTTGTTTATTTTTGTTTGTTTTGTTTCTCTGTGTGTTTATATCATTTATTTATTTGTGATTTAAAAAAAACAAACATTAAAAACATCATGGGGACACGCACATAGTGATGAATCCTTGAATCTCCCCATGCAGTCTAGTCTGTATGATGTGGTGCTGGTGCAGAGCAGGATAACTCGACTTCTGGAGAAGTATTGCAGTGGACTTTGGATGTCGAAAATTTCAAATGTCTACAGTGAAATGTTCGGTCAGAAGCTCCACCCTCAGGTGCTCATAGACCTCGAAAAATGGACACACATTTGTATGGTGAGACGGTAATTTTTATATGTAAAAACACGCATCAGCATGCTTTTGAAGTTTATAACTACAGTAGCCATCCTTATTTTTTTCGGAGAGGAACTTTTTATTTAATTTACAATCAGTTCATTGGGTCTGTGTGTGACTGCGTATATTTAATAAATGGGTACTGTGATGCCTTCGAATCAAATCCAATACATGGTTACTGGGGAATTGCTGTTGTGAAATCAAAGCTTCCATCATATTTTTAAAAGTGTTTAATAGTTTCACTCTTAAAATAATGTTCCATTTTTTTCTGCATGGGATCATGCCATTTAGTTAACTTAAATGCTGACAATTTGATCATTCAGAATGAATTCAGAGATTCATCGTTTCCATTCAGTCCTTTTTTCAATACACAACCTTCAACTTACAGGAATTAAGAGGAGTCAAAATCTCTTTCCTTCTCCTTGTCTCTTGTTCATCTGGCCTTCTTAGGTGGAGCAACCCTCCTGCACCAACCGAGTTGACCGGCTGGTCTACCCTCCTCTGCCTCCCAAGCTTTCTGTTGTCCCTAGTAGTAGCGTCAATGACTCCCCTCCAACATCACCCACCAGTTCAAGTGCTAACACCACACAAATTTCTTCATGTCCCTCAACACCTGAAGAACTCTTCCCTCTCCTCTCTTCCCCTGTTCCTAAACCTAGGCTTTCTCCCAAAAGCCCCTTGGCTCAGCCAACTTTCATTTTTCCTCCACAACCTGTTGCTGCCTCTTCAGGCAAGCTGTTGTCCTCAGTCACGTTGCACAGCCCTGTCCACAACCCAGTTCTTGCTCCACAACTAGCCCCACTCGCCAGTTTTGCAGTCAAGGCTGTTGGCAGATGTAAAAATAATCACAACTTGACTACAACTACCCACTACCAAAGCACTCGGCCCCCAGCCCCTACATGGACTTCATCAGCCAATGTTTCTGCTGCAGCTTCCCCCATCCAACCTGGTCCTGACATTTTACCCCTTTTGGAGGTCACCTTTTCCCCGACCTCTGATTCTCCCCCGAAATCTTCTGCTGTCACTTTGTCAGCTGAGGTGCGTCAGAGAATAAAGGAGCTTCTGTCCAAGTACAGTCTCGGTTTGTGGGCCCATGCTTTACCTGAACTGTTTATGGACACATACAAGACGCCATTTCCTGAGCATGTTCTGGACAACTTGTCTCTTTTGCTGGATATGTGCACTGTGGAGTACCCCATGCCAGGTAACAAGAACAAGGTAAGTGAATAAGAAGAAACTGTGTGTACCAGAGTTAACACAATGTAGAAGTTAAAGGTCAGTACTGTGAATTCACCTTGGAAGATGAATTTTCTTACTCTCACAGTTAACACTCACTCTCTTGCGGTGACAAGTGAACATTGCTCTCAGGCAAGTGATAAGTTGGAATGATGATTGATGTGGAGAAAGCAGGGATTGCCTCTAACTGTTCTAATGGTGATTTCTTTTCTACTGTCACCTTTAACTCTCCAGGGACCTCAGGGACGTCCTTCCTGCTTACCCATTTGTTGTTAGATATTTGAATCTCTTAATGTGTCTGTCATTTATGTATTTCCCTGTGATCAGGCCATCCTGTATAACGCCAGCAAAACAGACATGGAAGCCACAGACAACCAAGAAAGCCAGCAGTTCAGAAGTCAACCCCTACCCTCTGGTCTAGAGGTCCTGGGACCTGTGATTCCTCCCTGTCTGGTTCTTCCCTCAGAGCAGTATCCTTCTGTGCTGATTACTGATGCTAAGAGCAGCAATGCTGTTACTGTAAGGTAGGACAATCATGCATTGGTTCACTTTAAATTGTCACTGAAATTAAAAAGTTTTTATGGTGCAAGTGTGGTTAACTTTCCAATAAAAAGAAAAAAAACCTTTTAAGAATGATATATAGATTCTGAGGATTTTTCTCATTGCAAAATATGTAAAAAGAGAAATGATTAAAACATGTATCTCTACATCTTTTTCGATCCACCGAGATCATCAAGCAACCAAGTATTTGTGTATACCATACATTTTCTAATATCATCAATAGTTCGGCTGAATGCAGTTCACCTGCAGATTGTCATTAATTGACATTAAAATTTCCTTCTGGCATTTTTCATCTCTTCTTAGTATTTCTACACAATTACCACAATCAGGCTTACTAGGATATGCAGAATAAGTTGAGCATCTCAAACAGCATAACTTTCTAATTTTGATGCAACATAAACTTCAACAGTCACATATTTTATTGAGGCGATATCCTGGTTACTGTTTTGAAGCTGCCATGCATAGGTTGAAAAAGCTGGAAAAATAGTTGGTCTGTCTGTTCAGGTATGTCGGTGAGAACTACTCCAATGCCCAGGAGGCCATGGAGGACGCAATGCGCTCTTTCTACATCAAAGACTCCCCCCACCAACATCTGTCTAAACCTGTTGTTGGTCAGCTGGTGGCAGTCAGAGGAGAGGATGGAGATGAGCTGGCCAGGGCTCAGGTCACAGAGGTTATGGCCCCTAACAAAGTTAAGGTAAATCATTACGCTAGTTGATTGTCGCTAGTCGTGAAGTTGTTGGTACTTTGAAAATACTTTTCTGTTAATCAATGCCAAAAAGCTTAATTACACTCACTGTGTTTTAAAATTCTAAAAGAAAAATGTGTGTGAATAGTTTTTAAAGGCACTTCATGGGTCTATTTGATGTAGGCTTTGGTAGATGCATCACCTGAGCTGGGCCTCTTATGACAATCTACAGTTTGTTGGAGGAAGACATCCTGTAGCTGCAGCATGGGTCAGTGTTTCTGCAGCATAAGAGCTTTTGTGTGTGTGTTTGCCTGCTAGGTATACTATGTTGACTATGGCTTTTCTGTGGAGACAAGTCTGAGTAATCTGCTGGAGCTGCACCAGGATTTCCTCTGTCTGCCCTTCCAGGCTACTGATGTTCGACTCGCAGGTACATACAAGATGAGGTTCAGTGTTTGCTCGTCTGATGTTGGTGAAAGATATTACAGCAGCACTCTTTCTGTAAATGAAGGACAAAACATTTACATTTACCAGTATAAGTAAGGGGTCATTAATAGTCCTGCATCTTTTTCCCCGCTTCTTCCCATTTTTCTCAATCTTCCTCTTGTCAGGTTTAGAGACTTTCAGCTCCCATCCGCTGGTCCTGTCCTCCCTGGACAAGTTGGCAGTCGCAAAGATACTGCTGATGGAGACATTAGAGCCATGTCAACAGACGGACATGCCTGTGGCAGTGCTGTATGACACTTCGCAGGATGATGACGTCAACATTAACTCCACCTGCCTCAAGACTCTGCAGGACAAGACTATGAACAACCCTTTGACTGTAGGTTTGGTGGAGTTAATCACGTGTAATGGCATGCATGAGACCAAAGAGAGAACCCCCCCCTTGTTAGGGCAGAATTTTTTTATGTGCCAATTAAATAGCAGCCAGGGGGAGTTTTTATATTTTTTCCAGGGCTGCCACTGCGTGGTGCTATTACCGTACCGTACTGTTCACATATTAGTCAGGACTGTCCTACAGTAGTATAGGAAGTCTGCAGGTTTTCATTCATTTGGAATTAAACCAGCAACTTGTCAGCCCTCAGTGACACATAATTGTGTGTTGTCAGTCCCCTTTGTATTGTCTAACATTACTTTTTTCTGTTGCCTGTAGGTAAATGTTACCTATCGGGATGTGTGTGTCACAAATGTGTGTGCAGATGGCATCATCCACTGCCAGCTGCCCTCCAGAGGGACAGCAAGACTCAGCAGTTTACTGGAAAAAACAGAGGCCTTCTTCATCTCCCAGGTAAGACAAGAATTCAGATTACACAAATACCTCAACTTGCCCTTGCACTTATCAGTGTTCAAGAAAATTTCAAGTTTTACAGTAGTAGTGTAGTATATAGAATAGCTGCAGTCTAGTTTTCAGGTGTCTCTTTCATGTCATGATAACAAACAAGTTTGAATTTACTGAATTTAACAATTTAATCATAACTACAGTAAGTTCACTGAATTATACAGCACTTTTCAAAGCAGTTCAGCATGCTTTATAAAAACAGACTCGTAAGCTGGGATCTACAGCTTGTTTGTGTTAAGAGCCGAGCAGACTGAGGCAGACAAACAAGGTTTTACAGTGGTGGAGATGTGATGTGATAAAAGCATGGATGACTTAATCCAAATATTTAGACCAAGAGTAAACACACAGTGAATCAAAAACACAATACTGTAGTTGCAGTTTGGATACATAAAAGTTCAAGCCAACTCTGTGATTATCAATGCAATACTGGATTTATTACTGCAGTACTTAAATTACTTCACTGGCTCCTGGTGTTATACAGCATCTGTGTCAAAATTCTACCTGAAAACACTCAACGGTTTGGTTCTGAAAAACATTTCTGACATTTCACGTCAGGTGGTGGTCTTCTAACCATGTCTCAAATAAGATCAGATCTGTTGAGGGTGAACTGAGCTGTTTTTTAAGGATGGCCTCTTGCTTAGACTCCATGCTCCTGAATCCTCACCAATCAATGCTGTGACCGGTTTTGGTGTCCAGAGACAGCTTTTGTTTGTGATCAGTGTCTGTTGCCCAGGGTTTTACACATGTAGTGTTTCCCACAGCTGCTGTTTTTGTTGTGATATCCACCTCCAATTTTCTTGTCTTTATAACTGCCGTCATAATTGTTCCTACCAGATGACATCTGAATCCCTGGTATCCAGACCCTTCAGTGGCAAGTTTTGCCTAGCCCGCTACAAAGGAAAGTGGTCCAGAGTGGAGGTAAAGATCAGAATCATAAGAGTATTTTCTTGAGAAGCTTATTTATTTTGGACATTGAATGTATTGGGATATGTTCCTGTTGTTTTCAGATCACCAACATGTACAGCAACAGAGTGATGGAGATCCTCTACATTGACGTGGGTATCCCAGCGACTGTAGAGGTGACTGATCTCCGAGAGATCCCGCCTCTTTTGCTCAAAGACTTCACCATCATCCCGCCACAGGTCAGTTTTTTGTGTGTTTGACTGAGTATGGGGGTCTCCAACCAGTCCAACCAATCCAATGGATGGACTAGCATCCATTACCCTGTTCACTGATTTGAACCTTCTGTCTGTACTATTTAAAGGCTCAATCAGCAAAGTATATCCACAAGCTTTGTTTCTAAAGATGCTAATGGTGAACAGTTTTTGATCTGCCCAGGCTATCAAATGCCGTCTGGCTGACCTCAAATTTCCAGAGGGAGACTGGAGTCCAGAGGCTGTTCTGTGGGTGAAGGAGGCCGTCCTTGGCTCTCAAGACTGTAAAATGAAGGTAACGTACTTTTACATCTATAACATAAAGCTAAGCACACAGCTAAGTTAAACTTCTGTTATAATCCAAATATACACACTGTGCAAATGAAACTTACAAATAAGGACTGCCTGATAGACAGGAATGTTTATAGGCTGTAGCTTTAATGGCTCAGGTTATGAGTTAGCGTCTTCACAGGAGTGTGAAACAGTCCTGCTGACCTCAAGGTCTCACTGACTTTGTATATGTGTGTCTTTGTCAGATCTTGAAATTAGACAAGCACAAAGGGGACTGGCTGGTCTATATGTACCTCTTCATTGGTGCTGACAGTCAGGAACTGGACAAGAGCATCAACTATCAGCTGGCTCACTCAGAGTTGTGGCAGAAACTCACAACACAGAACAACAACTCAATCAAAAGCAGTAACAGCGGCGAGCATACAGGTAATACTAGACAAAGACTTTGAGTTTTGTTTGTTCTCCAAACTGTTCTGTCGTGTGAAATCATAGTATTGAGACAGTGAGACATTTTTTTGTTGTTATTTGATTTGTGTTTAAGTACACTGACTTTGAAATTAACTGAAACCTCTAAACTCAAGGGTGTTTTGTATGTACCTGTGTTTTCCAATTGCCTAGGTCTCAGTGCTCTAGTGGAGAAGTTGACTCTGAGCAGCTTAGTCCACAACCCCGTTGTTAAGGCCTCAACCCAGCCTTGTCACAGAGCAGAGGACCCGTCTCTCCCGGACACAACCACCAAAACTGGGAAGCAGCCCCTTCAAATGCCTCCCTCACTGGCGCTCCCCCAGGTGTGTGGAGAGGGACAAACCTTTTCTAGGGGTTCTGTCATTACTTGAATTCAGGCTACTAAATGCCTGTTATTTTATGATTCATCATGTCTTTGTTTGAAGACCTCTCTCCAAGAAAAAGATAACTTAGTCTTTGTTTTGGATGCCTTCACTGTAAGCAGACTCTTACTGGCAATTCATTCTTTGTGCCAGTAGGCTGTAAGGTATTAAAGTTGAATGTAATTCCGTGCGTTCATGTAGCTTGTATATATGAGCAATGTAAATTATATTTTACAGTTTATTGGTCAACAAAGCCATGTGTTGATGTCCACCTCTATTTGCTGCTCCCTTTCTTTCAGCCTGGTCAGAATATTGATGTGTTTGTGCCGGTGGCCTGCCACCCAGGTTACTTTGTGCTGCAGCCATGGCAGGACCTGCATAAGCTGGTGGTGTTGATGGGGGAGATGGTCCTCTATTATAACCGGACGTGGAAGACCAACACGACCACAGACATCCAGAAAGGAGATGTCTGTGCTGCCAAAATAGACAAGAAGTACGTGATTTTAATATATTTGCACCTCATGCAAGACTGATGCGTTGTTAATACACACATGGCTACTGTGTGAGAGTGTGCTCAATCCCTGAAGCAAAAATCAGCTACGTCAGACATTTCATCATGTGACATACTGGCTGGTCAGCCATGTAACATCTTTCTTTAAACTCATTATGGTGACCATAAGAAGTCAGTAATGATACGTGAGGGAGCTCAAAGTTACACTGCAAGTGCTTCTTAAACAGTAGATAATCTCATTTGATGTTAGAGCATTTTGTATATTGTAAATCTTCTTGAAACAGTATTAACAGTTATGCGTTATGATATTGCAGTCATATTAATAGCACTGCTGTGTTGTGTAAGGATTTACTTTGACAACATTGTCTGTGAATTAATGCATTATCTTGATTTGTGCTCTGGCATTACTGGTTGTGTAAATCGTGGGGGTTATGGGAAATCAGATATCTGTTTTGTGCTGTTGTGAGGAAATGATGAGCAAAATGTAAAACCAACAGGTTGCTATTGTCTGAAGGTTGATGGCTCAACTAATGCCTGTCTCTACCTAGTTGGCACCGTGTTCAGGTGAAAGGGATTCTGGCCAATGGGTTGGTGTCTGTCTATGAGCTAGACCATGGCAAACATGAGCTGGTCCGTAGTTATTCCATCAAGCCCCTGATAGAGGAATTCAGACAGCTGCCCTTCCAGGCTATCACTGCACAACTGGCAGGTGAGTTTGATCGAAATTATCTTCATATGGCTGCACTAGTTTTATAGCCATTTAAGTAATGTTACTTATATGTGAGGGATAACGCCACCAAATGCTATTTTAAGGTTATATATTTTATACCCTACTCCTCACTACATTATTAGTTATGAATTTCTCAATATTAAAAGAAACTGTCCTCATTTAATGCAAACAATCACTGGATGCTTCTGATTTGGTTCTATACTAATTTCAAGCTTGTTTTATTTATACATTGCTATAAAGTGGAATAGCTTAGTTGAATGATAGCCTGACATTCAGTATCAGTCCACACACCAGTTGTTTCTCCTCCTCTTCGTCCTCCAGGTGTGACACACCACCAGTGGTCAGAGGAGGCCTCCATGTTGTTCAGAAACCACGTGGAGAAGCGAGCGCTGGTAGCTCACGTGGAGAGTGTGCGGGAGGTGTCAGACGTCAAAGGTGAGCTGTGGGACCACCGGTTGACAGTTTACCTGGTGGACACCACATTGGAGGACAGGGACCTTTGGATTCACAGCATCATGGCCGACATCGGCGGTGACCTGTCTTCAGCTGCCTAGGATGTCTCCTCAAGCACGGTGGGAAATTAATCAGTAAGCAAAGCAAACTCTGACTGTAAATGTGTAAATGTATTTTCAAACCAGCTAGTGTTTTGATGGTTCTTTTAATTTCTAAAAACTGTGAAAGTGCTCAGTGAACTTTAGAAGCCAAGCATTTTCACCATTTTCACTATTCTGGATTTTTCTCCCAATCAAAGACTCTAAAGAAGCCCTCTGAACTCTGGGGTCATAGCCAAGGGTCTGAAATTAAGACTGAGGGTATTGTTTTGTTGAGCCATTCATTTTCCTGAATTTAAGGACTGAAAAACTGTTGCATTTTTCTCAGAGGAGGGCGGTATTGAATGCAGTTAAATTCAACATTTGAGGAAAAAGATGGTAAAGACTGCACATCATTAGATGTTACTGTTTGCCAGTCTCATAAATAATCATTTTGAAACAAACTCAACTCACTTTGATTCATCAATACTTTTTGTTCCTTCAAGTTAAGTCACCTGTGTGTTGCACGTTTTTTATAATTTTGTAATTTGACTCTATCCATCTAATTTGTTTTTGTTTGCTGTGTCTTATGCATGCAATGGTGTGTCTCATTTTGCACTTATTTTTGTGTATATTATATACATGTTTTTACATTAATCCAACTTTAATGACTTCATTACATCTGTGTAGTTGTTATAACTTCACTGATTGAAACACCTTGGTTTATATTATCTTGTGTTACTTGACTAAAAGAATAAGTTGTAATATTTCTAGTGTTGTTTCAACATAAGAAACTGTTCACACATTAAAACTTGAAGCCAAATGAGGATGTACTTTGAATGAAAGCTTTTTTAAAAAAAAAATTGTTTGCAGAGATAATCTGCCAGTGAATTAGTTATAATTAGATGTATCTGTTACTACCCCAGGTTGATCTAGCATGAAGGGGAGTAATATAAGACTAGATGGCGTCGTCTTCAATCTTTTTTCAGTCTTTGAAGCATAATTTTCAGACTTTATGGAAAACCCAGGCCAAAATAACAACCCAAAACCACAAAAATGAAACTACCTACAAAGGAAGAGGTTACAAGGTGAAACTTCCTACCAACACACAAAAACAGTAGAAAAGAGGGTTGAAAAGAAATGACAGCTCTCTACATAGCTTTCTGGCAAGGTTATAAAATAAGGGTTCAATCGTTAACGGCAATTTAAAGTAGAAGAAATAACTGAAATTTAATAAACCAGACACAAGGCTATCAGAGAGAGAGAGAGATTTTTATTTTATTTTGATGCCACCTGGCAGGATACCAAAGGCTATCTCACCCCAAACACTTCATTTTACCGGTCAATCAGCCTGAGGAAGCAGCTCAAATTGTTAGAAATACTAAATGTGAAACATATTTGGTGTAAATATTTTATCGCACACACAGTCATATTTGCTGTATCCAGAATCTATAATATATGATAATATACCAGTTACAGTAGACATTATGTTTTTGGGTTGTCCATCACATTTTTGTGAAGACAATACCTCAGTAACACCTTTAGGGAATCCCTTCATATTTGTTACAAACATTCACTTGGACTCCAGGGTGAAGTGAGTAGATTTTGGATTTTAAAGGTCGAAGGTCAGGTCACTGTGACCTAGCAAAACACGTTTTTGGCCTCTTGAATGTGATATCTCAACACCACCTTGTGGGAATTGCTTTAAATTTGGCACAGTCACTTGGACTTGGACTATATTCTGGTGGTGAAAGGTCACCATGACCGAACTAATTATGTTTTTGGTCATAACTGAAGAATTCACACACTTATTAATCATGGACTAGTTGTGGGAAGCATAGAACTGTGAGGCGGTAATTGTAGTTTTCTATAAAACGAGTGCTTTTACTTTTGATGTGTTAGTGTATTTTACTAGTGATGCTACTGTACTTTATAAGTAAAAGTCCTGTGTCAAACTCCCACTGGGGTGTTTTTACATTGTTATATCGGTACTTCAGGAAGGGACTGAGTACCTCCACCGCTGCATTTGATAGTCAGAAACAAACAGCGACCATAAACGAGCTCAAGCGGATCAAAATAAGTTGTTGAAGAGGACTGGGTTGCAGGACGGTTATCATTCAAATGACTGTGTCCGATAATGGACTCAGATCCACTTCATGACATCACTGGAGTGACAGGGCAGCCGTGTGTGGGGGGAAGAGGGGGAGGAGAGGGAGGAGGAGGATCTCTCCCCTTAAGTTTACTTTGCCCTTTGCGGGAGATGGGATTCAGCCTGAGCAAACCCGCCGAGAGACGACCAGGGACGGGGGAGGAAACTTTGTGAAGACGCTGAAACCTGCTGAATTTGGGATTATCTGCGGGTCATGGACGGTGTCGTCTAGCGGAGTTGTTGGCGCTTTCCTGGGTTGCGCGCTTGCAGCAGAGCGGACCTCGCAGTGCGGCTCCAGGCGGCTCTGAAGGAAACCATATCTGGTCAAAGTATTCGTTGCTGTCACCCAGCGGGACCGTCCGGCTATAAATAGCGCTGGAGGAGGTACGGAAATAAATGCAAAAATTATAGTGCACAGTCAAATGAGTGAAGATTGCACATCTACAGTCAAATACTGAACTGTACAACAGTTTTAAAATTGCTTGAAGAAAATAAGTTTCCATGAGGTCACTGAGAAGAAGGGGGGTTTCAGGGAAATTCAGGAATAGTTTTTGTTTTTATTTCGCTGTTAGTGTTTTCCTTCCTGCTGGAGAATGTTTTATTGGCTGTTCTAGGCTTACTCTTAAAGTAATGACTGCAAGTCCTAACACCAAAACTCTGCACAGGCAGCATTTACTACAATAGTCCTAACCTATAGTTCTTAGGGTCCTGGACACAATGTGTGGAATTCTATTACTACACAAGTGATGATATCTCATAATAATGATTAGTATAATCCTCAGATTTCTCTCTCACCTCTTACAGCCTGTAGAAAAACCATGAATTAAATTTCAACTAACTAATTCCAACAAAGTAGTTATTTTATTTGCTACAGCCATTCCATGTTTGGGCTCATTACCTAAGACCAATTACCTTGGTAGTTGATGGCATAACCAAAGCAGTATCTCTGTATCAAGTGTAAGTATCACCACCTTGCATAATCAGGATTTCAGTCACCCATTGCTGTGAGAGGCAACAGTTGTCTGCTGACATGTTGGTTGTCAGTTCCTCTGTGACCTACATACATCACAATATTAAATGGAGCCTTTAACCTTTGTTAGTTTGTAAGTAATGGTTTTCCTCTCAGTTTTGTTGAACGTAGCCCTGCATGCCCTGACACTGTGGTAAACCCGAGACAGCGTCTTTGGTCATCTCTCTACAAGTCTTCATATTGCTCAGTGTTTCACCATCTAAAACATGCTTACATGCATTCATAAGTCTAGTCTTCATCCCTAAGTTAAGTAATGTATCATATCTGGAGCTAACCTGAAAAAAAACACATGTGCTAAAACATTCTGACCTCTGCAGAATGCACACATGGCCTGACCTCAAGTCCAAGGCAGCAAGTGAGCTGCCAGGCCCCTGATTATACAGATCATGATATACGACTCCATACTGGTCCCCAAAGGAGGGAGACTAGCAGTACAGCAGCCTGTCACTGATGCGTTTAGTGTCCTCAGAAAAAAATGAAAGATAGTCTATTTTGAGTTTTCAGGGAAAAATATAATGAGACAATTTGATTATTATGACTTACACTTCATTGTTATCTCACCTTTACATGTAATGTAAAATATACGGTAACAACTTGATATAAAAAAGACTGGACACTGTATACTGCATCCAGATCAATTGAGTAATCGTCTATCTATGCTATGTTTCAATGCTAATTTTAAATCTACCATGAAAGTGGACGCTCTTATTACTGTCGCAGCAGAAACACACACACACACACACACACACACACACTGTCCTTGTGCTGGTCTCTGACACATGCATTATGACATGTGGCAGATAGGAGAGTGGGACAGTTGCTCTCAGCTGTTTTCTACTGAGCCATTTCGGAGACCTGTGCAATTCTAACAAGATAAGAACATAAGATTATTTTGCAATTAGCATTTGGTCAGAATCCTCAGGGATCTCGAGAGGGATCTGTAGAATAAATTATGTTTTTACTTGTGTCTGAATTTATTAAGATTTAGTTGTTTAAGTATACAAATCTGTGAAGGATAGGGTCAAACCAGCTAGTTTAACTCCTGCTTTAAGTGAGTTTGACATCAGCTTAGAGATGACAGTAATATATCTTGGATTTACCAGGCTATGAAATGTTCACACACTGCTTCCATGTCATTTTTTCATGACAGTGTAAAGTTTTCGAAAACATTGAGCAGGAAGTCATCTGCTGAAACTCTAAAGTACCACTGCTGTGCTCTCACTGTGTTTTATGTGCTGATTTATTGGCTGTAAGAGTTTTTGGCCACTCTGAGAGCATGTGTGAGTTTAACAGAGATTTGTGTGTATTTCATGGCTGAAAAAAGTCACAGCTTCACCGGGGTTTATGTTTAAAAATCTAGCTGAAAGATTTACAAAGAAATCACTGTTAAAGCAGGTCATCGTAGCACCTTGTTCTGCACAAGTAGCTGCACTGTGTAATTGTGGTTTAGATAATCAGATATTAGCACCATCAGCTTATATCTGATTTTTGATTTTGCAGTGAGAAAAGCTGTGCTCATGTGGGAGCAGATGCCATATAACATCACTTTCCAGGTTTTACACTCATCTCTTGTGTCTTGATTAATGATCCTGCATCAGTGCTGCTATTCTTAGAGGCTCGAGGATCGGACAAGCCTGGTTTAGAGGGGGTCAAGTCAACTGTTTATGACTTAACAGGGCACATTCAGACTCTGGTCATTTCTGGTTGTTCCTCCTTTCTGCCCAGTGAATGTGCTCTAATGAAGCAGAAGCTTGTAGAAAACGTTATAAATACAGTCGTGGGTCTGTTTGATATCATCAGAGCAGGTCGGTATCTTCCAGGAGACTTGCAGCATTATTTGGAGTCCAGCCCAGTTCTTCATCTTTGGTTTTGGAAACTTGTCTTGTCACAGAGCTTAGAGAAAGCAGAACAAAAGAACGGCACGCTTGACCTTACCTTTTAGGAGGTTAGCCAAAACACACTTGCTGATATACTTAAGATCAAAAAGGATCGTTTGCACTCGGAATTGTACTCCTTGAATGCTGAATTTCTTGCACTTTGGTTGGTTTCTAATCTCCATCTCAACCTTTTTACTGCCTAATTTGAGTTCATTCTGATCCTCGCATGCAGCAGGCTCGGTAAAGTTATTATTAGTCTTGTCATGTGGGGATCCATCAGCAGGAGCTCAAAACACATTTCAAACCCTGACCCAGAGTTGTAAGGAACCAGGGCTTAGAGGCAGCACATATGCCAAAGTGTTTGGTGTTGTGACCCACAAATGTTCCGCTGCCGCTCACCCATCATCAGTCATCTGGTCCCACAGCCAAGACTCGGACCTGCCATGGAGAGAGGTAGAGATAGAGGAAAACAGATCTAGAGTCTCTCCAACCTGCCAGCTGAGATAGAAAGCATGAGAAAAACACATTTGCCGACAAGATATTTGGTTTATTCAGTGTTGACTTTTATACTTTTCTGCAGAGTGCTTTTAGAGGAAAAGCAGAGCTGCATCCTGAGACTGCTTTATGACAGATAGTTCAGCAAAGGGATATAATACTGGGAGGAAATGGAGCTTTAAGTTTCGACAGACAAAATGAGACCGGGTGAACAGGTGAAAACTTATGCTGGTTAAAGATGTCTGCTGTTATAGTCATGGAATATATAAAAGGAAATTGTCCATTGTAGCTACTGCAGCAAATCATACTCCTGTGGTCTGTTGTTAAACTGAGGTAAACAGCTGATTTGTATATTTTATCTTAGTTGTATATAAAAACTGAATTCCTGTTTGGTTTCTAATTGCTACTGTCAGTGATTTCAAATGTTTCAGGCCCATTTTTTCTTATCAAACATATTTTCACAACACCTTCTTCATTACCCAGAGGATTTGACAATCAGTCAGACAGTCAGAACAGCCTTATGTGAGCTTCTCACTGTCTTTTTCTCTAGTTTGAAAATGCTAATCCAATTTACAGAAACAATTTCTCTTTCTTCCTAAATGTTTTACCATAAATTACACCACGTAGAACAATTCCAAAAAGGTATATCTTAAACAAAGAATTATAGCTCGACATAAATAAGCTTATTCGCTTTCACGCAAAAAAGAGGTGGCTGAGATGGGAAGATAGATAGATTGATAGATTTTTGTTTGTTTGTTCCCCCTGTTTCAGGACACATCTCAGAAATCTAATATTTGAATACAAAAAAAATAATAATCTCTAGTGCATCTGCAGTGAAAACAGCATCAGGTGATACGTAAAGGTTACATTCTACCACAAGCAATATGGGAGTTCATTGCGGAGCTACTTTCAAACTGCCAATTGCCTTCTAATTGTGAGAGCTATTAGTCTCTCCTCACTCTCTGCCTCTGCCTCCTCCAGGTCTGTCTCTCTTTCCCAGGAGCGCTACAGGCACTTGGCTGCCTTTGCTGTTATTTTAGCCCTGAGCTGGGGGTCATTGAGGTGAGTACAGTCAAGTTTTTACGGCAAAGAGCAACACTGAGTGACGCTTGGTTAGTGTATATCTCCCTTTTTGTCTTGAGCCAGCCAGTTTTGTATTTCTCTGACCCTTGAAACACTGTTATTCCACCATTCATTTTATTACTGTTTTCTTACCCGTTGTCTCCATCCACAGATATCTTCTTCTTTTTTTTTCTCAAACCCCAGGGTCTTCCAGGCTCCTGATCTACATTTTGTCTTTTCGTGTGGAGGGGTTATTGAGGTAAGGGAACCGTTGGAATGCCTCTCAAATCCCTTCATGTGTTTGTACAGTATAAACTTACCTTGGCAGCACTGAATCTCATATCTCAGACACATCTCAGAAATCTAAACCTTACAAAGAGAATACAAGATGAGAGATCAAGGTGATAGAAGTAAAACTTTGGCTGAATTGCTAATTATATCACCTAAAGCAAGTTGAAGTACAGGAAATTTAAATGTAAGATCAAGATTGTAATATACTGTGAAAGCTAACTCTAGCTGCCAGAAATCAGACTGTCGTGTTGTATCTGAAACTCACCATTCAGCATTGCTGACATTTATTGTCATATAATCCTCTTGAGCAGACAATCCAACCAACGATGACAATGACAACTTTGTGCATCAACGCTTTATTCTACAGTTTGTATGCATTTCATGTTGATGTAATTCATGTTTCCAGGTGTGCTGTCCGTCATGTCGGTGTTGAAGAAGGAGATGGAGAAGTACAGGGACATAGATGAGGACGAGCTGCTGAAGAAACTCTCAGAGGAAGAGCTGCAGCGGTTAGAGGATGAATTAGAGGAGCTGGATCCTGATGTAAGTTTATAATATAAAGCCCATGAGAAGCTATTGCTGTCACTGTGTTGGTGTCAGTGGAGAATTATGGGATCATTCAGGCTTAATAGAGCCCCCTTACGTAATATACTGCAGTCTACTGTATATCACTACAGCTACATGTGCTTGTGTTTTCATTGGAATTGATGTTAGCTAGTAATTTCTGGTTTTAAACCAGTCGGACTGTTCTGAGTGCAAAACATTTGAACGTACTCATGAGTAAATGGCTCTAATGTAAATAATGGTTTCTACAGTGTTAGTTCAGTGGCAGCTGATGGACTGTGCTTTGAATGCTATGTAGCTAAAACCAGCTAATAAACAGTCATGCGGTTAGTTGGCAGTTGGTGTTACTGCACAATGTGACCATTAGGCTGGTTAGAATTTATATTCTCTTATTGACTGTAATCAAACTAAAGATGAGTTGTGGAGTTTAGTTGATGACCCGCAGTTTTGTTTGAGTGTGTGCAACGGTTTGGCCAGAATTGTGACAGCTGAAATAAACCAGTAATCCTCTATGTGGAATGAAGTGGTTGCATCAGTAAAAGTAACTGGATGCAACATAAAAAAACAGATTGAATATGAAAAAATAGAATTTAAACAGTTGGGATTTATGCTACATATATTAATATATTACATATATGTTAGTGTTTGATAGAAAGTTTTGATAATCTATTTGCTGTTTAAGTCATTAATTGGGCAAAAATGCTAAACATGGATGGTTTCAGCCTCTTGGATATTAAGATTTGTTGAATGCTGAATATCTTTGGTTTGTGGACAAAACAAGCAGTTTAAAGGGGTCGTTTGGATCTACAGAATGGCAGTTGGCAATTTTTCTCAACAATTTATTGAAAAATAATAAATGAATCCAGACAAATCCATCTTGAAAATATACATTCATCAAATGAATGAGTGAGGAACTATAGGAGACAACTTTGGTTATTAAGGCTAAGTGAAACTGAGCCAACGGAGATAAATTCTAGAAAATACTCACATATGCCAGTCACATATGTGATGTGACTGATTTTGTCACGTTTCGTCACCTTTTCCTCTGGAATTTTAAGTATTTCTCTATTTGCACTGAATGCACTGACCTGGGAGGCCGGGTAGTGTTTCACAGTTTCAGCCATTGTGCTTCAGGAGGTTCAGGACATCAGTAGTTTCTGTTGATTTTTATGATGTATTTACTTCAGCATGTCTTGCATCCACCACCAGCTTCATACCCTCAGTGATGCATCATGGGTGGTGACAGCAGCTGTATTAGCTTTCTGATGAATGTGTAGTTGCTCACAAAGTGACTGGACTCCCCCTCAATACCAAGGGGATGACTGGTAGGGAATAATCTACACGACTGTGTGTGTGTGTGTGTGTGTGTGTGTGTGTGTGTGTGTGTGTGTGTGTGTGTGTGTGTGTGCGTGTGCGTGTGCGCGCGTGCGAGCGAGAGAGCGCGAGAGAGAGAGAGACTAATGCCAGCACTGAGTTACCGGAGGGACTCCATGATATAAACAGTGAGAGGCAGTGTGTGCATACTTACCTTGTTTGTGCCTGTTTATGAGGGTAACCTGTTACACAACAGTGAACTGTCCCAGGTCTTTGAGATACACTATAACCTTCCCAGCAAGGCCTCCCACATCAGTTCCAGTAAGTCATTAAAAAGGCTTCATCATGCTCGACACAAAAACATCCCATCTGCCAGCTGTGCTGTGATTGTAGAGAGATAAATTTATTGTCAATCATCTAGAGAACATTTTGTGTTTTAGTACGTACAGTACTGCGTCACGGTCATACGCTTACACACTACAACTAGGACTGTTTACTTTTACTAAGACACCATGGTCACATCCTTTTGGCTCTCACTTGAAGTCTGAGATTTCTTACATATTCGGATCCCTGGTCTAACGTCCTGTTGTAATTTGGAATAGGTTAATACAAATCACATGTACTTTTACTGGTAACATTTCTTAAATCATGGAAGGTGAACATTTTGTTATTTTTCACTCACCCACATAACTAAAGCTGCACTAATTAATATTATTACTCACCATTTTAGCTTCTTTCTGCGCATTGTTTTGGTTTTATGACCCACAACTTTACCATTTTCTCATTCCTCTGTATCTGCTGGATGTGTGAGTTAGTTCCTTGATCTCAGACTTGTGCTCACAGACGTGTACTGTATAAGTTACATGTAGATGTCTACTGTGGCTTGTGAGAGCAAGAGAGAGATAGACCAAATGAGATAGAGAGGGAAGTACAGTTAAGAGGGACGAGAGAGAGAGAGAGAGTCTCATGCTGGTTAAAAAAAAAATATTCAGGGGCTGAGTGTAAGAGGCCTGTTATCTGCAGCTGATATAAGTGTGTGACACAGAAAGCTTGGCAGTGTGATATTCCCTTGGCTTTACTATATATACTACTGTAAGTCACGTGAACATTTATGGATCACTACAGGAAGTGCTGAATGAGAGCAACAGAAACCGAACAACTGTGAAAATGCGGTCTGTGTCAATTGTTTGGTATCTTTTAGAAAATTGTTTGCTGCTTCGAGAGTATTGTTTTTTTGGAAGCTTCTGATTAAAGGAGAGAGACTGAAAGCAGATGAATAAGAGTGAGAGAGACAGGCAGGCAGGGAGGAGAGAGAGGCCTCTGAGTGCTGACAAGACAGATAAGATATGAAGCTATAAGTAGCACTTTGAAGAGCTTGGTTTTTGAATCTTACTTTAAGTTGAAAATAACTTGGTATGCAGCAAAGCTCTGGGAAACATCTTGGTCCTGTGTTGGTCTGGAGTAGAGATTGGAACTGATGTGGGAGTTGAACCAGAGCAAAGATACAACACCATTATCTCTGTATCTATCTCCCTTATTGTAATACTCGTTGTATCTCTCTTCAAATCCTCAAAATTGTTAAAAGATTTAATACAAACAATACAATATTAATGTTGGGCATATTTTTATAGTATTGTTAATGAAAACCTACAAAATGTATGAAAAATTGTATTTTTTTATTTTATTTATTTATTTATTTTTAAATTTAATTTTTGTTTATTTGTTGAATTTTCATCAATAACTGGCAAACGAGAAAGCACTGCATCATATGACTCACGCCATTTTTATTGTATAGCTACAATGAGTTGCACTTGTCCTAATTTTCAATCATCATCAGAATGAAAGAGGTTGAAGATTTACTTCAACCAAGAAAGGTCTCCTTCATTTTCACTGGAGCTGCTAAAAACGATTGTAGTCACTGATGCTGGGAAGACATAATTAAGATTACTGTTTCATTCATTAATGCTTCTGTAGCGAGGAGGAAATCCTGGACTAATTTGTTCTTCATTGTTCTGCACTAAAGTTGCACGGTATAATAGGATTTAATGACTATGATAGGAACAAATTCAGAAATTTAAAAAAATAATTTTTCCAGTGCCAGTAAATTATGAAAATTCCCATCCTTGTGTAGAATGCGTTGTTGCCAGCTGGGATGAGGCAGAAGGACCAGACTAAGAAAGCTCCGACAGGAACGTTTCAGAGAGATAACCTCCTGGCCCATCTGGAGAAACAAGCCAAAGAGCACCCAGACAGAGAAGACCTGGTGCCTTTCACAGGGGAGAAGAGAGGTAAGAATTTGTTTTCTCATATTGAATATACTTAGATTAAACGCTGGCTCAAAGCACTGTTTTTACAAAGTGAACAAATGACTAGAACATTGAATGTCAAGACTGTTTGGTTTCCCTTGCATATTAAAGATAACTGAGTTATCCAAGTATGAGAGCTGAGGGGAGGATGGACTCTCCAATCCTTGAGATGTAGTGGGGGGAGAAAATTATAAATGAATGGGAAACATGAGCCATCCATGAGTACAACTTTATTTTTTTAGTTCCCTAAAGGGAGATTGGTTCCACAAGCACCAGCCTAGTGTGGACACAGGTGTGTGACGGATGGTGAGAGATACCAAACATCCCTATGTGAAACTCTACAAGGTCTCCCTGCTGTCACCTTCATCATGATCCTCCTTGCAGGTGTTATGGTCTTACTGCAGTCTATCCTGTGTACTTAAAAGACCTGAGACATTTCAATTTAATTCCACAGACCAGCAGTAAAGCTGGTCCAGGTGGAACAACTAAGTAGCTGCAAACTGGATCATATGAGTGGCGTGGAGCGATAGCAGTTTCTGCTCCCTGTTTAAAACTTTCTCCCATCAGTCCGCTTGCAGCCACTCCATGTTTTCTATTTGCCGCTGCCCTCCTGCTCACCCTGAGGGTCAGGCAAAACCTTCATTGTTGGATGTGAAACATGTTAACAGGTTTAAAAAAAACAAAAAACAGCCTGTAGTCAGGGGTGACATGAAGGGATATTCACCTCAGACGGCTCAGTTGTTATGTAAGAGAGCTGGTTTTCAACACGTACTATTGTATATGCTGTATTTCGAAACAACTTCTTTAACAAGTTAATGGTTGTAGTTTTTACAAATCATACTGACTTACTGAAGAAATGTTTTCTCCGCCTACATGAAGGTAAGGCTTGTGACAATGATTTATCTGTCATGGTTAGATACATATATTATTAGATATAATACTGATGCTTTCATGTCAACGTCCAGGACAACTTGCAACTTATTAGTACATGGACTTTGTTGACTTCATGTATTTCCCAGCAATGTTCCACTCATCTTCAATAATGTGATCAGCTAAGATTTAGGTGCTAGTGATACCAGTCATAGTAGTTGTACTTGTACTGTCATTCTTGTCTGGTAAATCAATCAATGTTGCAGGGAAAGCCTGGGTACCTAAAAAGAGGGTGGACCCCATCATAGAGAGCGTGACCCTGGAGCCAGAGCTAGAAGAAGCCCTTGCTAGTGCTAGTGATGCTGAACTATGTGACATTGCAGGTAACACACACATTTACTCATGCCTTCACACACATCTCTTCACAGTCACATATGCTATGTGCACAAAGCTTATTGGTTTCAGTTTTCTCCAATTTGAACCATATATGAGTATTTTAATAGAAGTCTTGAACAGATTTTTATGCACCAAAGAAAAATTGTAAATGTTGGTTTTTGTTTTAGTGTTTTTTTTTCTGTTTTTGTTTTTAATTTCATGTGTTTTCTCATGTTTATAATTCAAACATTTGGATTTTTTTTTTAAGAAAAACAAAAAAATTAAAATTAATAGAGAAATTAACAGAAAAAATGAGCACACAACCTCTGTAGGAGACTTTGAATAATCTTTGAATTTGTAGTGTTGAATTTGCTAAATTGCAGGTGTCTGATTATTCTTCATCTTCATCTCCTGTACATTCACTAATCACTATCAACACACCATCGCACCCTTTAACTTTTCCTCAATCTAACTCTTCTCCGTGTCTCTAGCACTCCTTCCACCTTCCCTCCACCCTTCCCTTTCATCTCTCCATCAGCCCCTCCATCTTCTCCGCCTCCTCCATCCCTGCTGGATCTCTCTGTTCGCTAGCTGAACACCATCCAGGGTATCTGTAGACTGCACAAAGTATTTGCATGGAACGATTCTACTCCTCTGTCATGTCCACGTTGTCAGCCTGTGTTAAACAGACATTTGGCAAAACCATGCAGCTCAGCTCACAACCAGACAGATGCCTGTAACCATACATGCATTACACAGGACTATCATAGAGTCTGTGTGATGCATGGCAAATTTCATTACTGCGGCAAATATTTTGCTGCATGTACAAACTTTCAGTTTGTTGCCATGACGTGTCTATGACTGATGCTTTATATACTGCAGATAATAGCACGGAGGTCTCTTTAACCTTTGACATACACTTTAGTAATAACAACACCAGGTTTTAAGTCGGTAATAGGAAAGTTATGATATAGTGTTGTGACGTTATACTGATGTTATGAACGCCATTATTTCCTACCTTGTGATGAGTTAGATTTGTCCACTACCAAAGTCCCCTCCATTATCATGCCAGCCTCCGCCACCCACCCACCCACCTTTCTACTAAGAGCAGCTTGGTAGCTCGCGTTCCCTGACTGTTTATGTCTTTGTAAACACAGGCTGTGCTCATGCTCTTGATCTGTCTGACAAACAGATGAGGTGATAATTTGCTCTAAATCACATCTTTTGTATTGTATCCTGTGTCCAAAAAATTATTTCAGATTCACTGCTGCCAAGACACTTACTCTGATGGGTGGCTTCACAAGCTCATACCTTGACATCCTTTATAGTCGTGATGTAGAGGGTAGTAGTCAGCCAACAGAGAGCTGGACCTTGGCTACGGCTGCAAAAGCAAAGCTAGTACATATTACCAATTAAACCACTGCACCTGAAACTTTGCAGCATACAACTGCTTGACTTGTTTGCAATGCTGCTTTTGTGCTATCTCTATTAGCATGGTGGTCCACTGTACGGATGTAACCAGACAATCGCTACATCTATGGATGCCTTTTCAGCATCTCTGTCTCTCTTTCTTTTCTGTCCCTCTGTTTATTCCCTTTGTTCTCCCCATCCTCATTCTGTCTTCTTGCTGTCTTGCAGCCATCCTGGGTATGCACACCCTGATGAGTAACCAGCAGTACTATGAAGCCCTGGCCAGCAGCACCATAGTCAACAAGCAAGGCCTCAACAGTACATACACCACACACACACACACACACACACACACACACACACTTGCACACATGTATGTCACTCAGTCTTGATTTGGAGAAATCTGCCAGTTGCATGAGCTGTCTTCACTTGATTCAAACAGGGACACATTTGCTGCAGGGATTTTCAAGAAGCAAGTTAAAGTAGCTTGAAATACAGCAGATCACTCGGCTGGTTTGAAGAAAATATATCAGCTCACTCGAGAAAAATGTTGAAGTTGGAGTTGGCCTGGATTGGAATCAAGTGAAATGATCTCATCTTGGCAGAATGTTGATTTATTTTACCAAAGATAATAGGTTCAGTCTTTTTTTTTTTTTTCTTCTTGCGCTTCATCCATGCACAAATACAGTTAAATATGTTAAAACTAAGTACATAAGCAGATAAAATTAAGAATATACAGACACTCATACGTTGTCCTATAGGTCCTCCAGGAATATCACTGATGAGTCATGTGTGTATCATTCTTACACTATACAGTGTAAACGATTGTAAGTTGATATTGCTTTTATCCCCCCATCACACAGAGGCACACACACGAGAACACACATACACATTAATAAGCCATTGTTTATCTTAAGTGGCTCCTCCTATAGATATTCCTCAAGCTGTAAACCGAGTCAGAGTCAGAATATCTCACTTCCAAATATGATGTCTCTCAAAAAAGAGCCAGCTCTAAACTTCTGAATTGCCTGACGAAATTGTCCCTTGCTTTGTTTTCAGTACATAAAACATGTTTAGACTGCATGTTTTGAAGGGAAATTCATTAGATGGTATTATGTAAATTGGACAATTAAGCAAAGGACTTTGTTGGTTTGTTGGTGAGTGTGTGCTGTAATTGTGTTGTATCCCAGGTGTGATCCAGTGCACCCAGTATAAACCAGTCCCCGATGAGGAGCCCAACTCCACTGACGTAGAAGAGACCCTGATGAGAGTGAAGAGGAACGACCCTGACCTAGTTGAGGTCAACCTCAACAACATCAGGGTAAGAGTGTGTGTGTGCGTGTGTCTGTGTGAATATCATGTTGGGGATATGAGCTTCATGCTATGTCTACAAACTCAATATCACCAAAGTTTGATTTACTTTGGCTTCTGTTTTAACTGAAACAAGTTTTATATATAATATGAAACACCTGATCCTCTATTAATTATATTCATCTGTCCCTGATAGTTTTTTCTAGTACTTACATTTGAAGAAACTAAACTTTATCCAAATACATATGTTTGATGACATGTATTTTCTAAAAACAGAAACTACCTTACTTCAATGAACTAAATGTAGTTTTCACATTTTAATTTTTCAGACCAAATTTAAAAAAAAAGCTATGGTTTAAGAAATAAACTCTGAATTCATTTTAGTGCATGAAGGGAATTTCTTGAAACACAGCACATTATTTTATTTGTTAAAAAATGAGACATAGAGCACTTACTGAGTTTTTCTGTTCACAGAACATCCCTATCCCAACTCTGAAAGTGTACGCTGAGGCTCTGATGAAGAACACTGTGGTGGAGCGGTTCAGTATCGTAGGAACCAGAAGCAATGACCCCGTAGCATTTGTAAGTTATAGCTGCAACATTTTATTGCTTCGTTTCTCTGAAATGGATCAGCCAAGTTCATCTTATCTTTTATTTGGTGGTTTGAATTTGTTTGATTGAGTTATGGGTAGCACTGTTTGTAAAGATAAACTCTCTGCACGTGTTGTGCACTCCAACTGTTTTTCTAAACAAAAAATTCAACCATCTCTATACTTTAATTCAAATCTTTTTTTAATTTAAAGTGTTGCTTTCTCAACCAGCCACCTCGTGTTTGTGGTCAGTCATTGTGACAATGGCACTAACAAAACACAAAACTGTCAATATGCAGTTGGGTTAAGAGCTTCCTAATAATTCATGTTGTATATAATCCCTCTAACGCTCTCTAGTTTTTCCTATCTAATAAGACATATCCATCAGTGAGTCTCACTGAGACCCTTTATGGTGCTGTATCCCTCATTTTGGCAAACCAGTAGCCGGATTATGGAGCACATGGCTGCAACACTATGAGTGAATTTAGCTTTATTATGTGCTGTGTGTTTCCTCAGGCCCTGGCAGAGATGTTGAAGGTTAACACGACGCTGAAGAGCCTGAATGTTGAGTCCAACTTCATCACAGGGACTGGAATCCTGGCCCTCATAGAGTCACTGCAGAATAACACCACGCTACTGGAGCTGAAGATAGACAATCAGGTACCAACATTCAACACACATGCAACCCAACCTGCATAGGGTACATGCAGACTCACACACACTTACCATGCACAAAAATGTGTGTGTGGGCATGTGTGTCAATTAGTGTACACAGGCCATCTTTGCCACTTCAGTCTAATGCTCCTAGATTGCCTTGTGATGTGTCATACTGCATAGTCGTACATCTCTGACTCACTGCTTGCCCGTTAGTTGAACTTGTTGAATGATTCACAGATTTTTTTTTTTTATCTCCCCTCTTTCTCTTGTATGTCTTTGCCATTTGGCTCCATTGATTGATTAATTGAAATGATAATAAACTGAAATTGACAAAGCATGTTACCCCCTGCCGCTTCATCTTCTGTTATCAGATCACTGTGTTATCAGTAGTGGCACTAATGTTCAGTTCATGGACTCCTCCTCTTGCTCTTTGGTGTCTTATCTCTCTATTCCTCTAACATTCCCGTCTCTCTATCGCAAATCTAATTTTGTTTTTAATCTAACTCTTCCTGTCTCTCCTCACTTTCTCTCCAAACTTCCAGAGCCAGCCCTTAGGCAACAAGGTGGAAATGGAGATCGCCAGCATGCTGGAGAAAAACACCACACTGTTGAAGTTTGGCTACCATTTCACCCAGCAGGGCCCGCGCCTCCGAGGCTCCAACGCCATGATGAACAACAACGACCTGGGTGGGTTACACACACACACACACACACACACACACACACGCACGCACACACACACACACACACACACACACACACACATACACACACACATACACGTACATGCATGCATTTCATAGTGCAGATGCAGCTTTGAGCCTTGGATACATGCACATGAACACACACACACACAGAGAAAACAGAATTGGGAACATGACAAAAGTCCTTGGGCTGGACTCAAACTGATAACATTTCAAGTACATAATGTATTTGAGTACTGATTCACCTCACTATGCTTTATTCAGTTACATAACTTTCTTTCAGTAGTATTGCATTTGGCAGTGCTAGTTGTTATGTGCGTCAGTGCCGACAGTATCTCCACTATATCTCCTTGAGTTGTACTTTAATCAGACTCTAATAGAGGAATCAGTGTGACATCATTGGCTAGAAAGCCCCCCCCCAATCAAAACAGTGCCTTCCTAAGTTATGACATCAGCACTAAGAAAAGACTTTGCATGAGAGGGAGGACAAAATGAAACTAGTGGAGGAAAAGTTTATTGCACTTGGCAGGAGATATTTAGGTTAGTATTTAAGTTTGCTGACTTTATTTTTGACTTTTCTTATTTACTAATGTCTTTATTTTATACAGGGTAACACGATACAAAAAAACTTTACTCACACACTGACAGACAAAGTTACAGAGTTAGAAAGAGGCTTTCATTAGTGTCAACAAGCTGGTCTGTCAGATTTTGTGAAATGCCTTCCTGTGAAACTATGTTGACACATGATTTGTGGCTCATTGTCAGTCATATCCTTTGCTTGTGTTCTTGCCCAACTTTAACAATAACAATAATAAGAATAATCTACTGAATGTTTTTAAGTTTGTGTGAGTGTGTTTGCTCTTGAACCTCCTGTGAGAATCAGTTTTAGGATGAGTGCATGAATTGATGCAATGTTGGCTGTCTTCTCTTCAACCAGAGGTTATCACAGGATTGAAACTGAGAATTAGGATTACAGGATTAGATTAGGATACATTTGAGTTCAGGTTATGGTTTCTTTTTTTTATGATGTTTTCATAATCTTCTTGTATTGTGTCACAAACCCTTTGAAGTTGTGTCATAATTTGTCATGATTTTCCTTCCCCATCATCTTGAAGCCCGTGTCGTCAGGTCAGAGTCGGACGGCTCCTTCACCCTCACTCTGTCTGTCCCTGAGCTGGAGAGGGCCTTTGGGAAAAAGTTCAAGTCCAAGACAAAGTAAAAAAAAAAAAAGAAAAGAAAAGAAAAAACCTTGAAACACAAACACAGCACTATTTGACTGCTCAGCCTTGTCTCTCTTCTGCCAACATCTTCCTGGTTCTTTTCCAGATCACGAACCGCTGCCACCTCCTGTCATACTCCTCTGAGAGTTTCTGTTGCCTCTCCGCAGCACCTATCATCACTTTCCTTCTTTTCCTCTTCTAGTCATCTCTTCGGCTACTGACAGTGCCTCCCAAATTTAGCCGTTGCTCTTTTGTCCCCACTGTAAGTAGAGTATAAATTTTGTTGCCACACTGCTGTTCAAAAAGGCAACAAACTGGAATATTTTGATGTCCACAATATCCAGAAACAGGTAAAAAGGATGTACAATATTGAAAAAATTCTGAGCGCATTTGACATGAAAAATGCTAAAGAGATGTAAGCACTTGTGCACATGTGTCATATGCCCAAGTAACTGATCAAACAGCATCCACTATATGCCTCTTCTCTGTTTGAATTCTGATTGTGCTGGACGAAACGCTCTCTTTTTTTCCTCGCCTTGGCTGTTTCCTTAGCTGTTTGTTGGAGTTCGCTCCTCTTTTGGCTGCACTGTGAATCTGCGGAAACCTTCGTGTTCTTCATCTGTTGTGTTTCCTACAACACTTTCCAATGAGTAAACCTGTGATGTTGTTTAAATGGCCACAAAACCTACATTATCTTTCTTCTTGGCCTTTTTACTCTGGATTTTCCTTCTATCCTGATCTGGTATTTTTTATTGTTCCTACTTTGTCCGGAGAAATTCTGCTTTTTCTGCTCAGCCTCTGAAGTTAGTTTTCTTCAGAAGAGCACTTCTGTCCTCTTCTAAACACTGCTCCTATCCAAAGATGGATTACCAACTGTGCAAACAGAAATGACTGTTAGTATTTTTTATTTCTTGTTTGAAAGTCATATAGTTCAGTTAAAAGACATAAAATGATTATAAAAAAGGCAATGAAGAGACTCAAAATGACAACACAGAGACACAGACCCAGTACAAAGAGATAAACAATAATGAAAAAGGCATGCAGAACAGCCATTAAAAGAAAGAAAACAACCACAAAGAGAGACAAACTACAAACTACACTTGCAATCTGGGGATATAATATAAAGGAAGGATGAAAGTCTTTTTACCTGTCTGTGCCCAGGGGCTAATTGTCGCCAGACCCTCATTGGCCCTGAACACTCCAGCTTCCCTGTGTGGCAGTTAGCTTATAGATGAAAAGATTATTCTTATAAGGCAACACCTACAAGTTCAATTCTAGTTTTAACTTAGTTTTGAGTTTGAGTTTCTTGATGTATGGTCAATTTTATTAAGTGAAATTGAGCTTTATAAAGTTACCACAAACTAATTACAGATCGCTAATTAATGAATACACAATAGGGAGGGAACAGAGGGGTCAATAGGGGCCCACAGCTCATTATTGTCTCATAGTGGGTCAATCCAGCCCTGCTTTTATCACCATCCCACCCATGTCTCTTGTCCTTTTTTCCTTCAAGAGCTCTTGCTAAAGCTATTTCCTTTTGCAACCACTTGTAGTAAAGGTGGTGTAACTTTGATCTTTATGTCCTGCTTTCTGAAAGCTTTCCCCTCTGTTCAGTTGCCTCTCTTCTTGCTCTATGCAAAGTAAATAAGGCAGGCCGACTTTGCTTTGCTTTAGCTAAAGATTATGATGATGACAAACCTTCCTGGAATGTCTAATTTGTCTCCCGTCCTTCCTTCTCTCCTCTCATCTTTTCACCTCTCTTTCCTCTTCATCTTTTGTGTTTTTGTCTTCTCTCTCTGTCCCTCCATCCTCTTCTCCATCTATAGTAAGAAAGAGAAGGCTTGAGGGAGGACCCATCTTCCCTAAGTGTCGGACGAATGTGTAGAAACCAGGGTTACCTTCAATTCCCTGTTCCCCCTTGACCCCCATCATCTTTATGGAACCTCTTCTCTTCTTCAAGCCTCACAACCTCTGACGAGCTACCCAGAAGACCATGACAACCACGTCATGTTCAGTTGTTCAGGGTTTTTGTTTTTGGAAAAGTTCTGAACTCTTACTGCTTTCTAGACCTTTTCTAGTAGATATTAGAGGATTAATCAGCATTTTTGTCCCTCTGAGCTTTCAGTTCATGCAAAAAGTACTTGGTATCTTTTTGGCTTGGACTTAGGTTTGGACAACAATACTTGCAGCTCTTTGTACGAACTAACCAGGCATTGCTTAGTCTCATCTTGAATCCTTTAAAATCTTATGAAGTGTCTAGATTCCATAATAAAGGGGCTGGAGGTCTGGTTTTGAATGAGGGCCCATTTGAAAGGTCAGGGGCCTTTAAGTGATCTGTGTTCCTATTGAGTTGAATGAATTCTAATAATTATTATTATTATTGTGCTGTAAATGAACTGTGCTGTCATTACTGTTGTTGCCAACAGTTTCTGAGGTTGCTTTAAGGTCGGCATACAAGGTATTTACTACCAACTATTACACCAAAGCCCATATTAATTTGACAGACAAAATTTTAAAAATATATATATATATATGAGGTATACTGTAATGTCACATTTTGACCCGGCCATGAAAATCTGATGTTATTGTCTTTTCCTATTCGGTCTAAACAGTATTTTAATAACTCACTGTCCTCAGATACTAAGCTATCCAGATTCTTCAGTAACAGATAGATTTATAAACCTGGCTACTGTGAGATTTGTTGCTATATACAGAATATATTTATTTGTGACAGACCTGGGAAAGAGTCAGAAAGAAATTCAGATACTTGACATAACTTGGATCGATTGTGCTGGATAGTGTAATAACTAGTGTAAAATATGTTGCTGTAAATGAAAATGTACACTCTAATTACTCTTTACACTGTTACACTATCAAACATTAATTTTAGCAGCCTCTGCAGAGAAATCCTACAAGCTGAGAATGACAACTGCCATTTCAAATTTTATTCACTGAGATCAGATATTCAATCAACCCACTGTAAAATATCCTACAAACACCATCTTCTTATGTAGAAGAAACTCTACATGGATGACCCAAAGAACTACAAGCATTCGAATGGATTTCTGCTACTGCTACACTTTCAACCAGGTCTGGTTTGTTGATTGTTTGTGTTTGTTTATTTTTATTTACTGGAGCTAAAAAAAAAAAAAGTGTGCCATAATGCGAACTGGTTGGTACTGTTGACTTACTGTTTATTACAGGTTTCACATTAATGCCTCAATCCAGGTTTGGACTGTTTTAGAAATGGATGTTAGATGCAGATTTAAAAACACAGGAAACCTCGAATGTCTTTACAGCTGTCAGATTATGCAGATCCATTTTATTTAAATAAGGAAATGTTTAGGTGATACGTAGTTTCAGAATGTTTACCTGTTTGATGGGTCTTAAATCAACCAGTGAACATCTGAAATATTGTATTACACTTTCATCTTGATTTGATCCGTAAAGAGTTCATAATGGAAATGTTCTTAGAGGTACCACATTGTTACGTCCTTGTTACTAACACCTACACCCAACTATAGCTATGTTGGTAATGATTATGCTGCTGTGCATTTGGCAGCACTTGAAGGGATGTCCTCCAACTTTAAAATCAACAGAACAATGAGAAAAAAGAAGGCTTAGCTACTCTCTAACCAGGAACTAGAGCTAAAACGTCCATTATTTTTTCAAGATGAAATGTGTCTCTATTTCCTGCATAAAGAAAATGGGTAAACTACCAGTTACAGACTTGAAGGTAAAACTGCTCCCACCATCTATGTTTTCTTGATGTGAACAACTGTACCTGATACTGACAAAGATTAAAGATTTAAAAAAAAATCTGACGGCATGTTTAAGGGTTAAATAACCCATTTAATGTCATTTCATACAGTATCACTACTTTGTTACTTTCTCGTCATTGCTGTAGGTGTTGTTGAACAAATGGTTATTAATGGATGTAAACATTTGTGCGACAGTAAGTAACTGAAGGGGGCAAAGACTCTGCCCCTGCCACTCAGTCTTTGTGTGTCCTGTTCTTTTCTTCTGTCCAGTGTTCTCTGATATTTTAGTGCTTGAGTCTGTGTTTTGTTAGATAGTTCAACTTTATTTGGTTGAATTTTTGTTTAAGGGATAAATAAAGCTTAAAAAATAATATTTCCACAACGTCCTTGTGCTTAAACTTAACTTACATTTGGCTGGACATTTCACCTGAATATGTAGAGCACAACTTTCTCCCATTTAGAGACAACAGTGACACTCAGTGGCAAAATTTAAGAAATACACCACGTAGGCTTAGCTAGACTGTCCATCTTTTCCAACCATATATTGCCCTCATCAGACCAAGAATAGAACTGCATTACACTTTTATTGTTTTATTTTATTTACTTTTAATGATGGTTGTCTTCTGTTTACAATTTCAGTGTGCAGATTTTACCTGAGAGCCCTCGTCTTGTCATTGAAGAAAAATGCTTGTGTCATCTGATTTACTGAGTGAAACTCTGCAGAGGTACCAAACTTTTTACTTAGTAATCAGTCTGAAGTAAAGGGATATGGGGTCAGGTTGGTGCCTGGTGTCTAACGAACATATGGAGCTATAAAATATTTTTGCAATTTATGATTTGATGCACTCTACTGATTAATTTTCACGTTAAATTTCCATATTGTGCATTTCATGAAAAATCAGAAGGGTAATAGGCCTTTTTCACAGCAGACATCTGTACTTCATACTACCACTTACTAGGAACATGTGTTAACATTAATGTTGGCTCTGTTCTATTCAACTACACAGTACCCATACTCTGAAACAGAAGCAGGTAAACTGAAACATTTTAACTCACATGCTTTTCATACTGTGACATGTCACAATGTTTTTTGTGAGAATAGCAGACTCAAGACACCCAATGTGTGAATAAAGGCCTGAATTCACACATAATAGTCCAGATTAGAGGAAGAACCTTGAAGCTTGTTGGCTATTTTTCACCTGCACCTGTTCACATCCTTTTTGAAGCCAACCCCCACATCACTCAGAAAAGAAGATAACACATTTTTAATGTCTGTGAACAAGGTTTTAAGTTTTTATTGAATCTCAGGCAGAAATATACATGATAATCCTTTATTGCTCATAGCATTCCACGTCACCCTCAGCGACTTATTGTCACCTCTAAAACAACAATAACTAGAACTGAATCAAGCGTCCCCTCGTGTCATCTTTTAAAATGCTTCTGGTTTTGCTGTGTAACTAAATCAGTAGCCAAACTGCAGTATTCACGCACTGTGTGTGTGTTTGTGTGTATTGGGGGAAAGTGGTCTCTTTCTCTCTTGGTCAGATATCTTCACATGATCCAATAGTCAGTCTTGGAGGCCATGTTAATAGTTAATGCTGCTTATTATAGATGAAAAATCAGTAACGCATATTTTTTATCTATTCATACAGTTTCTTCCAGCATTCTCTCCCGAGTAGTAGATCCTGATAGTAATAGTATATATACTGTAGGTTCTTGTTTTATGGCTGAAAGGTTAAGGTTTTGGCTATACGGTCATTCGTCATCAAAACAAAGACACAACAAAAAAAGAAAACCCTGCAAACCTGTAAATAAAATTTCCTGAATGCATACATGTCATTTTTTTTTTGTTACTGATATTAATAACGGTTATACTGACATGGTAGTGAAAACACACTCAAACTTAGGAGTTATTGCCTTAATATTTTTTGCATGATAAAGAAGAGGATAAAAGGGGGGAGGGGGGGAGGGGGGGGGGGAGTTTGTACATATTCACACAACAAACTTGTCCAGACAAATGGCATGCAAGACATAAGAAGGAGACGCACTGAACGGGGGAATAGAAACATTTTTAAACACTACACTACATGAATGTTATCACACTTTGATATTGAGCACTGTAGGAGTGTAGGGTAGATAGACAATAGGTTTTACAGAGAATGTGTAACACTGTGTGCAAAAAGTTTTACATAAATTTCAGACATGGTCGAACACAAAACAGTAGCTTTGGCAGCACACAACAATAGTCTTTAAATTTCCTTTTTAAAATATGGCTTATCAAGTTATCACATATTTTTTTATTTTAGAGACAGACACACAGTTAGTATAATAATTTTATATATTATTTTATGATTGTTTGCCCACCTTTAGGCTTCTCATGTCTTCATTACTTATGTACAAATTGAGTGAACAGCGTAGTGGACAAGGAGATTATTTTTCAGTGCTGCGAGAGATCTCTGCAGCTACCGCAGAGGAGAGAAAAGGGAGTTTAAAACTTCACAGACTAGAAGGCTAAACCATCAAACATTGTGTCTTTAGCCCCTCTGCTTGCTGTTAGCTTCATTAGTGTAACATAGCTAACGTTAACATCAGTCAAGCTAACGTTCATCTGGCCGTTGGGTCAGCCTAGCTTAGTCTAATGGCTGAAATTCACACTGCTGGTTCACGTATGATTCATTTCCCCACCATGAAACTTGATTTGTCCAAACACCAAAAGACCACACCGTATTTTAACTTCATTTTACGCACTTACATGTGGATGGAAAAAAATCCCTGACATAAGCCAACCTTGTGAATGTAGCCTATGAACTAAGCTAGAAAATGTTAGCATTAGCTAGCTTGCTAACCTACTTCTTCAGCATGTCTTGCAGTGGGCCTGGCAGGTATTTCATCACTGTGTCCATGATGCTTTCCTCTTCCTCCTCATCACCACAGCCGGCTGGCACGGCCTTCTTGGGTCGGGTCAAGCTGCCGGCTGCGGGCTCCTCCACAGCGGCTGCTGCCTCAGCCTCGGCTTCTTCACGCTTTTTCAAACCATACTGGTGATCAAACACAGAATTTGAAATTTCGGGAAGTTAGATGAGTGAAAGATGCAAATACAGTGCAGGTAAAGAAAGATATCTAGACACCACAATCATCTCATTTTAAACATTATTATCTGTAAAATGTGCATTTAGTGGGCAGGCCACTTGTCAGGTGGATAACACTGATTGCTATATGCTGCCAATAGATGCCAGTGTGTCAGCTACATCAACTTTTAAGTGTCCCACATTGGGGCCCGATTGATTCAAGCCCCATGAATGGTCTTGGGCCTGTGAGGGTATTTTGCTATAGTGGCCACTTTCAGGGTCATCACATGACACTTGAGGGCCCAACAGCACTTTTTCCATACACAATCATTGGAAAGGAGCACTTTAGAACTGTGAATACATTTTTCTGGCGTCAAAAGCAAGCGGCAACATCCAGGGCTGAAAAATTAGGCCAACACGGAAGTGCTGTGACAACTGTGCAGGGGGTGATTTTTTTATATTACTCACCTGTTTAAATTTGATTAAGTCAAGTTCTGCATAATTGAGAGCGTGCCACTTTGAGTGAAAGGTGGGTGAGCATATGCTTCACACAAACTGGCATGTGAAATCTTGGCTCCACACATGCCCCACCTCTTTGCCCATTTTTGAATTAGCTGGTAGTTAGGCGAAGTCAGGCACTGCCAAGATGGTGATGGGGGAGCAGCTCACTCTGAGCCCCAAAATCACTCTTTAGAAACCTATAGGTGACGTCATGGAGGCGACGTCCATCTTTCTTTACAGTCTATGGTCAAAAACCACACAGTCTTTTGTAGAATTTTAACCATTCAGTCTGTTGACATTTGGACATTCACGTGTACAAGGAGCCAACAGAGAGTAAGCCTGTTTGGCCAATGGAAGCCTCGAACAAATGCTTTCAAACAGCTCGGCTGGAGAAGAAGTCTAGTGCCCATGCTCTATGGGCCAAAACCAAATGTATGAGGAAGCAGGCTGACACTTTTCAAAGGCATGCGCTCAATGAGAAACTTTTATAGGAATGAATGGAGCGCCATCTCTGAATGCAGAATCCAGTTCTCCTTAATACGAGCATGGATTTATTCTAATGAAAGCTTAAAATAAAGAATCCTCAGGGTTCCACATTTTTGAGCCTGCATACATGAAAGGCATTAAATATGATGGCTAGAATTGCGATAACAAAATGTAATTTGTAAATTTAGTCACCATCTTATAGGACTGTAAGTAATTTCTGTAATTTCTTTTTTCTTTTGTTACTTTCTGGGTCAGTGTGCATCTGTGCATCATGTGACCTGTAATTTCGACAGTGGAAAGTACACCAATTTTGCTGCACATAACAGCCAGCATAACAACCAGCTGATGTGATATTGCATGATAAACACCATACTTTCTCATTTTTAAGTGGGAAATTCAAAAAGGATACCCAGTCCTAATGATGACTCAGATAGTGACGTGGATGCTATTTATAAGTAGGAAAATCATAATTATGATAACTCTGATGTAACATGAATGCGTCATAATGCACATGTCCTGCTACTCATCCATCCCACTGAACACTTAACATCACCCATCCATTGGAGCCTTTTCCATTTTTCATGTTTTGGGCAGCTGCTAACCCTTTATCTTCTTCTTTCTCTTGTTCCTGTCTGTGTCTATCAGCAGAGCAATAATTTGGAATGGTACATCAAAAACAGTGCAGATGTCTTGTAGATGTTGGTTTTCAGTGTTCACACTATGACAGTGCATGTCAAAAATTTGTGGTATATATTTGTTTAACAAAGGCACACCAGCTCTGGATTTTTTTATCCATCAAAACTGCACTGAAAAAAGGGGGAATTACCATTCCTCATTATCACAGGCAGAATTTGTCAAACATTTCAATGTCATCAAATTTCCCAACAATATCAGAGTGAAACAGATTTACAAATCTGACTCTAGTTGCTATGTCATCTCTCATACTGTGGTTTGAACACGTGGAGAGTCACACGCTTCAGCTATAATATGGACATTCCCTGCAGTATCTGGCACGATGGGATAAAGCTGTGGAAGAAGCTGACAGAAACCTTTCAGTAACGAGCACTTTGGGAGTTGTTCCTCGCTCTTTGTTCTCCTCTGGGAGGACTTAAGGAGAACAGAGGATGTGAGGAGCCAGGGGAGGAGTGCCGCTTTTCATCCCATTGATTCACAGTGTTCCCCTTGGACCTGCCCGACCCACAGATTGCCTGTCTTTCACACTGTCTCTACAGTGAAGTGGTTACACTGCAGCCATTACCTTCACAGCAGCGCCACAGCCTGTCATTTGTGAAGGGAAGAACAAAAAATGTACTTACGCTGAATATGAACTGACGCTAACTGCAGCTGAACTCACTTATAAATATACCTAATACTAATACAGACTTACTTGATATTGTGTTTTAGACAGAAAGACAAAGTGTCTTTATTCTAAACCAACCCTTTCTGTGACCCACCAATTTCTGTCTAATTCACACAGATTTTTATTGATCAGGGCTCCTCATTTTGTTCATCTACTGCTTTCTACTTCTCTCAGTTCTGTACAGCTCCTCCCTGATCTATTTTATAATCTCAGAAAAAGATAAAAATAACATGGAAGCAAACAAAAATAGTGTGATAATTTCAAAACACAGGTCTGTCATAAAAAAAGATGTGAAGCCTTTAGAAGCCGCACTAACATTCAGACAGGATGTCATCCAAAATCATTAAACATGGGTGTGACAAATTTTTTTAAATATAAGTAGTAACAAAAATTGGTTGTATGTGAAGGATTTTTACCTTTGTATTCCCTGTTTTGGTTTTCTTTGTATTATTATTCTCTTAATTCAGCTACTAATTAGATTAGTTAACAGCCTGTTATCTGTCATTGTCGTTATACCTTATCCCTGATGCCTTGCCTCATCCTTTCCCTCTCAGCCTCCATCTTGGCATATTTGGCCTTCCTCTCCTCCTCCTGCTGCCTCAGTGCCTCCTGTCGCTCCTCCTCTTTCTTCGCTGCATCAGGGTCCTCCTCTTTCTCCTCCCCCCCCAGCATCTTGCCCACATCAGGAGGTCCTCCTGAGAAAAGGAGCGAGAGAGAGAGAGAGAGAAAGAGAGAGAGAGAGAGAGAGAGAGAAAAAGAGACATAAGACACAATGACAGCTCTAGCGGGCCTCTAGGATTGAGATGTCAAACTATCAAATTAGTCTGTAAGATTCAGTGAGAAAAACAAATAGACATAGAGACTGAAGTCAGGCAGACACATGACAAGCAGGTAAATGGACTCCTGGGGCTGACACATATAGAGTCAGATGAAGTTACAAACCTCAGGTGAAGTCTTAAGAATATCATAAAGTCAAGGATAGAAACTGCTAATAGCTGTTATTTTGTGCCAATATACTTTGTTGTTTAATGTCAAGTTCAATATCTTTGTCCATCTTCTTTCCTAAGACTTTATAAGTGTCATTATTTTACACAGGACTGTATTCCTGGCAGGGTGGAAAAACCTGTGAAATATCACCATCAGGGACACATTTTCTTTATGGGCTATTTCAGGATGACCTGCGTCACTCTTTCCATTAGGCACAGTCACAAATACTGATTCAGAAAGGTGTTAATCTCCTGAAACCACTGCTGCAGTTTTCTTATGTATTTTCTCAGCTCATATTTATTTAACCTATTTTTCTTTATTTTATTGTATTACTAACTACTCCTCAAATTCAAGTTGAAAGAAATGTAGTTAGTTAAATCTTGACGCTTTTGCGTGATATTTTTAACATTTGTTGTGTTCCTGTGTTTTGTTTTGTTTTTGCTGATGTCATCAGTCTAATAAATGCTGCCTTTACTCACTAGTGTTCCATACAAATATCTGACTAAGCAGTTGTCGATGGTGTCTCCATCCTGTTAACAGTCTGATCAGAGATACTATACACAGCGGTTATGGTAGAGAGGAAGAGAGGAAAGTGGCCTATTGCTGCTCGTTTAGGTGAATAGTAATAGTCCCCAGGGACAGGCTTTTAGGAACGGTTACTATCATGAGTCCAAACTCCCCAATGCAAGACGACCCCACCCCTACGCTTTTCTTAACATTTTACTTTTCTGTATTCTCCATATTTATATAACTGTTTATGTATATTTCCAGTAATAGTGACAGTCTAAATGCTGTTTCAAAGACTCTCTCAATAATTCTAGGAATATAATTCTGATTGAGAAAGTCACTTTATTTTAATGTCTCTGGTCCTAAAATCAGTCATCTCTAAGAATAACAAGTCTATAATCAGCCTTAAAAAATCTCCACTTATGATTTGTGTCACAGTTCTGCATCTCAGGTCACCTGCCTCACTTCAGCATTCCCTGTCATCCAGCTCCCAGTCAGTAATTTTCCTTTCACCCTGTTCTCCTGCACCTCCCTGCATTAGCCACGCCCACCTCATCAAGCCAACTCCATTCACCTGGCCACACAGCTGTCCCTGATTACATTCACCCAGTATACAAACCCCAGCCTTCTAGTCATTCTTTGCCAGATTGTTCTTTGCTTTTCGCTATGTAAGACTCTCCAGTGTTTTTTGGACTGATTCCCTGTTGCCAAACCTGTTTGTCCCCAACTTACCTTTCCTCTCTGAACCCTGGTGAACACTTCAGCCTTCTGTCCCTGACCTTGAGAACGTTTGTGACATTAAACTTAGTCTGCATGATCCTGTGCTGGCTCATTCAGCCAGAGACTCCAGATCTACCAGGGAGATATTTAAGTTGCTTTTTTTTTGTTGTTTTTATTAACCTGCCAGCTCCAGTTTCTGCCTTGGTAGAAATAAAGGTCTCTGTGAACGTTTTTTGTTGTACTCTGTGCTGCATTTGGATAATACACTTTCCTGGTGCAATTTGTGTTTATAAAAATTCCTTATCAGGTCATTAAAATCCAAAAACAATACTAAAATGTGACCTTGGTGTCTTCAATTGTAGCTACAGACCTGATGGTCGGAATGAAACAATTAATCAAGCAGCATGTACTGTTCTCTTACACTGAGACACACACAGGCAAAAAATCAGATTGATAGAGGCTTTCTGTATAATGAGTATGATACAAGAAGGAAGAAAGGGCAGTAGAGTATATAGTATGAATTAGGGTTTTAGCTGTTATACCCCATGACACAAGCCCTTATGCAAACCCTCTTACTGTTTCTATAGGCGTTATACATCCCATAAAATAATGCCTCATGATGCAAAGGCAGAGAAATGCTGAGTGTTGCAAAAAGAGAAAGGGAAACCTGTCACTAAGCATCAACAGAAAAAAAAGATGAAGAGAAAAAGCCAGTGGTCTGAAGGATTTGGGCAAAGACTGGAGCAGATAAGTAGTGAGGGGGAGGGAAAAAGAAAAGAGGAAAGAAGGATAAGGGAGATAGGGAGTCGGTATACTGCAAAAAACAAGACATATTTAGGAAAACAAGGCAAGCATGAGGACAGGGAGAGAATCTGTCAGAAACTATTCAGTCCAATTAGCAGAGCTGTTCCAGTTAGTGGGATTACCCAGCAGTTTCCGTGGGACCAGAGAGAGAGGGAGAGAGAGTGTGACAGCTGAAAAGATGGAGAGGAGGGAGAAAAGGGGAGCGGCGAGAGGAAAGTGACAAAGTGAAGGGAGGGGAAAAGAAGGAGGAGAAGAAATTAGGTGTGAAGGAAAGAGTGATGAAGAAGGAGAGAAATGGAAGGGAGAGTGCTTCACTCGGGAGGAAGAGGAAGAAGAGGGGAGGGTTTAGAGGCAGAGAAGGGGCATCTGAGGAGAGAAAGCAAGCAACCAAGAGAGAAAGACAGAGTGCTCCCTTAGTGTGCAGCTGCCCCCGGTATCGTTGGTATTTTGACTCATCAGCATAATAAAAGTGAACTGCAGCAAAATGCGCAGAGATAAAAGACAGGAGAGATGGAGGAGAAGAAAGAGGGAAGGGATGAATGCAAGAGCAACGGAGGCGAACAAGAAGGTGTAACAAGGAAAGAAAAACATCTGGAAACTGCAGACTATAGAAAGAGAATGGAAGGTTTTTCAGTCATTTATACAGCTTCAAGTTCTTAATTCGATGTTTTTCATTATATACTGTATCTTTATAAATTCTATTTGAGACCTGAAGGAGAAGCAGAGAAAAAAAACTGTCTCATAAAAAACCTGTTTATGAGACACGTGTTTAGTGAAGTACATGTATTGCCTTTCTTGCTGAAAGCTGGGTGAGAAAATTCATACCACTTTCACTTTCAGGTCTGTCTATAAGAGACATGTGGTCTGTGGGGGTTATGTGCTCTTGGGCACCATGACTTCTGGTTTGGTGGATTATGTTACCTTTGGACAGGAGTCAGGCAGGCTAGCTGTTTTCCCCCATTTCCAGTCTTTATGCTATGATAACTGTCTGCCGGCTATAATTTCATACAGACTTGAGAGTGGTATTGATCTTTCCATTTCAATCTCTGCAAGGAAGCAAATAAGAGTATTGCCTAAAATGTCAACCCCTCCCTTTAAAAACTGTACATCCAAGTGATGAAGAGACGAAGCTGGCCACCGACAGAAACCGGTGCCCTCTGGGAAATACAGAGCACACCACAGCAAAGGTTAAAATTATACACCAGCACCAAAATCTGAAACTGAATTTTTTAAAAATAACATTAAAAAAAAAACAATCGATCCGTAACATTAATGAGCTACTTGGATCTAAGTGGAAAAGACAGAGACTGGTGAGAAGGAAATTCAGATATCCAAAGTAAACTGAGGTACGGCTGTATCAGATTTCCTTTTTTCTTTTATCAGATTTGATAAACAGCACAGTGAAGCTAACAGAGCATTATCTGTCCAGCCATGATACACTATCTTTGCGCCTTACAAGTGTGTGTATGTGTGAGAGAAAAAGAGCTAAAGTGCATATACATCAAGTGTCCCTACATGCACATGTGGATATAAATATCTGAGTAGTTCTATTTCAGGCAGGCACGTATGAGTTGTTGTGTGGTTGAGCAATTGTTTTTCATATATTTGTGTATGTGCTCAAATATAAATACATGTCCCTGTATCAGCATGTGTGGATGCAAAATGCATGTATGGAAAATATTTTAATGAAAACATTTACAGTACATTCAAACAGCTTTATAGATAGATAGAGGCTCAAATCCTGGTTCAAGTGTTACTCTGGACTCTTTATATGCCACATTAATCACCAGCCACCTTGCCATATACATACAGACACACTGTATAGAGACTACTGGACTACTGTATCTTAATTGCGTTGCTAGGAAACAGCTTGGATCCAAGTTTATTTCCTGTCATCTGATGTTATTAGCAAACACTGCTGCATGAATTACAATTGGACCCATTAAGAATCAGTCTTTGCAGCAGATTATTATAGATTGCAATTCTTTATGTCTTACCTATAGTCAGCAGAACAATGAGCTTCTGTGAAAAGCAAAATTTTACTTAATGTTTACATGCACTGGTATCCTCAGTAATGTCAAAATATCCCAGACGCATCCAGATTTCACAGAGCAAGTGTAAGAGATTATCTGACATACTGCAAGCAGGATTCAGGATCATCTTATGAGCCCAGTACTCGAATTATCTCTATCAATAAAGCCCATGTAAACACTGCTATTGAATCATGTAAATGGAGCAATGACTCACAACCAGCTAAGCCTCATTGTCAAATGATTCCCTTACCATGCATGGCCTACAAAAAACCCTCCAGTACCTCTTTTAACAACACTGAGCCAAACCAAGACAAACTTGGTCTGGTTTCACTAAATCTTATTAGCACATTGAGATGGTCTTTGTTCAAATGTAAAAAAGAGGATCCTGGGAGACAAAGCCTTGAGTTATATTGAGCTATGATACCGGATCCTACTTTGTGAGCCATTTGTGAGAGATACAGCAGTGGTCTTTTAAACCAGAATAATTCTATTAAGCTCTCAGGCATCACATAAGCTGTGTTGAGCGATGTTTGAGTGTTTTTGATTAAAGTGTCTTTGCACTTTAGCCCTGGACACTATATTAGGTTGTTGTAGTTGTTGAAATGACATTCGATATATTAGCTAATAAAAGTCTGTCATGGAAA